TTGTGAAATACAGATCGTTTGCCAATGTTTGCTATCAAGTAATTCAATTGTCTAGTCCCATAACTATCGACTGTATTGACTTCATTGAAAGCTACATTTGATATTTTCAATTTATTCCTGGCAAAATGAATAAAACAACATATTTTAAGTTTATATAACGAAATCAGGTTCAGAAAATGTCTAGGTTTGTATATATTTACTGTTGGTTCTAGAAAATGTAGATGAAAAATGCATTTAATTGATTTGTTTTGTAATTTTATTAGTGGTTTTAGGTGTTAAATATTTGTACTCCCCCAAATAGATATTAAATATTGCAAATTTCAATGAATGAGGCAAAAGTAAATACATTTCAAGTATTTTATGGGAATGATATTTCGGATTTTGAATGAAATGTCTATGATCGAATTTATTTTATTTTTCAAATGGTCTATATGTTTAGTCCATAATAATTTTTCATCAATATATGTAGAGACCTAAAAATTTTGTAACTTATGGAAAGTACATTGAATATTTGTTTACATTCAAGTTTCTATCCATTTTATCGAAAGTTCAGTTGAAATTGAATCATTATGTCATAAGGTATATACAGGGTGATCCACGGTGGATGGCCTATTAGAAGTATCTGGAGAACGAAAAGACAGAACATTCTGAAAATTGGGTTTCTTCGATAATTGAACATTCTCTATCCGTCTAAAATATTTTCATCGATACAGTGTTGCCACTTCTATCAGAAACAACTAGCAACTTTGTTATTTAGAATAGAACACCCTGTATTTTATTGCATTTTTAGATTCTTTTTAAAGAGCTGATTTCATCAATGTATCACACTTGGGGTCTAGCAGGAATGATTACAGAGATATAGGGTGTTCAAAATCGAGTTTTTTTCAATTTTAAGATTTTTTTTTGTCGAAACAATTCATTATCGATCAAAACGGCTTACATGTCCCTATCTCAACTTTTGATTGACTATCTACTGGAATTTGATTGGAAAAATACAGGGTGCTCCAAGATTCAGAATTCTGATCACCCTGTATCTGTTCCAATTAAATGTCAGTAGATAGTGAACCGAAAGTTAATATAGGGAAATGTAAGCCATTTTGATCGATAATGAATAGTTTCGACACAAAAAAATCCTAAAATTGAAAAATCTCGATTTTGAACACCCTATGTCTCTGTAATAATTTCCGATAGACCACAAGTGTGATCCATCAATGAAATCAGCTTTTCAGGGAGAATCTAAAAATGCAATAAAATACAGGTTGTTCTATTTGAAATAACGAAGTTACTAGTTGTTTCTGATAGAAGTGGCAACACTGTATCGATGAAAATATTTTTGACGGATATAGAATATTCAATTATCGAAGCATCCCAATTTTCAGAATGTTCTGTCTTTTCGTTCTCCAGATACTTCTAATAGGCCATCCACCGTGGATCAGCCTGTATATCGGTCAGACAGGTCGTACGTTTAATCAGCGCATTCATGAACATAAGATGAATTTTTTTAAAAAGAAACCAAATTCAACATACGTCAACCATATTAGAAGAAAACCATAGTTTTGATGATAATTTCGAAATTCTACATGTAGAAAATAACGGAATGAATCATTTTGAATCATTAGAAATCAACAAACTCAAAAATTTTGACAATTTACTTAACGTTCAATTAGGCCTCAATAGTTCACCACTGTAGTAGGTGATAATATTTCTTTGCTATCAACCCTTTCACGTTTATCTGGTATACCTACCGTAATTTAATGTAGATATTGTGCCTAATTTCCGAAAATGGAGGTTTATCGATCCTGTCCACAAGTAACTAATCCTTCAAGTTGGAAAGAAGGGTATATAAAAGTTAAGCATCCAAGCTTGGTTCAGTTCATTGTACCAGTATATCACCTGACGAAGCTACTGTGTTAGCGAAACATGTTGTGTGTATGAGAATTTTGTGGAAATCTTATCGTTTGTGAAGTTTCTACATTTGCCATGGATTATTCCTATTAAGTAACGGCCGAGTCAATTCAAAATTATGTATGTGTGTATGTATGAATGTGTATGTGTATATATATACAGGGTGTTTCAGTTTTTTGTAGCAGGACTTCAACAGCTTGAAGAAGACATTTTTTTAAGATGAAAATCTCAAACAAACATATATGCGTGGGAGCTTCGTTTCCGATATACAGGGTGTCAAAGTTTCAGATTTTTTTTATGTTTTTTGAATTTTCTCCTACAATTTTCGGAATAATTGATTGAAATTTGGTACACCTAATACACTTCAAAAACTCAATATTTGAGGCTATTGAGCGTTTTTGAATACCTACAGGGTGATTGACTTTCAGGGGTCGTACCCAATTTAACCCTGTAGAACTTTTTTGCGTGCCGCCTCTGCTTTCAATATGGGACATAGATTCAGATTGTTTCTGCAATTTGGAAACTTTTTGCCCCCATGTATGTTTTTCGAAAACTATGGATTTCGAGATAAATAAAAGTGGAATCCGAACCACTTCTAAGAGGGTACTGATAAATATTAGAACTGCCGTTCACGAGATTAAATTATTAAAACTCACAACACCTCAACCATCAGAAGCGACAGTCTAGCGATGTATAGCTCCTAGACCGTGTGTCATACAGTCCCTGATATCGAAAGTTTAACCAGTTTCAGTTATACAGGGTGTCCTAGAATTTTCTACAATACATTTTCAGATTTTGCAATCCAGTTAGAGAAGTTTTTTTTTTAATAAAAACATTTTTTCTTTGTTTTTCCTAGTTTTAATTATAATGGTGTTCAAAAAATTCAATCTAATTTTGCAACTGAATTTCATTTGGTATGGAAGCTTTCGGTCATTCTATTTTCCAATAAAATGCTTGAGAAATGTGTTTGAGAAATAACGGTTTTATTACAAGTAATTTATTTTTGGCATTTATCTCGAGATCCATACAGTTTTCGAAAAATTTACATAAAGGCAAAAAGTTTCCAAATTGAAAAACAATCTGAATCTATGTCCCATTGAAAGCAGAGACGGCACGCAAAAAAGTTCTACAGGGTTAAATTGGGTACGACCCCTGAAAGTCTATCACCCTGTAGGTATTCAAAACCGCTCAATAGCCTCTAATATTAAGTTTTTGCAGTGTGTTAGGTGTACCAAATTTCAATCAATTATTCCGAAAATTGTAGGAGAAAATTGAAAAAACATACAAAAAATCTGAAACTTTGACACCCTGTAAATCGGAAACGAAGCTTCCACGCATATATGTTTGTATGAGATTTTCATCTTAAAAAAATGTCTTCTTCAAGCTGTTGAAGTCCTGCTACAAAAAACTGAAACACCCTGTATAGTTAAGTACTTAGTGGAAAAAAATGAACCAAACCTCTTGTGATAAGAATGTAAATTTTCTTTTGACTCAATAAATTGAATTGAATTGATTCTATTCAAGAAATAAAAGAAAAATAGTCCACTCACCTATTCAACAGTTTTTTACTTTATGGAAATACAATCATTTTGACAGTAGCACCGATTTTATTCACATTTGACATTTGACCTTCTTACTATGGGTTGCGTGCAAGAACTGTCAGATGACCGACCCTGGAGGCACAACATTGAAACACAACCTCAGTTTTCTTATTTGTTTACAAGTGATTGAAATAGTTCATAACAATTATTTTGGCTATTTATCAATTCACTCATGCCATCACATTGTGCTGTTGTACAATGCACAAAAACTGCAGCGGAAGACGAAGGAATCCGGTTGGTACATTATGATTTAAAAGTAAGTACCTACTATAGTCACTCACATAGTTTTCATTTTTGAAATTTGGTAATCTCTCTGATTTCTCATCGGAATTCCTTCTGCAATAGGAGCTAATAGAAATACACGTGAAATTTCTAAAATAACGCAAGAAGATTGGATTCATGCAATCAATCTGGACGACTGGTCTGACATGCTGACGAAATATGATCGTGTGTGTTGTATAGACATTTTCAATCTATTAGCAGTATTAATAATAATAATAATAATCGTCGTCTTTATTCATGAAGAACATGATAGTACATTGACTTTAGAAAGGCGAAGTTTAGCGAACGCTATTCTTACACTTAAACCTTGATAAATCATTAACATAGTGTGTCCATCCAGGAATGTCCTGGAATGACTACCAACAGACTATGAACAATAGTATCGTGAAATATTTAAATTATTCATCATATATATAATCACTAATAACTATACCTCTTACTGAATGAAAAGAGCTGTAAAAAACATCAAGTAATGAAAAAAAAATTGTCAAGAAAAAAATAACAAAAAGATAACCTTGTTCAACTTCAAGCAACGGATCGAACAACAACAACAACAAAAAGCACCATATAAATAGGTAAAAAACGGTTGAGATGTCAAGCATCTATGTATCGGTCTAGCAAGAGTTATTGTTGCAGTAATAGTTGGATTTTAATCTTGTTTTTGAAACTGAGTGAACTTGAGATAACTATGTTATTTGGAATAGTATTGAACAGTGACGGAGCTGTAAATGAAAATCCTTTCCAGAAAATGGCACTGACATGACGTGGTATACTCAATTTGTGGGGAAATCGAATATTGATGTGCACAGCGTTTCTGAAGTCCAAAGATAAACCGACAACGGGAATTAGCTTGTATTGCAGAAGTGGCAGAAGGCAGGAGGAATTTTAATAAGGAATGACAACATTTCATAACTATATGAGATTACTATATTTACCTGAAAAATCATATTCCTCCGTCTCTCGCTGCATTGTACAACAGCACAATGCGAAGGCATGCTTGAATTATTGGATAGCGCAAAAAAACACGATTCGTATGCCAAAATATTGTGACAAACTATTTCAATCCTTTGATTAATCTGTAAATAAATAACAAAGTGAGGTTGTGTTTCAATAATTCACAGAAGACTGAGGTTGTGTTTGAATATTTTGCCTCCAGGGTCGGTCATCGTGCACGCGACCTATTGAATATATGGTCAACTCTAGCGAAACCAATCACGGCAACCACTCCGCATCGGGCTCGACCTTCTGATAGCCCCCCTGCTCCTGCTTGGCCGTCTTCTCGGTCACCTTGCCATAGGCGTCCTTGGCCTTGCCCGACAGGTATTCGACGCCGTCTCCGACCTTGTTGCCCGCCTTCCTGATGACCTCGGCGGCGGCGTGCGCCGATATCGTATCGTCGTTGATGTTGATATTGTAGCCCGCGTTCGGGTCCTTGGGGCAGTCGTTTTGCTTGATGATGGACAGGTCGAACGGGTCGATTTGGGCGTTAGACAGTTTATTTCTTATCTGGGAAAACATTCAGGGAAAAATTCATGATTGGTTTCCAAATTATTTGAAGAATAGGAAGCAGTATGTTGATGTGAATGATACTTGTAGTTCCTTGATGAATATTACATGTGGTGTACCGCAATGGGTCAGTTTTGGGGCTAATTTTATTTTTAATTTACATTAACTCAATATCTACTTTAAAATTGAAAGGAAAACTAAAATTATTTGCAGATGATACAACAACGAAAGATTTTAACGATATCAATAATGATACTAAAAATGATTTGAAACAAATATCATCTTGGCTAACGACCAATGAGTTGACTGTCAATCATAGTAAATTTACGTATATGTACATCTCAAGGAGAATAACGCATATATTGAATATTAACCCAATATGTTTCAATAACAAATCCATTGAATATACAAATGTAACAAAATTGTTAGGTCTTTATATTGATGAACAATTATCGTGGACTCTACATATATATAGATCAATTGAGGAAAAAATTGAATCCTATTGCTGGTATATATTATATATGAAATTCGAAATTTCATTCTTGTTAGATACCTAAAGAGTATTTATTTCTGTTTTTTTATTCAAATTTACAATATCTAATATCTATTAGAGGAAGTACAAATATTTCACATTTGAAGCCACTCATGAAATTACAAAATATAACAATAAAGTGCATTTTCAATTTACCTTTTTCAGAATCAACTGTGAATCTATACAAACCTAAAGACTTGCTGAATCTAGTTTCATTATATGAACTCAAAATTTGTGTTTTTATTCATTTTGTCAGGAAGGAATTGAAAATATCGAATTTGAATTTTAATGAAGTTGATACGATTCACGCCCATGAAACAAGGCAATTTAATTTATTGATAGCAAATAATTTTAAGTCAAATTTTGGTAAACAATCAATATTCCATTATGGATATTATATAACTCCTTACCTAATGAGTTGAAAATATAGAAGAAGCAGAAAATTTTAAAATCAAATTAAAAAAATATCTGTTAAAAAGGAATCTTCTCAGATAAATTATGGACATACAAAAATGGATATACAGGGTGTTTCAAAATTCGACCGACAACGTTTGACCGGTGATAGCCCTCGTGATTTCATAATCATTGAGATAGGAACATTCGGTCTTCAAGTGTTCAGTTCTCGAGATACAGGGCGTTGAAGTTGAGAAATGAAAATAGTTGTTTCGCAATATCTCAAGAATAATTGAATATAATGCATTCAACTTCGGTATATGGTTTCATCTTTGAATGGGCCATTTTTTGACCTGGAAGCCATTCCGGACATTTTGTCCAGTGGTGCCCTACAGGGGGTTGTGGCATTTTTTCCTTCCATATTTTCTACGCCACTGATTGAATTTCGATTATTTCCAATTCCTCGAATTCATTGTTCAATTTTGTTCAGAAAATGCATCACCTTCAACTGAACTGAAATAAACAGTTTTCGAGATATTCGACCCAAAATAGAAGATTGCATAGTAATATTTCATCATTTTCAGTAGTAGAAAATTGCAAAAATATTTTTCTGGTGTTGAGTAGATTAGATACTATTCAGATCTCATTCCATAGCTGAACAGGAATAGTTATTCCACACATGAAGAGAAAACAAAAATTTTCGTAATTTTTTACTACCGAGGAAGATGAAAAATTACTATGCATAGTTCTATTTTGGGTCAAATATCCCGATAACTGTTCATTTTAGCTCAGTTGAAGGTGATGCATTTTTTCAACATAACTGAACAAACAATTCGAGAAATTGGAAATAATTGAAATTTCATCAGTGGCGTAGAAAATATGGGAGGAAAAGTTATCACAACCCTCTGTAGCGCATCTCTGGATAAAATTCTCGGAATGTCTTTCTGGTCAAGAAATTAATCAGTGAAAGATGAAACCATATACCGAATTTGAATGCATTATATTAAATTATTCTTGAGATATTGCGAAAAAACTATTTAAATTTCTTAACTTCAACGCCCTGTATCTCGAGAACTGAACACTTCAAGACCGTCTGTCCCTATCTCAGTGATTATGAAATCACGAGGGCTATCACCTGTCAAGCGTTGTCGGTCGAATTTCGAAACACCCTGTATATTTATATGATGAATGTCAATTTATCATACACCCAAAAGCAAAAAAATATCTGCTCAGTAAACTTTAATTCCATATCTACTAATCATTCACAATCTGATTACTTGTAATGGATTATTTTCATTTTATATTTTATTATAATTTTTTTCATGAGAAACAATAATTGTGCAATTATTATTGCTTGTTATTATGTTATATGTATGTTTTGTTGTATATACCCCTATTATAAACACTCATGTTTCTTGGGGTAATAAAGACAATCGATCAATGTTAGCCACCAGTATCAGTGCAATAACAACAATAATATCGCATTTTGTCTGATTATAAAGTTTTTTGTGACTAATTAAAGACGTTGTTATATCGAAGACCGGAACCTCTGACAAGATAATCTCAGTACAGGGTGGCTAGAATTCGAGGCTCATCTCGTAAACCGTAAGAGATACAGGGTCGGTTAAATTATGTCAAAGTTGCGCAATTTTATGCTGATCTAATAAATGCCGCCTCAAAAGTTTGTAAATACCGAATACTTTTCCGAAGATATTTGAAAAAAACCGAATATCCGCGATTTCGTTTTTATTTTATTGGGACTTCATCTGAAGTGATATGTCAACATGAGTTTTTCTCCAAGCGGCAGGGATAGTGGCTTTTTCCTGCCGCTCAACAGGCAGGAAAGGTGTACTTTTACTGCCTAGGCAGAAAAAGTATCATTTGGAGAAAAAATCTATGTTTCACACGGTAGCAAATGTACCACTTTTCTGCCTAGTGGACAAAATAACTATTCATATTAGCATTACCACTTATTCTGCTCTATCTAATGGCATTAATAGATTCGTGTTCCGACGTTTCGTCTTCGAGGAGCTATCATCAACTTTGTTTTTTTAAATGGTCGAAAATAAATTTTTTGTTCCTAAAAAACTCTAATTCCAATTCTGAATCCAACGACATATAACACTTTGCAATTATCTAAAGTTTCGGACCAAAAAATCATTATCAGTATTATTTGATGATGGTTACGAGGAAACGAAACGTCGGATCAAAAATCTGATGATGGCAACTTGTAGAAAAGGAAAAAGAACAAACTATGAAAATATCAAATTCATTTTGGTATATCTCTTATAGTAAAATCAGAAAAAGATCATTTCTTAGAATTAGAAACTTGGAGAATAACTTTTTATTGAAAACTAAAATAGAGATAGACCGAGAGATAGACCAAAATGAATTTAACGATCTCGCAGTCATTTTTCCTTCTCTACAAGACGCCGTCATCAGATTTTTGTTCCGACGTTTCGTTTCCTCGTAACCATCATCAAAGAATAACGATGCTGATTTTTTGGTCCGTAACGTAAAATAATTGCAAAGTCTTGTATGTCGTTTGATTCAGAATTGGATTTTAGGAACGATACATTTATTTCGACCATTTAAAAAAACAAACATTGGATAATGAATCTATTGATGCCATTGGATAGAGCAGAAAAAGTTACAACGCTAATATGATATTCATTTTGAAATATCACTCCAAATAAAAAAGTTTGGCGGCTCGGTGGTCGAGAGCGTGAAGGCGCTGAGTTCGTATGGGGACTCCCACCGAGACATAGGTTCGAATCCTAGTTAGGCCATGGATGTTTGTGTTTGTATGTATACCTAACCCCGCACAAGTTTCGACTTATGGGGCGTTTGGTCCCAGTGCTGGGACCAACGAGGTATGTATAATTGCAAAAAAAAGTCAGAAAAAAGTAAAAACGAAGTCGCGGTATTCGGTTTTTTCCGAATATCTTCGGAAATATTCGGAATTTTCAAACTGTTGAGGCGGCATTTTGATCAGCATAAAATTGCTCAACTTTGCCATAATTTAACCGACCCTGTATCTCTCACGGTTTACGAGATCCAAATGATGAGCCTCGAATTCCAGCCACCCTGTACATTTTCCCTAACACACAATTGACACACTTTCTCAATATGTCTTATCATAGTAAGAGGCACAACAATCTTGAAGAACTTCGTACAAGAACAGAGGCAGTTTTCCAGGAATGACAATGACATCCTTTAATGATTTTGAATGCATTAAAAATGCTTTGCCTACCCAATTTCGTTGAATTTTAGCAGTATTATTTCTAGTAGGAGGGGGCTAACTCAGCCATAAGGAGTTTTGTCAATGAGGGTTTCGCAAGAGCAGGAATATATCAGACTTACCTTATCAACATAAATTTTGTCCAGAGATTTCGTTCTAGACAGGATGGTGGCAGATTGTCTGTGAGCGAAAGTTAATTTTTGACAGGTGAAAATTCCAGCATAGGTGTCATAATCAGTAGAGAATATCGTGAAAGATGAGGAACCAGCAACACCTGAAAAAAAATACATTTAGATAATACTACAGGATTTCAAGCAAGATAGATTCAATCGAAAAAAATTTTGGACCGAAACTTCAGATCCATTTCCTCCCGTGTGTGAAGTAGCGGAGGGCTTCAAACACAGCTGGGAGGAAATGAACCTTAATTGCTCTCGTCTTATACAGGGTGATCCAAAAGTACATTGACAAACTTCAGTAGGTGATTCCTCACGATATTCGAATTTTTTTTTTTTTCAATTGCATTTCCTCGTTGGACCCAGCACTGGATCCAACGCCCCATGAGTCGAAACTTGTGCGGGGTTAGGAAAGCATACATTTACAAACATCCATGGCCTAACTGGGATTCGAACCCATGCCTCGGTGGGAGTCCCCATACGAACTCAGCGCCTTCGCGCTCTCGACCACCGGGCCGCCTAATGATATGAATTGTCCGAATGAATATGCACGGAAACGCTTCGTTTCCAAGATACAAGGTGTTAGGGTTTAATTTTTGTTTTCGTTTTTTTAAAATGAGTTTCGGAATAATTACATAAATTAAACGAAAATTGGTATTGAGAAAATTTTTCAGGTGTAGAATTGGAACATGATGTTATCATCGCTCATACTCGTAAGGGGCGCCACCTTCACGTCTTTTTATATTTTGTAGATTCATAACTTTTTTGAGCGAATTTCTAGAACATTTTTTACTTATAATTACACGAGAGCTCTTTTTTTGTCGAAGAAAACTTGACGTTTGTATCAATAAGAATTTTGTTGCCTGGCAATTTGACGAAAAAAACTGCCTCTGCCTTCTGGCAGCTCAACTTACTTAAAGGAAACTTCACTGTCATCTTGGCTGGTACCGAGCCGTCAGGAACTTTCAGGGTTCCCCTGTAATGGTAGCCATGCTTCAAGGGAGTCAGAGCCAACAAAAAGTGTTGGCTGATTTCTTCTATAATGTATTCGCCTGGTTCTTCTGACCTAGTGATGTTGTATACGATGCAACTGCTTGCGGTACTAGTTTTTTCCATCACATACCAAATTCCTAACATCTGAAAAACATCTCATATGTGACACAGAAACATAGCAGTATCGTATGAATTTTGTAATCTTGAAAAAAACAATAGATTATGATATTTCAAGTCTAGAGACTCGATGCCTATAGTTCCCAGGCAACCAGATGACGAATGGTCACGTCACTGTGACGTAACCAATTGGTGATTTTTCGTCAGAGACGGCACATACCAATTTCTGACGTCTCTATGACGTACTTTCTATGACGTGATAATCACGTTATCAGTATGACGTTGCGTAAACGTCACTTGGATGGGTTAAATATGACGTCAGTTTCATGACGTGTCAGGGACGTCGTGTCAATGTCATGTTTTTCTATAGTTCGGTATGTATGTGTATAATATATATATACAAAGTGTCCCAAACTCGATGGCATATTAAACGTTTTAGGAGAACGGGACATAGGATCATTTTGAAGATTAGTTCTGTTCTATCGATCTGAAATATTTTCAGTGCTTCGGCGTTGCCGCTTCTATCGAAAAAAGTGGCAATTACTTTGTTATTTCGAATTGAACAACCTGTATTTTATTGTATTTTTGGTATCTCCCTGAAGAGTGGTTTTCATCGATCTATGACACATTATGGGGTCTAGCGGGAATGATTACAGAAATATAGGGTGTGAAAAATCGAGATATTTCAAATTAAGTAATTTTATGTGTCGAAACTATTAATCATCAGTAAAAACGGCTTCCATCTCCCTATCCCAATTCTTGATTCACTATTTACTGACATTTAATTGAAAGAAATACAAAAATGTAGAGAAAATGTTTTATAGTTGGAGTCTTCTCACCATTTTTTAATAAGAAACCTAGAGAAATGAAGTTATACGCCAAAAACTGATATAGGACGCCATTTTTCCAAGATGGCAGCATATGAGTGAAGGTCGCTCGAGGTCGCAGACTAAGAGTTATCATCAGGATCACCATCTACGATCCTGAATGCAATAATAATAGAAGATCACCTTAAAAACGTTGAAAGTACTGAAGCTATAAAGTATTATAAGTTCAAAAGTTGAGATTATCTTCTACCAATACAATATTAACACTGATAAATCCAATTTTAATTCTTGAAAATGTTGATACCGCGTTATCAGACAGGATTTGGTGATTTCAGATAGACCCAACCATCTACAATACAGGAGAGTGTCAAAATATAGGTAAACATCTTGTGCATATGAAATACCCTGTACCGTTTAATTTCTGCTTTGTTGTACACAGTCATTCATAAGCTGGAATAAATTTGTAATTAATCGGTTTCCTTTGTTTACCAAGTAGTTCAATGACGCTTGAATACAGGGTGATGCCACGCAAGAATATTTTCCAAAATATACTACACGAGGTGAAAATCAAATCCCCATAGAACATACTTATACATTTACCGGATCCGTGAAATAAGAGGAAACCTATTTGATCTCAAACATTCATAGAAAAATCAGCGAAGAAAAAATTGTGATTTCCATAGACCTATACTCTATACAGGGTAATCAAGATTCAATCAGCCATGGAATATCCTTTCGTGCGTTCCAAGAGTAAAAACAAATATTCTATTTGATTTGATAATTACGAAATTAGTGGCCATTTTAAATACTGTAGTTGAAAAAAATTAGTAATTTATTATACAAGGGAAAAAAGAAGTAGATTTTAGCTCCAGGTTGTGTTGTCTCCCGACGCGTAGCGGAGGGAGACAAAAAACCGTGAGCTAAAATCTAATATTTTTCCCGTGTGTAATACACTATTTTTTTCTGTGACAGAAGAAAGGACGAATCAATATTGAGAAGATATTACATTATTTTGAAATCTGAAAATCATCGACGTGAAATTTTAAGTTTTTAACAGTAGGGACACCTGCGTTGTAGGCATCTTTATCATTCTTTTGAAGTAATCAAATATCTGATGTCACTTCTGTCAGTCTAATTCTGTGATTTGATTTTAAAAAATTGCGAATTCAGTGGTTGTTTAGTAATATACGTAACCGCGAAGTCGAATGGAAGATAAAAGGACTTGCAGTTCTTTCTCGGAGACGGTATTATTGACTCATCTTTCGGAACTATAGCACAACAAGAGCCATCAATCGTATATATATATATATATATGTGATATATATCCAGGAAAAAAGTACTCCCGTTTTTCCCACGGGAAAAAAGTAATTTATGAAAAGTGACATTTTATAACCTGCCAACAGAGATGAAATGCCAAACTTCTTTCCCGTCACAGAAAAAATATATTTATATAGCCAAAGGCAAAGTTGTGAAAGGTACTTTCTCCACGAGTAGGGAAAAGTAAGAAAAACTATACTTTTTTTTGATGTTGGGCTCATAGAAATTCAGTTGTGAACCATATTTTGAGTTGAACACCCTTTAAAAATATCTCACCCCATTCATATTGAAATCCTGTGCGGGTTCAATAACGGGACATGCTCCCAAATGATATGAATGCATTTGCACTTTTTGAATGGCAAGAAACACCAAGAATCCACTAAACAACAATCTCAACATTTTTACTGTCTAGTAGACACAAAATAAACCGTACGAAGTTGAAGACGTTAATGACTGAATAATCTAATTCAGTATCGTCTTTTATATACATTGATGACCTACAGTTATCCAGTTGAATCATCCAGGCAATTTTAAAGCATTGTTGTTTGATACTCTTCTGGACTTTGGTACAATTCATTAATCATTTTCAAAGAATTACATTGGCCCAGTGCAAGAATCATGTTCACAGAGTGGTATAGTTTTAGCCTCATTGCGTTAGGACTATTGTTCTGTTTTGCAAATTTAAAACTTAAATATATACATATATAGTGTGATAACATCAGTTCTTGAAACCTAACTGATTCATCTGAATGAAATTTAATCAGGTACAGAGAATCATGAGATTGTCAATGAAGAAAGGAAACAAATAGTATTTATGAAACTTTTTTTAGCCGGAATTAACATGAAATCAGAGTAATGTGATATCAAATTTCCATGATATAAAATCGGATTTTCCAATGATACAAGGTTAACCTTTTGAACTAGCTTTTCATTTACACTTTTTTTCAACATTTGAAAGTACAGAATCTCACATTAATTTGCAAAATGAACTGTTAAAAACATTCTATAGAAATAATCTCATACTGAAATAACTAATATTTTGCAGACGGGATAGGCACAATATGGGAGGAAGACTCATAATTTACGAATTACACCAGAAAATACAGGGTGCTCGGAACAAACGATCTAAAGGATAATATTTGATTTTTTTTCATTGCATTTTTAGATTCTCCCTGAAGAGCTGATTTCATCAATGTATTGCACTTGGGGACTAGCTGAAATGTTCATAGTGATATAGGGTGTTCAAAATCTATATTTTTCAACAATGTCATTTTTTTGTGTTAAAACTATTTATTATTGGTCGAAACGGTTTACATGTCCCTATCTCAACTTTTGATTCACCATCCACTGACACTTAATTGGAACAAATACAGAGTGGTTCAAAATTCAAAATTTCTGATCACCCTGTAGATAGTAAATCGAACGTTTCGACCAATAATGAATAGTTCAGACACAAATCCCAAATTTGAAAATTTTCGATTCTGAACACCCTATATCTCCGTAATCATTTCCGGTAGACCCCAAGTGTGGTACATTAATGAATTCAGCTCTTCAGAAAAAATTTGAAAATGCAATAATATACAGGGTGTCCCATTTGAAAACACCCATCATCAGCCGATATCTTGGAATTCGAACATCCTATAGATATGAAAATAATTTTAGGTGATAGCTCTCATGAAATCCTAAAACTGTGGTATTCGAATATTTTTTATATACCTGACGGTTTGACTAATATCGAAGGAGAACACACTATTGACTCACCCTGTATATACAGCAAATATGCTACCAATATCTTCTGGAAGATACACAGACATTCCTGGTATCCGTTTCATGGTGACTTCGGATATACCTGGAATATGCATATAATATGCTCTTGAAAGTTTTGAAGACATGGAATATCCATGACAGATGTCAATATTCCATCGCAATATGCACAGGATATTCATGGAATATGATTGTGGTCTGGGATACATGATCGTTGCATAAAATACTATTTCGAAATACCACGAAGAATCATATATGAACCAGTTGAATTTTGATTTTTTGAATTAAATCAAGGGCCATCCTGTATATCATTTCTAGAAATCCTAAGATTAAATCTGATATTTCGCATCAAAATATAGTCACTTATTGAGCAATAATTCTGTATTCCTAGTATAATGTAACGGTTTTTGAGATTATTATTATCAAACAAAATAGATATGAATGGGGAATGGAGTTGTAATAATAAGAAAAACTCACCTGAGGATGTCAGCAATGTTTGGTCATTTTTTTTTCGGTTTTTGGATGAACCTACTAAAATACCTAAACTTTTTGTTTTCGTAGCCTTGTCCGGAGATAACTCCTCAAGATTCACTGTTGCGTTCCAATTCACAGTGCTGCTCCTAACGTGGTGTATGAACTCAGTAACAAAGTCTACACAGAACACATGGGCTGAAAGAATCTCTCGTAAAGTTGATAGCCACTTGCTGTGTACCTAATACAGCCTAGTTACTTTAGCAATAAAGATCAGCAATATTTTTTAATTTTTTTTTTGGTTACGCATTCTGCGATAAGAATTTTCCAGTATGTCGATTAAGGGTAGTCAAGGAAGGGATGTACTAACCGGAACAATTTTTCCGGGTGTCCAGGACCGGACAGGGCCCAGCAATATTTCACAACTTTCTTATTAGGGATTCTGCCACTTAGGTACATATTTTAGTATGCCCTTCTTTGTCTTGTCTTTCTGAATGACATATTAAAATATGTGACAGGATTCCTGATGAAAAAATTATAAAATATTGCTGGCTCCTGTCCGGCCCTGGACGCCCGGATTAAATATTCTAATACTGAACATTTCTTTGTTTCGTCTTTCTGAATTATATACTAAAATATGTAAGTGACAGGATGTACGTTCCTAATAAGAAAGTTGTAAAATATAGCTAGCCCCTGTCCGGCCCTGGACATCCAGAAAAAATGTTTCGATTAGTACATTCCTTCCTTGATTATCCTTAATCAATAAACTGGAAAATTGTTATCGCAGAATGCGTAAGGGAAAAAAAATATTGCTGAACTTAATTGCTAAAGTAATTAGGCTATCTAATACATAGACACCAATGAATCACATCATAGATTATACAGTGTGTCCATTTAGTGCGTAATTCTTCGATATCTCGAAAGCCATAACCTATAGAGAAAAACTTTGGAGAAAAAACTTTTTCAGTTACTAAAGTTGCTCATTTCAAAATATTTTCAACATTACTGGGTGTTTTATAAAAGCGGGGCAACTCGAGGAAGAGTTTTTTTAAATGGAACACCCAGTATTGTTCATTCGGAATGAATTCCGCCAAGTTTTACCTTCACATCGCTGTGAAAAAAATTTAAATCGGTTGCGGCGTTGCCAAGTTATAATTGAAATTTTGACCATTATTGAAGAGTCATGTTGAATTGGGCATGGTATATTCATTTATTCAAATTTTGAAAACATTTTTGGCATACGGTAGAAGCAAGGTCCCATGTATACCAATCTAGTAATTTTGCGAAATGTTCTTCAACAGGGTGTTCAATTTTGCATTTAGAACTTTGCAAGATTCAGATGACATTTATCAGAATTTTTCAAATGGAACACCCTGTATTTCAATTCAAAAATTCATTCCGACTTCTTTAGCCTTTTTATCGCTGGAAAAAAAAAATCGAAATCGGTTGCGGCGTCGTCAAGTTATGGATAATTTCCTTATTTTTACTACTATTTCGGGGTTATTTGTACGTTATAGTTCTTCCATTTATTTTTATTGTGGAAATATTGCGTTGCTACGGTATTATCAAATTTGTTCATTGACCATTCATATATTTTTCCACAATAGGAACATTTACAGGCTCTCCAAGTTTGAATTTTTTTCGAATATTTGTGTAATGACCTGTCAAACATCGCCACAATCAAAATATCTTGGATTGATTCGGAATTTTGCTGAATTCCCTCCCCCTTCAAATGGAGATTGGGATTGTGGGAATAACGACAATGAAAATGGCCGTAATTTCAAAGAATTGTCCTAATTTTCGCAATCCGTATCTCCATTGTTTGTATTGTAGAAGTTGTTTCAAAGATAGGCGTTGCTTTTGGCATGTTTGTTCGTTTCACATATTATTTAAATCATAAGTAACAAGATCACGGGATATTTCAAATTTGAACGATGCACATATCGCAAAAATACCTGAATGATCTATGTAGAATCTCGAATGTCATGTGGCAAGCAATAATCCCACACTCAAATCAAATACCCCAAAATAGTAGTAAAAATAAGGAAATTACTCATAACTTTTAAACGCCGCAACCGATTTTGATTTTTTCTTCAGCGATAAAAAGGCGAATGATGTCGAAATGAATCTGTGATGAAAAATACAGGGTGTTCCATTTGAAAAATTCTTATGATCGTCGTCTGAATCTCACAATATTCAGAATGTGAATTTTTGCACCCTGTAAAGGATTATCTCGCAAGATTACTGGATTGGTGTACGTGAGACCTTGATACTACTGTATGCCAAAAATATTTTCGAAATTTCAATAAATAAATATACCATACCCAATTGAACATGACCCTCCAATAGTAGTAAAAATGGGTTTATCAATTATAACTTGGCAACGCCGCAACCGAATTGAATTTTTTTCACAGCGATGTAGAGCTGAACCTTAGCGGAATAAATTTCGAATGAACAATACTGGGTGTTCCATTTGAAAAAACTCGTCTTCGAGTTGCCCCGCTTTTATAAAACACCCAGTATTGTTGGAAATATTTTTGAAATGAGCAACTTCAGTAACTGAGAAAGTTTTTTTTTCAAAGTTTTTCTCTTGTGATGATTGATTTCGAGATATCGAAGAATTACGCACTAAATGGACACACTGTATAAAGGGTTCACAAGTAAACCATTCCTTAGAAGTTTTTGTGGTTTCCATTTGAGTAAAATTTAGAAAGTTTTGAACATTACCTGAGAAAAAAATAAACAATTCGATGTGAAATATCGCCAGGGGCGTAGCACTTAAAATTTCGATCTTGCACTCAATTGAATCCTTCGAATTCTATTCATTGTCATTTAGAGAATTTCAAAAGCCCCGAAAGATATTTGTTTCAAATCAAACACCCTGTATATTATCAAATAACTGAACGAACGATAGAATTCTGCTCCAATTAATATAGGGTTTTCCCTATAATTATCAAACGCCAAAGGTTTTCAAGTTCTTATAATTCTTCTCGTTCATCGACATTCCAAGAATTTCTGACAAATGACATGTTTCTTATATTGCTTGGTAATTTACGGTCTGGTCTATGGAGAAATCAGAAAATGGTAGAATAAATGTATGTAAACTTGTTGAATGTCCTAACGGATCCCGTTCATTTTGGTCCTTCTTCAAAGCTGTAGGAAGAAACTTCACTTCGCGCTCGTTTCCTCCTCTAACCAAGGAAGATGGAACACTAGCCACAACTGCCCAGGAGAAAGCCAACATTTTTGCGCTTTTATTTGCTGGAAATGCCACTCTGGATTCATCGGGAAAACATCCTCCAAACATAACGCCAATTGACAGTCATATGCCCGAGATCACATTTCGCCAACTTGCTATAAGAAACATTTTATTGGGTCTCAACACCAACAAAGCTTGTGGCTCCGCCGGAATCCCACCGATTGTCCTCAAGAAATGTGCTCCCGAACTAACACCTGTTCTCTGCAAGTTGTTTAACTACACTTACAAATTCAGGATATTCACGTCCAACTGGAAAATTGCAAGAGTAAACCAGTTCCTAAAATAGGAAAAAAGACCCTACCTAGAAACTACAGACCGATCGCACTGCTATCTATTATTTCAAAGATCATGGAGAAAGCTATCAACATCGAGCTCATGAAATACCTGGAACATTCAGGTATTATCAACGATAGGCAATATGGCTTCCGTCATCAGAGATCAACTGGTGACCTGCTCGCTTACGTCTCACATATATGGCAGCAATCTATTGAAAAATATGGTGAAACCTTAGCCTTTTCACTTGATATATCCAAGGCATTCGATCGAGTATGGCACAACGGACTCCTCGCCAAGTTTCCATCTTATGGCTTGCATCCCAGCTGTGTTCTCTGCTAGCTAGTTTTCTCTCAAACAGGTCTCTCCATATAGTGGTCGACGGATTTTATTCATCTGACTCTCTTATCATAAATGCTGGTGTTCCGAAAGGATCGATTCTAGCACCAACACTATTTCTACTCCATATCAACGATTTGTTGGAAGCAACTTCATGTCCAGTACACAGCTTTGCGGATGATAGTACCCTCCATATCGGCTTCTTTTCCAGGGCTCCAATACCAGCCAGGCAAATCAGAAACGAACGAGGGAGAAATGTTGACAACATAAATATGGACTTGGCAACAATTCTCGAATGGGGATCCAATAACTTGGTAGATTTCAATGCAAACAAAACACAAGCATGCCTTTTCTCTAGAAAAGCCGATCTCACTGTGCCCAACATAAGCTTGTCAGGAGTAACAATACCTTTGAAGACCTCCATTTCGATGCTTGGTATTACTATCAGCAATAACCTTTCTTAGGAAAGTCCCGTGAGATCAATTGCTAAAAGTGTATCCCAAAAACTTGATTTTCCGTTTCGGTCCAGGAGCTATTTCACTTCTTGTCTACTGCTTATGATCTATAAGGCATAGATCCGACCTTTCCTGGAATACTGTTACCATATTTGGAGTGCAGCACCCAAACATACCCTGAAACTGTTGGAATCTGTCCAAAAAAGGGCAATTCGTCTCGTGGGTGATACCTCGCTCACAAACTCACTCACTTCTCTGGAACACCGTAGAACAGTTGACAATGCTTTTCTGAAACATCAACAATTGTTCCTCCCTTGGTAGTCCCCGCGATATTAACCCGTCGAGTTGAGGCTTCGCACCCCTTTATGGTCACTTTGGAGACCTGCAGATCATCTCTTTCCAAATACTCGTTTATCCAACGAACAGCGAGGCTCTGGAACACATTGCCAAGGGAGGTGTTCCCCGAGGCATATAACCTCTAGAAATTTAAGAAGAACACCAATTCCTACCTTATTTCCCTTGGTTCTCACGATGTTTGATTGATTGTCTTTATTACCCCAAGAAACATTACAAGATATCCCTTTTCGTTGAAATCAGAACATAAAAAAATATCACTTTTTTTAGCTTGGAACGAGAGTGTTATTAGTTGACAACTCTCACAGATCATTGTTTCTATACCTTCAACTTCATTCATGACTGAATGCGCATGCCTCATGGACTCCAGTTCAATCTCGTAAATAGATGAGCTTGTCTTATGGCATTACGACCTGGTTAGGTAGTAGGTTATGTCAGTGATCCATATCCGTAAATAAAAACATTTGAAACTATTTTTGTATTGAATCTTTCACACTCCCTCTTCGACATTTGTCCCTGATTGGGTGTAGTTTTCTTAGTTCATACAAAACTAATCGATTGAGTCATAGGATTCCATTTCAGACTCAAAAATACAGCGAGTAAATTTTGTTTGGTAAAGCTTCATCATTTTTAGGTTTAGGTTATCAGAAAACATGTTCAACTTCGACTCTCCCCAGATTTTCATTAAATGATTGTAGAAATGAATGAGAGTTTTTCAACTACTTCTGCCGCACTTCATCATTATCAACGGGTTTTCATAAAAACAAGTTTCACGGAAAAATTATACATTTACTTTCAAAATATAAATGTGTACAATAACATAACTCGAACATTGTGATCTACAAACTGATTTGATAATACAAATTTTACTTTTTTTACATTAAGATGGTGACTTATAGTCAAATCAATCCATTAAGAAAATGGAAAATATACAATTTACAATTTGATTGAACTTATAGTAACTAATGGGATATAAATCACATTGCAAAAAACTATTCTGCAAAACAATCACATGCACAGATCACTTTGAAAACACCTTCTAACTCCATATTGATCCCATTAGAGCTCAAAATTCTGAAAAGAAGGAAGAGATTAAAAACAACACGACTTTGACAATTTGGAGATTGACAAATAGAGCAAAATGTCATTTCCAAGGAATTACTCTGAAGCAAAAACCTGTTTATTCGCTAGTCAACAAGTAAGTTTATGTGGAGTCACCGATAATGTGATTTTCAGAAAAATATATTTTCTAGGAAGAAGGTTCATTCAGGCCGAGTTAGGTTAGAATGTTCAGAAAGGATATTTTCCTTCCTCATATTACGTACTCGGAATTCGGGGAGCCATAGAGGGAAACGCTTGTACTAGACAATGTGAGCCTAACGCACATTGTGTTACACCCACATCTGGCAAACGCGCATCCTTCGGGTATGTTCCGTGCTAAATGTGAGCCTATAAAAATTTAGGTGTGACGCAATGTAGGCATAACAAAATGTGGACAAACAGCAAGGTGAAACGGAATGTGTCGAAATGCCCACAATGACGGTTAAAGTGAATTCTGGTATAAAGGATAGTATTTGGCAACAGTGCGTCCTTCGGGAATGTTCGGAGACAGTGGGAATATCAAAATGTGGGGCTAACGAAATGTGTGAACAACGCGATGTGGGAGTATCGAAATGTGGGAACAACGCGATGTGGGAGTAACAAAATGTAGGCATAAAGCAGCGCACTCGCCAGTTCGTGGGTTCGAATCCAACGACTGCAGACATTTTTCTGATGGCCTAAGAAAGTGTTTGGGATCACACGTTAGAAGTCAAGGCCCCTGTCATTCCTTGCTCGCACAAGACTCTTGGGGACTTCTGAGGGTTGCTTGTAAGAGGGCAACAAGATGACAGATAAGAACAATTTTAGAAGAATCAATGTATCATCAGATTATGACCTCTACTTACATATTCAAGGCAAATCAATTCAAACCACAGACACTATATTTGTGGGAATCACACTTGATCCAAAATTGACATGGGAGCCACATATAAGTACGAGTTTGTTCTAAACTAAGTACATGTTGCTATATGATTAGAAATTCAAGAGAAACAGTATCGTTTGACGTAAAAAGATTTTTGGCCTGGTACAGTCAACTTTACGATATGTTGGGGATCATCAGCATACTTTGAAAAGGCTTTCATCGCTCAGAAAAAAATCATAAGAACCATGTTCAATGTTCATCCATCAACTACCTGTAATAATCTCTTCACTAGAGCACAAATAATGACTTTACCTAGCCTATTTATCTATTGTATAATACAAGATCAAATGTGATATTCATCAAATTTACTCACGTCTAGAAATATGTCATAATCCACCTAATTACATAGGAATTAAAATATATATAATAAGTTTAAACTCATATACAAAAATTATGAAAACTTTAACATAGCATTTGAGACTAAACCTAAAAGTTTGCTACTTGAAAATGCATTCTATTCCATAGGGCATTTTCTTCAGCTTTGAAATGGTTTCCCTTATTTTTCAATTTGGTTGTGAATGTATTTATAATGATTACTTTGAAATGATTTTTACTTATATCTGTTTGTGAATGTATTCATATTGATTATTTGTTATCATTATGACTAGGCTGATAAGTGTTATGCATTTTATTATACAGGCTGATTTTAAAATGAGTGCATATATTTTAAACACTAAGAAAGCTTGAGGTATACTACCGAATAGCACTATTAAAAATATTATTAGGATCAAAATGGATTTGGGGCAAAATACCCTTCTTCCGCCCAGATTTCTACTTCTGTCACAACTATTGTTTGCGATCCGCAGTCGACCGTGATGAACGAAGCGACGTTGCCACTCTACATGAAAATTAAGAGATATTAAATAAAATGTATAATCGAGAAAATGTACATGGGGAAGAAGTTAACCCTGGTCTTGAATTTCAGAAAGATAATACAAAAACTTTAAAATGAACTCACCCAAGATTTCTACACATAAGCTCGAATAGCGTATAACTTAACACCTCACGGTTGGAAGTTCTTCTACTGGAAAATCCTTTAGACCCTTCCTTCCACCTCCTTGCATCGCTACAATTTCGTGTCCTTCGAAGAGTCTCATGGGCCCCGCACAATAACGACCCGACATAAGAACCATATCATTCAGCTCAATGTTTGAGAAATGCATCGTCACATTCCAAGCAAATTGTCAGAAACAAAACTTTACATTTACTAGTATCACGTTTTGACGTTTTCCAAAATAACATACATTCTCAGAACAACAAACTGTCAAGAAAGGATCTTTGTTTTGATTGTTCTTATGGTGTGCTACCAGCAAGAATTCAGATGACCATGAATTACTAATAGGCGACTTTTACGGACCAATCAGAAACAGCAAAGTAGTGCCTGCGTATTTGCGATTCATCCTGATTGGGCACAGGTGATTGAAATTAATGTATTAGTCTAGTCTCACAAATCCAATCAGCTGTGTCCAATCAGGATGAATCGCAACCACGCAGGCGCAGGCTGTTTCTGATTGATCCTTAGAAATCACCTATTAGTAATTCATGGTCATCTGAATTCTTGCGTTCGAAACGGTCAGAAGCATGCGCAGTTTCACAGTACTGTATGATTTTTTTTTGGGTTCTGTGGACTTGTCCATGCTTCTGACGGTTTCGGATTGTTTATTTTCTGAACGCGAACAATCCTAGTTAGTACTGTCAAAGGTCACAGCAAAGAGGAAATCTATGGTCACAGATACTACTGTTCTGAGAAATGATGTTGACAGATCATATGATAATAGTTTTGTTTGTGTGGTTGCTGGTCTGTAAAATAATTGTAAACGTAAAATAAAAAATAAAATAATTGGATGTTGTGTCTTGTGTCGTGATAATCGTGATATGGTCGTGATCGTGAATTTCAATGTGAGATTGCCAGGAAGGATATGTCGTCGTCGAGTCGTCTTCGATGGTTTAAGTGCGAATATGAACCAACAAGAACACAGGACGATATTAGTCTGGAATGGACTCGATATTAGTATTTGTTTGCTCTCGGGAGTTTTGCTGTTCGAGCAGGTATGAGAAAATCTACTAGGTGAGTCGATTTTCAACTTTGTGTATGTTGTGTACCTATTTATTGTCTGCTAATTTTGTATCTACCTGCTGGGGCCTTATTTTCGAATTGAAGGAAGGGAGACGTTCTATCATTCCCCTCATGTTTCTCTCCGTCTCTCGTGATCCATGGAGATAATCACCCCACAATTCTCTCAGTAAACTTTAAAAAATAAGGCTCCTGTACATATTACATTCACCTCTATTAGTTTCCATAACCTATTCCAATTCATATTCATCCTGTGACAAATTTTTATCAGGATATTCGTCTCTGAAACAATCTGGCATCACTGTCTTGTTTTGACGTTAGTGAATGACGAATTGGGGATTCCCTGGGATTCCGCAGATTTCACTTGCTTCCCAGTGGCGTACTCGAATTTCGAAGCATTTTATGTTCAACTTTCAAAATGAAATTTCTCGTTAGTGTGAAGACTTAGGAAAAATCAAATATTTTAGTAATTTTTGTTAGACTCTCTCATATATACAGGGTGTTTCCTAATTGAATGTCAATATTTGAAGAGGCGATTCTCGGGCCCCTTCTAAGAAGAAAATTTCATATGAACGTATGACTTAAACGTCCTAACTTTGGAGATACAGGGTGGTAAAGTTCTCAAAAATTAATATAGCCTACAACAATGAAAAGAAATAATTCCAAAATACCAAATACGAATAGGAAGTTCATAAACTATGAATTGTATTTCTGGAAATTGATCTAAAAAATGAAATGTATTCCTCTGCATTGTGATATTGTCATCATATTAATGATATTGTTATAATCGAGGTTATAATCATGTAGTGAAAAGCTTTTTATTTTTTTAAGCGAAAACCGTGCATCAGATTGAAAAAATTGTAGTGATCAAGTTTGCTAAGAAATGATTGGGAATTTCATTAATGATTTCAATTTCGAGATTAATCAGTGGCGTACCATCAATGTCTGCCAAAATAGGTATGTGAAATTCCATACGAACGCCACTGGTGGCAACCAACAAAAATGTGGTACACTTACTGATGCCTCTTGATACATAGTACATGTATGCCAAATTTCTTTAGAATATCTGAAGTCGTATTACAGATATTGATAAAAAACAATTAGGTTTTGATAACTTTACCACCCTGTATCTCAAAATTAGGACGTTTAGGTCATACGATCATGGGAAACTTTCTAATTAGAATGGGCCCAAGAATCGCCTCCTCAAATATTGACATTCAATTATGAAGCACCCTGTATATGTCTTGAATATATGCACTTATTTTAAAATCAGCCTGTATACATACGACCTTTTATGCTGCGATCATATCATATCATATATGTACTTACTTCCTTACGTAGATGGTAGCTCACTACTTTCAGTCTTTTTCGATGCAGATCTCAATACTCTTTTTCCCGTAAGACCTTCGTTTACTATGTCGTCCGTACTCTTTCGTCTTTTGGTCGCCTTTCTCACAGGAGGGGTATCCACTTTCTCTAGTACAAATTTCGAATCGATGTCCATTTGTATTTTCTCATGCAACAGTAATTTTTTGTTGGACGATAGTTTTTTGTCGGGCGATAGTTTTTTGTCGGACGATATTTTTTTGTCGGGCGATAGTTGCTGGTCGGTCGATAATTGCTGGTCGGTCGATAGTTTCTGGTCGGTTGATTCTTTTTCTTCTGCCGATGGTTCTTCGTTTGGCAATGGTTCTTTGTCAGGTGAGGATTTATTAGCTGATGACGAATTTTTGTTCGGCGGCGATTTTTTGTCTCCCGTTGATTGTTTCTTTGGTGATTTTTTGCGCGTTTCCTGATGAACTTTTGGTTCTTCGTCAAACCTCAGAGGGAAATCCTGGAAATGAAGGCTTCAATCAAAATTACGGCATTTCCACTAACTAAACCGATTTTTCAAACTCTTCGACACGTGTTCCTCTAACTATGTTAGCATCTTCAGGAGGAGATTGAAACAGTTTTAATCTTCTACTGAAGGCGTATAAAAAAAACCGGCTTGGTTAGTGGTATTATTTTGTTTAACTAGCATGGAATGGTGCGACTTATACACTATACTTTTTATACGGCTGCAGAAAACAGCGAAATTTTTTACTTCTACGGCGTAGTTATCTGATTTCTCTTAAGTAATGCTCATCTATTAGACAGAGCTGTCATTGCTTCAAATTTGAGATTTCATGGAAGATGAGATTTTATGAAAAAATAACACAATGAAGTAAAACAAGATCAATTTCATGCTATAGCAGTAGAAAAACAGTAATAATGGTGAATGAGTATAGTACTACAATAAATAGTTGAGTTTTGATACCTCAGTTATCTTCGGTGATACGAGATCGTTAGATTTTTGTTTGCTGATTATCAACATAAATCTGACCTATCAACATTTGTTTTCCAAGTATCACTTAAAACCTTTTTTGCGATTTTTGATATTTTATCAACACAAATCTGATCGATTCTGGAGTTTTTCACAAAGGCATAGTTATGACTATGACCTGTTATGACAGGTTAGAACAAGGAGCTCGACGCGTAATGGCGAGTTCACATGCCAGCTTATGCCTACAGCAGAAAGCTTGAATAAAACGGACGCACTGTTCACATGAAAAAGTTGGAAAAGTGACAGTGACTGCCACATATTTGGTTAAATTTCAGATGTACGTTCTCCAGAAACCACATTTATCACATTTTTAGGAGTGTTTTTCCAGTACTGTTTCCCACACTGCATAATATGATGATATAGCACCAATATGTATTCATTTTGTCAATATTTGTGTGGTTCTGTCAAACGATCTGAGCTTTTTTCCGCAAAAGTCGGACTGAAACCGACTTTCTAGCTTATGACCTCGATAAGCGTTTTCTGACGAATCGGCCAATGAGATGAGGATACGCTGTAAGTCAAAAGGCGAAAACCCAGCATGTGAACGCGCCATAACACAACCTCGTGCTAGAATCTACGACTTTTTTCCCTCGTATAATAAATAACTATTTTGATGAAAGATTTGTTCAAATGATGTTTTTCATAATTCGGCCGTGAATGAGCTAAACTGTATGTGTATGAATGGACAGTGTTCATATCAGACAGAAAGGTGAATCTTGACAGGAATACAAAAGATTTCTAAGGTTAGGATAACAAATTAATAACCTAGTTCAGAATAGGTCACTGGCCTACTTATAAAGTTTTCCACTCGCCGATTTACAGAGCGCACTAGCACAGAGCAAGTACAAGTGGCACTGACTTGGTTCTTCTATGAAGTGCGGTTCCAGCACAGAGCAGTGGGATAGAAATAGAGAGTTGGTGCGACCTTCTTGTCATCAGAAATGTCAGAATAATTGTTTTGTCAATCAAAAAGTTGAATTATTGAAAGGACATTTGGTTCCTGTGAACACTGTCAGAAACAGTCTTATACATGAATGTTCGTTGTCAAAGATATTCAATTGAATCATTCGACAATAGTGATGTAGCATTGAAGTGTCGTTCACGGAGTTAGTATTTTCCATCATTACTGAATCAACAATCAAATATGTTTAATACCTGCACATCTGAATAGTTTCCTTTAACTTTCAGATAATTTTGAATCTTCCGTTAACGCTGTTTCGTAACGAAGTATTTCTGTATCTCAATCATAATTGCTTCATCATCGCTTGCATCCGAAGTATCTATGATTCCGGAAATCATTTTCAGAATAGTAATAAACTTCAATGAGACATTCATAATTATTCAAATTCCAAACATTTTCCCACTCGTGACTTGAATATTTGAGGTTATGTGTATCGCACCGTCGTACAAGCACAGTTCTGAAAACTCGAACTCGAACGGGCATCGAGCAAGTTTGAAAGCCAGTGGAAACCATTTCTCGACAAAAGTTTGCTATTGAAATTTTCATTGGACCACGCAAAACGCACTCAGTGCCGAAAAAGTTCGCGCTAGTGCGACGAGTGGAAAACGCTATTAGATAAGGGCGATTATTGATTTTTTTTCAATGAACAGACAATATAGGTTAGGTTCCATGTGAATGGGGCGAATACCGCCCCTCCACTGCGACCCAAGAGACAATATTATAACTCGTCTACTAGTTTTTTACTTAAAATGACAACGACCCAACCATCAGCTAATTTTGTTGTACCTTGAGTTTTAATCTTACCTTGTCAATTTCTTTCTTTCTCCGTCTCTAGGCACTATATAAGAGTTCAATACTACATATTAGATCGATGCGAAAAACGGTCCCTTTATATACTGACCAGCATATATTTTACACAAGTTCATTTCGAGCCGCAAAAATATTCTTCACTCAGATACTCAAATGTAGGAAGTGTAACTTCACATTTCAAAGTTATTCCGTGCAAGTTATACGGCTAAAATAGATAACAGCGGCAATTTCGATTTCTTCGTCTTGTAGCCATCTGATTTCCTGTCAAGTAATGCTCATCTATTAGACAGAGCTGTCATTGCTTCACATTTGACATTCCATGAGCGATGAGATTTTTTTGACATAATAACGCAATGGAGTCATTGTGATATCAGATACGGAAATAATATCGATGACATGCAAAGTACCTCATTGACGTATCAAACACAGTAAAATAAAGGCAATTTTGTGTTATAGCCGCAGAAAAAAAGATTTCACACAGTATCGATCTGGTTTACCTTCACATCATCAACTTCCAAATGTTTTGCCGCATGTTCCAGAACTTTCGAGTGGGCCACCAGCTCTGAACAATGTTCACAAGTACTCGCGTGGACTTTCATATGCAAATTCAGCATGTATCCCGTACCCAGGTTGACGTTGCACAGCGGGCATTTCGGTTCGTGTGAATTCATGTGGGGTACGTGATCGATGATGTTGTGTTTGGAACCGCAAATGTAGCACATACAAAAACTGCAACAAAAAAAAACGGCAATTCGTAAAATACTGTCTTTAGGTTGTTAGTCGAGGAGGTAGAACATACGTTTCTTCAGATTTTTTTTGGTTTTCTCTCTTCTTTTCTATAAATTAACATATTAGTATTATTTCAATATACCTGTAGTAGGACTAGGATTCCTAAATATGTAGGACACTATTGTTTAGACGTGACAACAAGAGTCCCTGTATGTATTTGCAGGGCCTACTCTATCTCACCGGGCCGTTGAAAGTTTATAGCTTATTTACTTTAATAATTAGAAGCACACTCAATCGAGACGAATTGATCCATGATGAACCACCCACCTTTCGGTTAAAAAATATATATTCAGTAGGATGAACCAGTACCGATTTATGATGTAAATAAATTTAATTTTAATGAAAATCAGGACGTTGCACTACGGAATACTATTTTTTGCCAATTTGGAATCGGTTTAAAATGAAACTGATTGAGTATGTCAAACTAGGATAATGCATCAACTAAATAGTGAGAAAATTATTGAGCTACCTACAATGAATCCGAAATAAATTTGTCTACTATTATACCTACCTAATTTCTCCCTAATTCCCTATAGATAAATTGCAATGCACGTTTCATTACTCATGTTCCAGTTGTGGGTCTTTTGATATTTTGAATACATATTGAATATTGTGTTGAATAATTAGGTATTACATATGCAATATAGCGGGATTCAGTCGAATAATAAGAAAAGAAGAATCATCAGACTTTCCGGATGAATATGGAGCTTTGAGCCCATTTTTTAGTTTGGGATATATTTATATTTTGTTATAAGTACATGTTATTTTGAAATATCTGGCTAATTTTTTTCTTTCATTATGTTGAATATTTTTTCAGAATGGCTTTCGTTTAGTATTGTGTGTATGAGAACTACTTATTATTTGTTCATTTTTAATTTTCATATTTTGAAAACGATTTCAAATCAATGTATCTTCATGAATATGAGATTATTTCTAAAATATATACTTCATAGCTGAAAATAATAAATTTGCTGTCAGGGTTTTTGCGTAATAACTTCTACTCGGGTGGGTATATAATTTCTAACGTCATCAATGTGTGTCCAGATTATCTCTATTCTCTAGACATAAACGCTGCTAAAATCGTCTGAGATACAGTAAAAGTGTATCATAGCGATTTGTAGGCAATGACATTTACTACAAAAAAGTCAGTGACAGCATATATCCACAACTAATAGGTTTAGCATGGGGGCCATCTAAACTTTTTGAACTAGTCAGTAATATTCATCTGAATCACCATTATACTTGAATTGAAATATCGGTTTGTTATTGGCTCTTGGGAATTTTGAAAAAAATTACAGCCAATCTAGGTACTATGAGAAGCCTTTGCATGGTTGAATCATTTCTGTGAATTAAATATTGAAATTCTAGCAGCTGTTTGAAAAACGACAATTCTGAATGTAGTCAATTCATCTTGATATGCTATATTGCTTGAACTATTAGTCGTAAATCAATGAATATTGGTTCATCTCTTGAAAAAGTCTAGTCTGTTCATATTTGATCTCTTGACATTTTTTGATAACTGTTACCGTTTTCCCGTGTTACATCAATGAATTGGAAAACGCAATTTCCAGCGCCTCGATTTTGTCCCTACTAGTATGGACACTATGACAAGCAGTGACAGAAGGCATAACCCTAAAAAAATTTAAATGACATGACCAATTTGGCGGACACTGACAATGGGCGTGTACACCTTAGTAGAACTTTTAACTCAAACCATGTTTATAATGATCCTTTTATACATAAAGAATGATTGACGACATAATTCGATCGAAAAATTAACTGGAATGTTTTATATTTGGACATAAATAATAGTACCTTCTGAAAACGGACCCTCTTATGACGTAGAAACCTCATCTCGCCATAGTTAAAAGAAAATACCAAATGCTCGACGGAGACTGAGGCAACTGATATATTAATTCTTTCAACTGTGATCTCGCGCTAATTCACTCTGTCAGAAATCATGTATCATTCATCTCTGTCTGGAATAGTCTTGTTTCACTATTAGGGTTTTGACGTCACATCATCGCCTTGTTTTCAGAGGTCCGAAAAATCGGGGATTTCAATAATTTTGTATAAAACGTAGGGAGCTCACAGCAAGAAACGGTTTGCGGTGGTGAGCTAGTTTGGGTGAGTTCTATCGAATTATGAAATGATTTTTTTTTGTGATATAAGCCCATTCATGAACGTACATGACATTGAATTATTTGAAAATTCAGTTTTTCGAAAAAAGGCTGATTGTGTAGTTGAAAACTGCAATAATAGAAGAGAATCATTTCATTTATTCCATTTCCCCCATGATAAACAACAGCTACAGAGATAGAAACAAAATATGAAGCGGCCATTACGGGAATTGAGTTCAGCTAGCAAAATTTGCGAAGTAAATTCTCAATATTTGAATTTTTCGATTGAATATACAATTGACACTTTCTGAAATTGAATTGACTATTCTGAAATCGATTGACGTTTTATGAAATATAATAGACTATTCTGAAATACAATTGACCCTTTCTGAAATTGAAATGTCGCTTTCTGAACTACAACTGGAAACGGTGTAATAACTACCTTATGAAATTCAATATGACCAATGACAACAGTATTCACATAGAAGACAATGGTTCCACCTGGTCGCTAATAATCACTTATTGAATACTTATATATCTTGCAAGATGATTCAGTACCAATAAGAATATCCTAATATTCCTAATAATGATCAGGATTTCATTTAAACCAAAACTATTGTGTGACCCTGGCAACAGCGTTATAATTAGAGTTCTCAGAAATATCAAGAGAAGAAGTCTTTATCTTCAAATCCTATCGTCTAGTCAAGAGGTCTAACAAATACTGTGAATATTCAAAGATAATCCTCAGATTATCTGATTCTTCAATTATGTGTGGTGTTCCCTGTTATCTGCAGTAAGTATCCAGCCCAGAAACTGTCATTTCATATTTTGATAGAAATGACAATCTGAAATATTCTTGGACTTGGACAGAAATAAATGATGGATACGTAAGTCGAATCTCATGTAGTTGTATTGGATTATTCAAGGTAGAACGTCGCGTGATTTCCTTGTTATGAACATTGTCAATAATAATTTGAAAAATGACGAAATAACGGTTTGCGAAATTGAACTTGTTAGGGTTACATACCCATTTACTGTTAATGATATAATATTGTAATGATATTCCCCTCAGAGGGGCTCTAGAAACACCATCAGGAAGGCAGGAGTACAACTATCTTCCTGTAACAGTTATCCCAGATTGTTCTCCAACATCCCAATGATTCTAACATGTACCAGCTTATTTTCGAACATCCAATATATGTCGAGGTGACAAATAACGTGACAGAAGATTCTGGAATGTTCTGGAAACAATCGATGGAATAATTAGAGAGGTATTGTTCTAAGAAGCTTCTAGAACAAAAGAATTGTGCGGAAGATCATTCGACAACGTTCGAGAAGAAAAGCCTGCCAAGGGATCTGATATATTATTATAAGGATGGCGTGATATAAATCATTTCACATAAATAGTAGTTATAAATTCGATATAAATTAGTGTTCCTTTAGTAAAAATAAATCAGTTCGAAAATAATTAGTGTCATGTTCGCTTCTGCACCCGAATAACGTAACAATATTATGAACACATCAAACTTATATTTATTTTTTATTCATGGAGACGAGAGAAAATCAAAGAAAATCTAGAGAAATGTATTAAAATGTTCTTTGGACTTGAATGAATGTAACTCACTTTTCTCCATTTTCTTCCATCAGTATCCTATTCCTTTTGTAAGGCGTCACCAAATAGTCGTGATCATTTATATACAGGCCGTCATCACTATAGTTTGTGAAGAGGACACAAACCTCTCTGTCCGGATACTTCATTTCCTTCTTTTTGTTGGAAGTTTTCAGGACACAAACAAGACGTTCCTTAGAATTGCGTCTTGGGCAGCTAGCAAGTTTTTCGGCAACAGGTACTATCTTGAGTTTTCGTTTCCGTTGTCTCCTATCTATGAGAATGATAGTATATTTCTGATATCATAATTATGTAGATTGAGATGGTTATAATGAGGAAGTTTTCTTTGGATCAATATTCATAAAATTAGTTTCACATGTTTTCACACTGATTAGGATTAGAAAGAAAGGAAAATCGTTATTAATTATTATTTTTAACTTCATCTTTGAAGCTTCAGTTTCTTGTTTTTTTTTTGGATATATGTACATCTCCGTATGTCTTGTCGTCAGTATGCCTATTGTTCTTGTATTATAACTCTGGTCAGGTGTGCTGGTTACAAATAGATCATAATTTTTTATGAACATTGTTGCTCCTACGATGTATATACCCGGTGAACAACTAAGAACGGCTGTCATATCTATTATTCTTCCAACTTTGGAAGTTTATATCTTCCGTTGGCGAAAAGCATTCATGTTGCGGTTTTCGTTGGTCTGTTGAGATTTAGTTTCTCTATTACATCGTGTAATGATATGCATACCATTGGATTTATTATATCTCAAACTGTATTCCCAGCGAGCACAAAAACATCTCAGAGATGTTAAAAGTACGAGATTTCGAGACATTGAACCTCCACTGCGATGTTCTGTTCACACATGAATAGAACTATTATAGAACAGCCAATGTCCACCGCAGGCGGCAATTATCGAGATGTCCTTGATATGTCACAAAACTACCTTCTCCATAGTTCTTTTTGAAGCCTTTTCATGGACACAACAAAACATTTTCAACGCGTCTTGCGCACATTAAATCGCTGTAAAAAAACCATTTTTGAGGTGATTTTCTGAAGCCTTTTGTCAAAATGAACTTTTGCATTAGGATTCCATTTCCCTTGAATGAAAAAATGCATTAAAAATAGATTGAACATAAAAATATTTTCTTGATATGAAATTACCTTCTTAATCGGTTTCTGAGTAGTGCTTACTACACACAGTCATATAATTGGGAATAGGTTTCCCAATTTTTGAAATGTTCTCCACAATGCATAATTTTGCAACTGCGGAGAAGCTGTGTATTGATAAATTCGTACTTTTATATATTGATTACACTGAGGCATACCGAACAACACATACCTATCTTGCATCTGATGGTCATTAATACAAACTAAATGAGTCTTCTAACACAATAAACTTCACCAAATTCCTTTCTGTTCGTTAGCAGCGTGATGTAAGCGTGACACGCTGAAAACGCTAATGCCAATTGCGAACAAGAAGAACAAAATCGAAAACAAATCAGAATTCATCGTATTGTGACGTAAGCATGAGACGTTGTGGTGGGGCAAACAAAGAAAGGGCACAAAAGAACAAAAACAATACTTTCAATATCCTTCTAAGACCTCTTTGGGAAGTGCATATTACGCCTTGAAAAAACATCCTCATGCCTACATTTCTAAAACATCCCAAAACATCCCAGGGATACCTTTCAGTAGGCAAACAAAGAAATGCCACAGAAAAACAAAAACAATACTTCAATATCCTTCAAAGACCTCTTTGGTCAGTGCATATTACGTCTCAAAATAACATCTTCATGCCAACATTTTCAAAACATCCCAAAACATCCCAGGGATGTTTGTGCTCGCTGGGTCATTATTCGTTGCTGAGATATGGCCGACAGCCGTTCTTAGTTGTTCACCCTGTACAAATTGTAAGTTTATAATAATAATATGTTGATTTCAATAATAGTATATAACACACCGAGGTGGGAAGTGATTCATTCCTGTAGTGAGATCAGTTAGTTAACCGAGACGCAAAGCGTCGAGGTTAGCTATAATCTACCGAGGTTTGTATACAATTTTATTTACAATAATATTTCGATCAAAATTGATGAATTTCTTGTTTTGTTCTGAACATGCCTAAAATTCAAAAATGAAGTGAGGGCGGGAAGAGAGGGCGGGAAATAGAGGTGTGTAATGTGACAATGTGACACTTCCCAACCTTCAATGACGTTAGTTATGACAACATTACATATATGGTTGTAAATAACTTTTTTGCAACTATCTCTGCGATTTAAACGAAATATATTTCTGATACATCCATTTTGTAGAATTAGAATTCGTTTAGAGTGGACTGAGTTTCCCCAGAAGATTATTCCATAGCTAATACGTGACTGTACATTGGCATGATATGCCATCAGTGCAGTATTATAATAATCAATATTTGATGAAATAATTTATATATACTTCGATGAACTACTAGATATTTACGCAATTTGGTCATTCCAGTCCAACCTCTGATCAACGCTCACACTGATGATTCAGATAGAATATCTTCATTTTTGTATATCATTGTCAAATTATTGTTTGATCGTTGACCAAAATATATTAGTTGGGGCTTGTCAATATTTAAGAGAAGATTATTGTTAGTGAATCAAGTTTCTAAAGTACTCGGAGGTATGTTAATTTTATGTTAATTTTTCCTGTACATAAGGCAGATGTTGGTTCGCTGAAAATCAAAGAGATGTCATCTGCATACAAAATCATTTCTTCATCTACTATTTGAGGTGGTGGGTTCACCTATAGAAGTATGCTTTTGCAATCTATAATGACAGTTGAAATGATTCAAATCATTTCTATTTTAGAACTAGAGCAATTACTAGTATATTAAAGTATAAGTTGATATTTAGCTTGCTCTATTTCGAGCGGAAAATCGCGCGTGTTTCAAAGAACACAATCCACGCATATCATCTATACAGGGTGAGTCATAACTAATGGGACATATGCTAAGACATATGCTAAGGGGATTGTTAGGACCAAAATATAGCGATTTCTTTCGGTATATAAATTATATGAATTTTGTCACTGCCCTATCAATTTTATGTCTACATAATCTATATTTTTTATACTCATTATTATTCCAATTTTTACCATTTAACTCACATTACAAGTTCTTGTTTTTGTTGAATTGAATTGTAACGAATTGTTTCATATACCATATATTGTTTCCGCCTTGAAGAAGAAAATAAAAATTTTCGAAAGCTTGGCGTAGAAATAAAGTAGTTTGCTTGGAGCCCGATTGGCTGAACTCCCCGATATTTCCTATTATATCATAATATAATACAGTCGATAAACTATTCGATAGATAGTCATTTACATGAAAAATATACAGAGTGAACAAGTTTTAATAACTAGTACTTTAGGAATTGATAGGACTCGATGAAATAATATTATATCTTCCTAATGAACATATTATGCTATAAAAAGGTTCGTTATTGAAATATAGGGTGGTTGAGTTGAAGTTTTTATGAAAATCTTGAATAATTAAATATTGTTGATAGATATAGCTCTGATATTTCAAAGGTACACTGAAGTGATTAGTATGCATTGATAACATGTGATAACATTCCGATTGACAGACATGGTGGTACCACTGACCAGATTCCAGTACATTCTATCATTCAATACGTAACTTTCATATTTCAATTTCAATTATTCAATTTTTTCGATATTTTGTTTGATATGCAAGGTATTTGAAAATTTTACGGATAAATATGATTATTTGATGTTTTTTGTGATTGTTGGAGGTTTCTATATCTTATTAGGTAATCAATCATATAATCAATGTTCAGTATTTGAAATGAACTTTTTCAGTGTTCAATATTTCTTGAAGGAAAGCACGGAATCATTGTTAACAGGCCATTGTTAAAAAGTCCCCAAAAAGTGAACCTACAATACAAAGGTTATTGAAATCTGTCTCAAGATTCGTAAAATAGTTTGAACTTTCAGTTAATTCAAAATTTCATCACCAGAGTAACATTCAAAAAGAATACAGAGTGAGCCACATAAGTAGGAAAACGTGAATTTATATGTTTCATTATAAGGAATTCAGAATTTATATGCTTCATTATCAGGAATTCAAAGATACTAGGATTGATAACGGTATTTCAAACGACTATGCATGAACAGAAGTGTTCTGAAACATCCCAAAAGAACTAAAAAGTACTCAATATGTGTGTAGTAATTTTCTAGATCACCTGTTTTCGAAGGTCCCAATGGAATTTTTTGGATACCTTTCCTACTCCATGACAGAGGGGGAACTGTAAAAAAAACATCATTGTTCATTGAGGTCTAGAAGAATATGAGATGATAATAGTTATTCAATCAACAAGTGATGTTTGAGGGATTCTAACTGCTAACGCTAAAGCAAAATAATTTGTTTTGAAAAAGAGAAGGACTTTTCAGTAATTATTATCAATACAACGAGTTATTTCTGTTGAGATTAATTCATGAATGAAACAATATTCCATTTCTGCATTTCTTCTCATTTCCAGTGTTGCCAACATAACATTTTCATTATGTTATGTTGGAACACTGGCGACAAGGACAGATGGAAAATACATGTTTTTCTCTCTCAACGCTAGATAAACTGCTCTATAAGAACTCGAAATCTTGAAAAAACACAAGAGTACACTTCGTTTTACTATACTTGTGGAATACTCACTTGGTGGTGTTTGTACAGAATTGTCTTCTTTGTAACCTCCTACGCTCTTGACCAATGATTTTCCTGTGAATGCTATTTGAATATCACCTGTTTTCTCGACACTGTCGTTAGAATTGCTGTTCGGCTCATCAGGTCTAGCCTTTTCTATTTCGTTCACTATCAACCTCTCCAGCATTTCCTGCCTAGTCGTTATCCTATTTTCCGGTCGGCTCTTCAACAGTTTCTCCAAGTTTAGCTCCGAAACCAACGGATTCAAAACGGGAGGGGGCGGTAAACTAGCAGGGATGCTTACATCCTTTAGCAGAGCGAGACCCTTTTCCTTCAACGCTTCCAAATCTTTGAAGGTGAATTTGTTGATTTGAACGAATTCGGGTACGTCTACGTAAGAATCGGCTGCATCCAGAGAGTCAATCAGTTCCTGTAATTTAGTGAAACATTTTACTTTACTCAGCCGTCCGGCTAAGGTCCAAGTGAGGCAGTCATTGATAACAAAAGTTAGGATACTAAAGAAGTCATGGAATAAAAACCACGTGTTTATATGTAGGTATACACGTCGGAGGGACCAAACAAATCCACTGGATATACGTGATGATTGTCAGGCCAATGATCACATATGGAGATTGCGTTGTGGCCGAAAGCTTCACAGCGAACGACACAAGCTCTCTAGCATACAGATGCAGGCTTGTCTGCGATCACTGGGGCCATCAGCACCACACCGTCAGCAGCAATGGAAATCCTTCTAGAACTACCTCCTCTCTACATTTTTCTGGGGAGAGAGGCTAGTTGGACAACATACAGAATTGCGCATATTGCAAATTGCACAAATCACGCTAACACAGAACGCAGCAGACTACTGGCGAACACAGAAAGTCACAGCATTCTGGGAATGACCTCCGACATAATGCCTCCAACAGTTACCTATGGCCTGCTTACACCGTCCTAATAAATATAAATAAATATCTTTATTTTCCTTTAGACTTTCTAAAAAAGTATAGGAATAGTCAGGTCGTTACAAAAATATAAATCTATAAACTAGATAAATGACAGATTACATAATATGATAGACGAACATTATATAAAAGAGAGAAACATTATATATACAATTTTTATTAGGTAGTTGGATGATCATTTATGAAAATATTCATTAGGCGAGTAGAAACCCTTTTCTATGAGAAATGATTTCGAGCATTTTTTGAAAGAAGATACTTTTTTGCGTTTTTCAAATATTCAGGTAAGTTAGTGAATATTCTAGGACCTAGGATATTTGGTGTATTACTCAAAATATTTGTTCTGCTTGGTTTATTGTTTATTGAGAAACTAGCTCCCAGTCAGAAATAAAATTCTGGTATGAGAAAGTTGATTACAAACAATATAGAATTCGTTCCTCGAGCGAGTATTCACATCATGTATGTGTGTACGTTTTTCAAAGTAATCTCTTGTCCACCACTTTCTTCTGCTAATTAGAGAATCATATCGCCATATCCTACAGACATCAAAGTACCACCACCAGCTACTTCAATACAAGTATTGTGGTAGGTGAAATTGAGAAACTTTTCTCTATAGCCCGTCATATCGTCGGTGTAATTAGCAAAGTGCGTAACTCCACAATGACTAACTTTTCAGGAGAGCAATAAAACTGAATGACTTAGGTAACTCCAAGATTCGAATCATTTGGATGAGAGCGAAAAATTCGTAACTCCATGATAACGATTATAAACCCAATTTCAATTGATTTTTATTGATATTGATCATTATCAAGCATGCATCATTCAGTATAAATGTTGTAATTACCTTTTCCAATGTGAGATTGCATATTTTTTCACTATAATAAACCAGAAGTTGATGATGTTTTGCCGAACATGTGAACAGTAGACAAGGAGATACGAATATTGCCGAACATAAAATGGCGCGTTGGAGTTACGACTTTTTCTTTATTGAGTTTATTCTGCTGGAGAAATTTATTTGGAGATTGACCGTTTTCCAACATATTCGTTGAATTTTTTCCCAACAGATGGCACAAAAATGTCATTTTGACCCAATATTGGAGTTACGCACATTGCTAATTACACCGACGATATGATCTGTGGATCCACTATCCAAAATCCAAATCATCGGCTCTGTTTCATGTTTCACTGAAAACGTTGAATGATTTGTCAAATTTTGACATTCTTCCGCTGTCGCGCTAAATGCAAATTTTCTATTTGATGGTCCAGCTTCGTCTTCTCTGGTCTCAATATGCTTTTCCCGCTCTATGGATAATGGACAGTTCTTCCCAATATGTCCTATTTCCAAACACCGAAAACACCTCAGTAACTCATGAGGGCAACCTTGCATTTTCGGCCTCGGTTTGAATCTATTTGTTGCTCCTGATGATTTAAGTGTGGCTCGTCCTGGTTGTTCAAATTCCTTTTTGAAAGTTTTCTTCACCACTAAAGCTCATGTTTCGTCGTCTTGATCCGATGATATTTTGTTTTCAATTCTTCTTTCTTCTTCTAGAAGTTTCGATTTCAAAATTTTCATGTTCAGATCGTTTTCGTCGTCTCTTAGATTTCTTGATAAGTATTCGTACTCTTTTGGCAATCCTAATATTGTGAATCCTGCTTGTACTTTTTCGCTCAAATTATAGCCTGCATTCTTTACTTTATGACAAAGACCATTTCTTCTCGTTAAATAATCATTAATTGATTCATTTTGAGATTTCGTAGCATTCACAAAATCCTTTAATAATAAAAATCCATGCCATGTATCGTACTTTGTATGTATCTTCTTCAAATTATCCCAAATATCTTTTGCCGTGTGGCATTCCACGATATCGTCTAAGCTATCATTATTCATCATGAGATATAAGATTGATTTGGCACTATGATTAATTTTATTTTTAGCAGGATCTCCCAAATCAGTAATGGTATAACCGGGTTCAATCGCTTGCCATAGATTTTTTATTTCTAAAATACCTTGGGCTTTCATAGACCAATATCTATAGTTTTCGGAATTTAACTTCTCAACTTTCAAATCATCCATTATAAAGAATTACGTCGTCTTTTCAATATAAATGGAACTTATTCTTCGTCGTCGTCGTCGTCTATACAGGTCCAACCAATGAAGACTACCCCTATATCTTAAAATTTTCGTCGTCGGCATCTCGGAAAGCTAAAGGCCCATAACCTGTGTGAATACTAAAGGATTCTGCAGAGAATTGCACAGCAAATCCGAGTAAAAACTCCAATAAATATATGGTAGAACGGACTTTTAATCAATCTAATTGACAGACAGTTAATAACAACAACTCATAACATGACACATTCTTTACATATCATATCATAACATCGGTGACCATATACAGGGCGTTAGGTTGTAAAGCATCACTGTTGCGAGCAAACAGTTGCTTGTTAACAAATACATAGATACATAATTCAAATATAAGGAGACAGGGCAGCGTTAATATGTTCAACCTTACAACCATACTTCTTACAGCCTTTTTTTTAACCAGAAAAATATCCTTCGCTGATGTAGATGACCCCCAGGAACATATACTATATCGGATACGTGAGTCCACTTGAGCAAGGTAGAGACTGCACAATTGATTTAAATTCAAGGTATTTCTCAGAGTCCTGAGTTGAAAATTTATAACATTAATTTTTGTTACAATGTATTCCGGGTAAGACATTCATCAAGAAATACGCCTAAGAATTTAACAACCTCCTGATTCCTGTTTAGGGTTGATTCGCCTACCCTAAAGCTCAGATCATTACATTGTTTTGTCTCCTATGGAATCTAACTGATGAAGTCTTGCTGGCTCTAGACCGAGAATTCTTCAAAGAGACAAATTGTGAGCGATTTGATAGATAACTGGATATCCATGCGAGAGCGATTCCTCTTATTCCGTATCTGTACAGTTTTTCAACAAGAATTTCATGACTGACGCAGTCGAATGCCTTGCGCAGGTCTATAAAAATTCCTATAGGGCACTCGCCTACGTCTACATAGTTTGCTATTTTCGAGTAGTCGAATAGAGATGACTGATTCCTCCAAAGGGAGGAACTACTGAGAGCAGACAACTGTTGGTTCACAGATGGTTCAAAAGCACCCACAGGCTCTGTTGCGGGTGTATACGGTCGCAGACCTAGGACAGATATATCAACCTTGGGTCCTATGCAACCGTGTTTCAGGCAGAAATTTACGCCATTGACGTGTGCGTGTGGAGAGATTTGAGGAAACCAACCTCACACATAAAACAATAAAAATATGCTCGGATAGCCATCAAGCGGCTCTGAAAGCACTTAGCTCAAACCGAGCAACTGGTATTGATCTGCCAAAAAAGACTCTTCGCGATTGAAAGACTCAATAAATTGTTTCTGGTCTGGATTCCTGACCACTCTGGTATGGAAGGTAACGAAACGGCAGACTCCCTTGCAAGGGAGGTTGCCGCAAGAAGTTTTATTGGACCACAATCTGCTATTGGCATCTCACCAAGTCGAATTGTCATTGCATTTGGGCCACACCCAACTTCATGTAATTAAATAAAATGCAATTTAACAGCCAATTGATAAACGGATATCAAATTGTGATACATAGTTGAATAGAGAATTTCAATGTAAATAAGATACAAAAATATACAGGGTGCCATACAAAAATATACAGGGTGTCATACAAAAAAAAAAGTTGGGTCTACTTCCGATAACAGGTGGTTAGGAAATTGTCATTGGATTCAAGGAGAGCGCCATCATCGATAATATAAGCCTTGTGAATTCCAAATTTTTATCTCTTCAAATAAGAAAACTACAGGATGTCACATGTCTCCTGTGTCACCCGGTATACTGAACACCTGGACTGTAAGAAGTGTTTCAGACTTCTGGCAGAATCCACCAGGATTGGCTCATTCAAAGGCATTCAAATATCCTTTGAAGAATGTTACCAAACAAATGTCAGAATACAGCAGGCCACTGTCATCTTAGGCTGTTATTTGATCCGACGAGCCGTCGATGCCTTGAAGGTGACCTTAGATTTTATGGCATTAGCGGTCTAGTTAGTAATTTATGTCGATGGGTGGTACCTCAGAAGGCATTGTCCAGGGTTAGCTTGTGATAAGCTTTAGCTCTGGTTCACTGAGGATGAGTAGCTCCGTGGCTGTTTTGCAAATGCTTGATGAAGCTTTTCGTTTATCCTTGGCTTGGAGTCGCTCTCCAGGATTTTTCGTTCCCATTTCTTGAGCCCTAAATCAAGTGAAATCCGCTTGTCCTAGATAAACGCTCAGGACCAAAGAATGTAAGCTTTGCACCTTTTTTTTTGCAAGGCGATCAGCTGCCTCAGTATGATTGATTCATTCATGCCGCGGAACCCTGATAAGTGAACAAATTGAACCAAAACGGTAACAGTGAGTACACCATCTTCCTTTCATTATGGTTCCAGGAAAATCTAGTTTCCTTCATGAAAAATAGCTTCCCTGAAAATTGGGGTAGCAAAGATATTTATAAAGCAATTCGCAAATTGATAAAAAAAAATCTAAACAGAGCTCTAAGATCTGCGAGGTAGGAAATGTAACAGTGAATAACTATGAAAGCATACCTGTATATTCTCTTGGGACATTGTTTCTGATGCAGATGAAGTATCTTCTTCATCGATGATGGGTGGATAATTGATCTGTAGTCGATCCATATCTGGGAGTTCTTTTTTAACGTCAACTTCTTTCTCACTAGGGTCCCGCCTAGTGATATCCGCATTTTGATTATTGTTGTCTATATCTGGAGTGGGTTGGGTAGCTGGGGCCACCTTAGAGGAATATTGGATTTTGAAATGTCACTTAGGTGGTATCATTGGATTCAGAAAATAAAAATGCACTGATATACAGGGTAAAATAAAATACAAGGCTAAAAGTCATTTCGACAATTCTTCATAAAACGAACAAAAATGGTGGATAACAGAAGAAAAAAAACTACATTGAATTACATCCTCCTAAAATCTATGCATCAAATCGTATAAACGAATACTGATGCAAGTGTTTCTTTCCTAAATGCCAATTGAATTCGATTAAGCCAGGTTAACGAACGACATCTACAGACCGGTTTCGGACTTATGGCCCTCATCAGTGTAGGATAGTCTCCAAATAGCAGATATCGGCCGGATGTAATTCAATTTTATGCGTGGCATTTGCCAGGAAATTAGTTGTTTTTGAGCTTCGTATTTTATTCAACATTTCATTCCACTTTGATCATTCTGGCTTTTTCTTAGTTGGGATATACAGGGTATTCCATTTAAAAATCAAAAGTCATTACCACTTCCGGTAAAACATTCAATTTTAGAATTAATGAAATTTGATGTTTTGAGTGATGTTCAAAGTGTAACACTTTGAAATTTGGGCCCATGAAGGTGGTCATAATAATTGGCTTCAAATGGTGAAAATGTTCGATTGATTCGAAAAATCCCCTGTGAGGCTGTTATTTTTTCTATTGCCGAAAATGAAAATGTTGAAGGGGTTGATACTTCAAAACATATCATCCGTTACTTGAAAGATACTGCATTCCTAAAATTTGCATGTTTTTTTTGAAAATTGAGTTTAACTTATTCTGTGAACAAAAGCTCCGGTAAAACTCACCTGCACTCATCATCTTCACATGCTTAAAATAATAAGCTATAACGTATATACCAGTTTTCACACCTACATAACCTACTATCTAGACCGCTGTGACACTTCCTGACACTGAAACTGTCATTCATAACTTCGACTTATAATCACTTGGTGTTCAGAACATGAGTAAGAGTGAGTAAGATGTATGACAGGTGCTAAACGCGTATGTTCCACGGGAGACAATTGGATCTCGTAAACAGATGAGCTTTTGTCCTATAGTATCAGCGGTCTAGATAGTTCGCAGTTTTTGCAAACTAAATTATCATCTGTGTTTTGCTTCTGGCCAAAACACTATACGCGGATAGGTAATTCCAATTTAACAAAAGATGAAGCCACTTTTCCACTGAATCATGAGTGAAAACTACTCAGTTTGTCAGTGTACTACTTGGAGACTACATTTAAACAGTATTTTCTTGATGAATTGATATTTTCTTTATGACATAAGATTGTTAGCTGTTGCTTGAGATCTTATTAGTCAAGATTTCATGTCACTTGAAACATTTCAAATTCGTTAGTACCTTAGAGATAGTTTCTGAAGGTAGTAGAGGTTGTTCTAAAAGCTGTTTCAGGACTGTTTCATTTTTGTTCTCAACAGTTGGTGGAACTATGGTTGGAGGATTGACTGTTTCAATTGTATTTTTTCTCGTTTCTTTGTCCTTCGTGATTGTTCTCACTATTCTTACTTTCCTGTGTATTGAACTGATGGCACTCTTCTGTTTTTTTGACTTTACTTCAATATTGGTCTGACCTTTCATGGTGGATATATCCTTTATTCGTAACAAATGTTCACTTCTCATTTGTGCTTTACTTCCATCATCTACCAAGCCGTCCTTTGTGGAATCGATTGATTGATTCGTCATGCTAGATAGGTCCCTGATTCTCAACAGGCTCTTCCTAATCTCATTCATGTCATTTCTCGTGGCTCCAGAGTCATCATTGATCAATATTGTTTCATTATTCGAATCGTTTATTCCACTGCCAGTGTTTGGAAGGGAATGCCCCTCTCTTTCATTTACAGAAAACACTTCCCCGATACGAAATAGATGGTGACCTCTAACCGTTGCTGCTCTCTTCTCAGCTTCGACATCATGGGGGTCTATCATTTTACCATTCGCATTGAAGTGTTCACCACTCAGGTTCTTGAATAATCCCGTTTCTTCGCAAATCGTCAGAGAATTGGGTTTTTCGACAGGTACGTTCAGCTTTGCCGCTTCGATTTCCTTATCATTCATCAGTTCACTGTCCAAGGTGATACGGTGACCCTTTGGGTTAGTGAATAAACCGGTTTCTGTGCAAAGCAGCGAGCTTCCATTACTAATTTCAGCAATTTTGACAGCCTCCAATTGGCCCAAAATAATCGGAGACGTAGCCGTACTGATCCTTTTCTCGAAATTTTCATTTTTGTTGGGGCTGTTCTGTTTATTTCTATCGACAGGTTTTTCCTTTCCAGTGGAGAGGTCAGTTTTGGACTTACTGCTAGGACGAGCAAGTATATTCGGCTGAAATAAATACAAATATTTCAATCATTGTCTTACTAAGTCCACTGAAATTTGGATTTTGATACGGAATATTCCATACAAAAGGTTTTAGTGCGTTTTCGGATATACAGGGTGTTCCTTAATGATATGCTAATATTCAAGGGGCCGATTATTCGACCTATTTCAAGAATTGAACTTCATATGAACGTTTCTCGTAAACGTTCTGTATCTTCTCGTGATAGCAAAATTCAGTCTGCTATGTGACTGAATCGGTATGAAAATTTCAAAATGTTACAGTAACGGATGTCCTGAATGGAGTACTCAGACATCAAAATATGGAGTCTGGTTTCGTTAATCCGTTTTTTCTCTAAAACGAAGCGTTCTATCGAGTATAAATAAGATCATCTTTTTTGTACATAATTGAATAACCTTTTATAGCATTGTACGAAATTTGAAAATTTTCCGTCGTTGCTCACTTTCAAGTAAAATATAAACAATACTATTCTCGTAACAGTGCCACTGGTAGGGAAAATGAAAATTTTTGTTCATCAGAAACTGTTTGTAAGAATTATTCCGCAGTTTGGAATTTTTTTCCGCCTAATTTCAGTGGACTAGCTGAGGGGGGGGGGCAATAATCCAGCGTCGTGAAAACTTTTAGATTGTGGAGATAAGATGCTAAAAAGAAAAAAGGTTATATGTACTTAATTTGACCACGTTAATGTATACACATATGATGTATGCCCTTCCAACTGTGGGTGGAACGTGTACCCCCTTCGTACGTTTTTAAACTGTAAGTGCAATATGAAACATGTATGTATGTGTGTGGGCGGTCCGAGACATGACGCACTTAGGCCTCCCTTTTAGGGCCCATTGTGCACCCACATTCCTGGGATCGCAAGTCAGCCATGGAGAAGGCCGATCTCGCGAGCAAAAGAGACCAACTTCCTAGGCCAAATCTTCTCAACATCCTCTGGGTCCAGGATACTGCTCCCAAAATGGATATCCCTTGCTGCCACTATTGCCGGGCATTCAGTGAGGATGTGAGTAGAAGTATCTTCATCCTCTAGGCACCATCTGCATTCAGGATCCTCCACAATCCCGATCATGCTGAGATGTTTGTTCAGGTGGCAGTGCCCTGTCAGAAGGCCCACCACCAGTTTCAGCTCCTTCCTGTTCAAAGCCAAGAGGGCATTGGTCTGTCTTCGTGACGGGTTTCTTATATTAGTTTGGACTGCCTCATTCGAGGAGCCTTTCTCCAGCTGTTCTGAAACCTTTCCGTCAGGATTTCCTTCATCTTGAAGTTGCTCCAGGATCGAGTGACCCCTAAGATTGGCTCTGGGCCAATCACTGAACCCTTCGCCCCCTTTCTGGCCAGACTATCGGCCATTTCGTTACCTGGTACCCCTGAGTGTCCAGGGACCCACAAAAGACATACTGCTGACAGCCTTTGTAGGCTATCTATGCAATCTGACTCCAAGGCGGAGGTCACCCTATACGAGGTGAGCGCCTTGATCGCCGCCTGGCTGTCAGTGTCAATTAGAAACATTTAACTACGTTTATTGGCTAAAATATAAATGTAGGTACATTTTGTCTTAGCTGTGGTCATATTGGTATATGTACCTATTTTTGAGTTTTAAGACATTCCTTACCCCGCCTTATAATTAGAACATGATTGATTTTTTGTTATATCATACCCATAAACTATTTCTCGTGCAATCTTCACTAAATCGTGGGTTGTGAAAATAATCTAGGAACTGCCATAATGAAACCCTAGTTCAAAATCATGCTAGGTAATAACAAGAAGATGACTAATGTAATAAAGACGATAGAACACGAATCATAAAGTTGCAATGTTGCAATGACAGAATGAAAATGTAATATTAATATCACTGCGAACTAGAGTATCAAATTTCAGAGGTCAGTGGGGGTGGCAAAAACGGCATGTCAACTGATTTAGTTCAGTCAGAGTGAAATACAGGGTGTTTCAGAATTGTGGTGACAAAAGCCTAGGGGAGAAGATCGTATACAGTTGAGAGAGGGTTAAATTTTATGTCTATTTTGCTTGAAAACGAAACAAGATACGAAAAAATCGCAAGGGACAGGAATGTTGTATTTTTAGTGGGTTAATCTGAATATTTAGGAAAAACCCGAATAAGGACACAGGGTGACTTTATTTTCTACAAAAAAAGCTGACTTGTTCGATGGGTACGCCACTGGAGAATCTGGATCAAATCTAATTGGTCCAGTTAATGTCTGCAAATTGTGTAAATAAAACATAAAAATGTTATTCGTATGGGCTTAAGCGTTCCCAAGATATTTATAAAATACTCTTGTTGTGCATGTGCATATGAACTTTCTTTGATATTTTTCTAAGAGGAGGCTTTTGTCACCAAAACTCGTATGTCAGTTAGTTCAGAACGAAATAAAATCACTAATTATCGATCGAAAATAACACTAACAATAATTATTATTGAATGTTATTTCCATATTTATGATCCCAATGTGTACCAATGAAAAAAATAGGGTGAAGTATTCGTGTACAACTGGTCTTTCAAACACTCGTTCTATTTCAGGCACACCGAAAGGCCGTCATACATTAGTTGACTATAGATTTTTGTCTGTTTGTTTTAGAACACCTTGTATGCTCATTTGCACCAAAATTCCCAGTCATCAACATCAAGTATATAGATACGTAAACGGCTCGCAAAAGTCCGGGCTAAGCAAAAACACTGCGCTTTTTATGTGTGCAACAATTCTCTTCACTTTTGAATCCATCTCACCCAGAGCGGTTGAAAGATAATAGTATTGTTATGTTTCAACACAAAAAAATCCTAAAGTTGAAAAATCTCGATTTTGAACACCCTATATCTCTGTAATAAGTCCTGCTAGACCCCAAGTGTGATGCATTGATGAAATCAGCTCTTCGAGAAGAATCTAAAAACGCAATAAAATATAGGGTGTTCCATTTGAAATAACAAAGATGATGCTACTTTTTGGTTAAAGTGGCAACGCTGCATCGATGAAAATATTTTGAATCGTTAGATCACAAACGCTTATTAGAGTAACCAAATTTTCAGGATAATCGAATGTACCGTTTTCCGTATACGTCTAAGGTACCATCGACCGTGGGCTACCCTGTATACATCGTGTCCCAGTTAAAATGACCCTCCCCCCCTGTAAAAAATTAACCGCTCCATAGAATGACTAGTAATTTGGTCACCCAGTATATTTGATTATGTTTACTAGCACAGTGAAGTGCACATCAACTTTCTTGTTCAAAAAGGGTCACCCAGTATATTATTCCATATTCAAGTAGAGCTCATTATTACAAATTCAACAATACCGGAATGGAATTTTTTCAAACGACTACGAAGATATGCTCGGAGATATGGTCAAAGAACTGGAAACGGAAGACCGGTATATACAGTGTGTCCACTTTAAGGACTCAACACCCCTGTAAAATCGTTATTGTCAGATCGGTTTCGAAAAACTGATTTGTTGGTCAGGTATTTGTAGTCTCTATCCAAAAACAGAGTGATTTTATTTATGAACTGTTATTGCGAAAATCACTCTCTTGTTGGATAGACATTTCAAATAACTACCTATCCTACAAAAAAGTTTTTTGAAACAGATTGAATAATAACGATTTTAAAGAGCTGGTAAGTCCTTAACATGGACTCACTTTAGATACTTACCCAATGAACAATAATTTGCCAGTGAATATTTGTTATGTTCAACTTTTATTCTATCAGAAATGGTTGGTTGGTTGAAATCAATCAAAAGTCAGATTTTGACATGTGAAAAAACTTACTTACAAGATTCCTTTTGGATTGCTGCAAATTGTCAGAAGTTTGACACACATTAAGTTTCTTTTTCCTCCCTCTTTTACCACCATAATTCAAGTGAGTGTGACTCACAATCGGCAAATTCACATTCACATAATAAGAAGTATTGAAAAGGGGGGAATCTCCACATAGACATTTAGGATTCACAACAAAATCATTCTTTTTATAATTCTCTGGTTTACTATTTACTGGGATTAAAGAACCAGTAGATTTAGATTTAGCCTTAGAGTTTGTTAAAGATTTTACTTTTTTTTCATTCACATGAGGTGGTTTATCCAAAGAGGATGGGACTGGATCACTAAAAGTACAATCATTCCCATTATCATTCCCAGATAGTGACAAATCATTGGTTTCTTTAGATTGAGAATCTGCCAATAATCTGTCTATAATCTCTTTCCTTTTAGACACTTCTAGTTTATCATCTTCCTCAGATTTTGGTTTACCATCCAAAAATTTATGGGGACAAACACCTGCCTTCACTCTCAGGCGTGTCCTGAAAGTACGAAAATAAAACCAGTTCTTGAAATCATCCGGAATCTGAAGAAAAATTAAGCAGTCAATAAAAATAGATTCATGTACATTCATTATGAATACATGTTCACTACATTTTTATGAAATCAATGAAATTATTAAAATTATGTGAAAATTCAAATTGAAGGTATCCATGATTTATGCAGAATTGGTTATCATTTCCTGATAACTTGAAACTTTTCAAACTCATTTTCACATTATGAAGGGTCTTTCAATAAGGACCGGTCGATGTTGACAGTGTGTGGCAGTGTGGCGGCCATGTTTTTTTGGGGGCATCTGTCAAACCTGTTGTATTTTATTCAGTCACTGATGCCAAATTACCATTGCAAGTTACACGATCGAGCAGCATGTCCAAATGATTAAAATTTATTATCAAAATGAGTGTTCGAGACAACCAGTTCGGTAAACAACCAACACTCTTACGTCAAAGGAACGCCAGATCGGCCGATAATATCGACGCTGTCCGTCAGATTGTGCAGGAGACTCCGAGGCAGTCGATTTCTCGCCGCGCACAAAAACTCGTCCTTTCGCAGACTTCGACTTGAAGAATTTTGCGCCAGGACTTGGGCTTGCACCCGTACAAGATCCAACTGACCCAGCAGCTCAAATTTAATGACCATAGGCAACGCCGAATAACTATTAGAGACCCTTCAACACTCAGCTCTACTGGGATGAAATGGTCTTGACTAACTGTCAGGAAGGCACGTTAGTGTGATACACTGACGGATCTAAGACTGATGAGGGTACGGGAGCCGGAATATATGGAGATAGACCCAGAATCAGGATTTGTGCTTCCTTGGGGAGGTATGCTTCAGTATTCCAGGCAGAGGTGCATGCTATTGAGGCATGTCTGAGAGAGAATATCGTGAGAGGATACAGAAGTAAACAAATCTTCATATGCTCAGATAGTCAGGCGGCCATTCAATCTTTAACATGCAATAAAATCAGATCAAAACTGGTCTGGGATTGCCTTCAAAGCCTGCTGACCCTGACTAACCACAACAAGGTAACTCTTCAATGGCTGCCAGGGCATGAGGAAATTGAAGGCAATGAAGCAGCTGACGCTCTTGCTAGGCAAGTGTCTGCGGCGTTGTTTATGGAACCGGAACCTGTGTTCGGTATCCCCAAAACCTCAATACGCGGCTGGCTGACAAAGTGGATGCAAGAAAGACATCAGGCATACTGGAACAATGTCCCATGACAAAGACACAGTAACCTGATGGTTGGAACACTGTCCAGAACAGTGACTAACGACACTCTGAGCCTAAACAGAAGTCACATCAGATAAGTGACGGGACTAATAACCGGTCACTGCCCCTTGAGGAAACATATGCATCGAATAGGCATCTATACAGACGAACCCATATGCAGACTATGCAATGAGGAGAAGGAAACTGCCACCCATGTAATATTGGAGTGCGAAGCACTAGCGCGTTGGAGATACAACCTTCTGGGAGCAGTAAACTCTCAAGAGGCTTTTCCAACGAATGATTTGGTGAAGAGGCTGCTGAACCTTATCAAGGTAGCGAACCTGTTCACCTAAGTCAACAGCATGAATACAATAGGCCCAAAGGATGCAGTGTTTTGGGCTTCGAACCCTGACTGATCATTCTGCTATTAATCAATCAATCAATAGGCAACGCCCTTTCTTCGCTCAGTGGGCTTAAGAACGTTTGGAAGATGACCCCGATTGTGGCTGATAAATAATCTTTAGCGACGAGGCCCATTTTTGAATGAACGGTTTTGTGAATAAGCAAAATTGCCGTATATGGGACGAACACAACCCACAGGAGGTTCACCAGGTGGCAATGCATCCACAAAGAGTTACTGGTGCAGATTTTGGTCCGGCGGCGTCATTAGTCCGTACTTCTTTGAAAATGACGTTGGCGAGGTCATCATCGTCAACGGCGAGCGCTACAGACTAATGATTAACAATTTCTTTTGGCCTGAATTGAACGATATGGACGTGGACGACATGTGGTTCCGACAAGACATTCTGCACGAACGGTTTGAGGGTAGGGTTATCCGTTACCACCGATACACAAATAATGGCATAAATTGGCCTCTCAAATAAATAAAAAAAATCGTTAATATCTCACACACAGCTTGTTTTATTCAATTACAACATCGACCGGTCCTTGTTGAAAGACCCTTTACTGGTGCATAAATCTCTGATAAATCTACCAGGACAAAAACATCTGATAAATAACTTCTATACTCAGAAGTGTAATTTCAAAAGGAAATGTGGTTTACTCTTAATATAGGAGGTAAGAGAAGCAAATTTTTTTGTATCTTACAAGGAAGATTGGTACCTAATGTTTCTGATAAATAACTTCTATCCTCTAGAGTGTAATTTCTCTAGGAAATGTGGTTTACTTCAATATTGGGGGCAACAAGCCAATTTCTTTGTATTTTCCAAGGAAGCTTGGTGAGTAGAATTGTTTTTCTGATTTACATGTTCCTCATCCTTGTCCGCAACATTCTTTGTTTGTATGTAGTAAAAAACCTTTATACACCTTTCAATTTTAAAATGTGTAATTTAGTAGCTCTGCAAATTATGAACATTATGCATGAATAGGTGCTTAAATCCCCCCTTCAACTTTAGATGAAGTTCATCCAAAAATAAATAAATCAAATACAGTGAGGACGTAAAAAGTCCTCCCCCCCCTTTTAATTTTGAACGGAACAAGCTAGCGAGGTCGGGTAAAATTCAGGCAAAAAGGTACCTCTTTTACTACTATTCGGCATGAAAATGGTTGTGGTCACGTGACCTAGTATCAAGTGGGCACCATCAACTTTTTTTTTTCAAATTCAAAGAGGGGTCACGTGGTACCTCGTTTTGAAGGCCTTTAGATTCTCTATCCAACACCGCTTCGTTTGTACAAATCGGCCAAGCCGTTTCAAAATGACAAGCGTTTGAAATTTGCTTCAAATATTAATATTAATGCATAAAAAATCTGAATAAATTTTAATTGCAACATGATTTCAAGTAGGAATTGTAACAAGTGCTCAAACATGCTCGAAATGTTCATCGTTCACTTATTGACACTGAAAAATCGGTTTTGGAATTCAATCCGAACGTGATTTACTGTTTCCCAGGTACATTTCAAACGCTTGTCATTTTGAAACGGCTTGACTGATTTCCACACACAATGCAGAGTTGGATAGAGAATCGAAAGGCCTTCAAAACAAGGTACCACGTGACCCCTCTTCACATTTAAAAAAAAAAAGTTGATGGTGCCCACTTGACACTATGTCACGTGACCACAACCATTTTCATGCCAAATAGTAGTGAAAGAAGTACCTTTTTGCCTGGATTTTACCCGACCTCGCTAGCTTGTTCCGTTCAAAGGTTAAAGGGGGGGGAGGACTTTTTACGTCCTCACTGTATATTGTCAGGATAGTATATTAGTAATTTCAAACCATGAGGGTTTTATAAACATGAGATAATCAAAGGAGTTAATCAAATCATCTATTGACATTAAATAGAAAACCTAATAAAATTTCATGTAATAAATATTGGATGTCAGGGTTCCAAAGGAGTTCCCAAAGTTATTCTGGTCTAGGGCTACTCCTGACACAAGAACTTGTTTCATTATATTGTAGGTCATTATTAAGTATATAATGACAGCATGTTTCATGGTATAATAAATTTTGTTATATTTGGAAATAGTCTTGTACTCTCAGTTACACCTAAACTATTAGTGCCTATTAAGATATTACCTCTTGCAAACAATGATGTCAAGCAAATCCTTTATAAATCTACATGGTGGAAACTCTTATTAATTAGTTGAGCTATCCTCAAACATGATCCAGTGGTCTTATCACCAAAGGCATGAAGGATCATGACAATATTTTGCAGTGTCTACAATTCCTAGTTCTTGATTTATCATTCATTTTACCAACTCTATTATAATGTAGTGAAAATGTATTAATGAATTTTATATATAAAGGAACAGCATGAATTTAATTTTGAGGGACTTACATCAAAATGATCTAAACAACAATGTAGGTGAGAACGTTTGGAAGGATAAGGAAGTTTTGCACTATCCCACCATAACTTTCGAACACTAGGTTTGCTAGGGACGAGAACAAATATTTTTGAATCGTCCATACTTGTACTATTACATCCAGGAATGAAGCATTTTCGTAAATTTTGACCTTTCTGTACTGACATGATAGTAATTTATTTATCATCTAAAAACTTCTGGTTTTGTTTTGATTACTTTTGACTTCACACGACGTCATAACCAAAGAATAGTAGGAGTCATGAACTTCATATTAGTGGGTGGTAGTGTGACAAGAGCCTCTAAAGTTTTCGAACCATTCCCAAACTCTCCTCTTTGCCCAAACCTCTTTGTGAGAACGGTCACAGCGAATCACGTGATACATTATGGACGCATGCGCATTGGCTCGAGAGGAAGAAAAACATTCTTGACCAGAAAAAAGCTCCCTGACCAAATTCAGCCTCCACAATTTTATTGCGAAAAATAATGATCAAAAACCGCGAATCTTAACGTGATGGGAATGGTTCGAAAGATTTAGTCACTTTTGTGGCAGATCTTCGACAGGGTTAGTAGAAGTGGTAGAACTTTGGCCCAAAAATCTGTATAGGGATGCTAGACCAATCAGAGCGATTTTCACCTTGGCGGTAAATTCAAATAACTGAAATTGCAACACCGAACATTTCATTTCTTTCGTTTCTTCAACTAAATAGGAGAAGTATTCCAGGTATTATGAGTAGATAGAAGTGAAAAAAGAAAAGAAATCACTATAAACCTACAGACTAGCATTGAATTCAACATCTAAAAAGTAAAGAGTGCTGGCTTATTTTCAAATCCTGACTTTGACCTAAACTTCAGGGATCTGACTTCATTTTGTATGACTGATTTCAACCTCGGAACTCCGACTTTTTTAGATACAAAATGTTCCAAATTGATTATGGATGTATTTTGTCAAGATATTTTGTGAAGAAGATGCATTTTTCACTGGCATGTTCATAGAAGCAGGCCATTCATTAAAAACTTGACACATATAATACTTCCTTCAACCATTTATCCTTAGCATAAATAAATCTCTTTTATTTAACAAGAAGATTAAAGTTGGACCCGCCCAAAATTGAAGTGGGTATAGGACCCATGAGATTAGTGGGTATGGGACCCATGAGATTAAAGTCCAATACAATAAATACCTACCTGGGTAATTTTTATCAATGCTCATAATATTCCAATAGGAACAGACATCTGCAAGTAAAGTGTGAAAGTACCTAACCATGCAATCACAACTATTATCAGTCTTGAACAATAACAGGACTTGGTATGAAGACTTTAAAGTTTCAACTGGTTTCAAGTTCTAGAGTTCTATACAAGTTTATCAAAAATCAACTAATGATGCAAAGCAGGCATTTGGTAGTTGATTATATAAAATCTGGACTTACATGATTAGTGACAGTAGATTCAAATCTCCCTCCTGCTGATGTAAGGTCCTCACTGGAATCATCTTCCCATTCTGATAATATGTTTTGTGCATTGTATATCATGAATCTAGACTGAGAAAATTGTGAAATTTCTAACAAATCTAATTTCTTTGAAGTACTCCTTACACTCTTCATGAACAAGTCTATTGTGTTTTCAGTCTGTAAGCACTTTTTTTTGAAACTGTATGAACGTATAACTTCTTCTGCACATTGCAAACAGATCTCTGGATTATTTGTGAGACTTAAAACCTGGAATTGAATATATGCAAAAATGCACTACACTACAAGGGTGTACAAATAATTTAACTTTAGGTGCCAAGGTACTCACCAATTCTGGTACAATGGTACTTAACATTTGAGAAAATTTGACTTCTTCAGCACCATATTTGCCTCTTTCATAAATCTTAAGATAAATATTATTAGAACCATACTTCAAGCATGTTCTACAAACTGAGTTTTTCTTATTAACATATTTTTTTATCGGAGGAGTATACAATGTCTGGGCGTACATTATTGAATTTTTATTTTGGAAAATTCATCAAAAAAATACTTTTTATAAGTCCATTGACCTTATTTTCAATATTAATTGTTTTGACTTTTTGACGTTTCAGTGACTAGATTTCTTTCTGTATATATGACGTATGACGTATTGACGTATGTCCGCCGCATTTCTATATATGGCGCATCGCCTAAAATCCCTATAATCATAATATAATAGGCCCTTTCTTTTGTACGAGAAGTGTAGCACATTCACACACTTCTTGTAATTCACACAGAATTTGAGCATTCTTTTAAAAAGTGCATTCCCACCTAGTCTTGGGCAGGTGTGAATTACACTCAAATTCAAGAGTATATAAAATCGCGATAAATCACTCGAAATACATCTGTGATTATATTTATAATACATAAACACCTATACCCGAAAACTAGTTCCATCAAATACCGCATTTAAAAATCAAAATTGCACTTTCCCTCTTCAATTCAATTTTCTTCGTTCGTTTGAAATTCGTTGGTGTAGCTGCACGAAATATCAGCTGATTCATAGTGCAGTGCATTTTACACGACACTGAAAAGCAGACGAAAGAACCTAATGCAGTTGACGACACAAGAAGTTGACAGTGTTGACACAACACAAGTGTCAACTTGACAAGTGGAGGTTTCAATCCAATCAAATCAAATCAATCAAATGTTCAATTTCTTTTTTAATTGTAATAATTATCTAAATATTCAATATTCATAGATAAACTACTTAACTACTTTACTACTATTATTTGTTCTTGCATGGTTTTTGCTGAATGCTGAGGTGCCCGAAGTGGAGGTGTATGGTTTTGCTTCCAATTTATATATTATATCCATATTATTATTAATAACTGACATTATACTAAATTGAGGAATAGTTTGGAACACTTTGGAATAGTGCAATCTGGACAATGTCTAATGGTATTGAAAAATAATTCGTTGTTTCTAATATGGATACAAAATAATTTTATTTTTTTATTTTTAATTTCCTTCAGATTGGGGCATCAGTAATTCCACCAGAATACCCAAAAGGAAAGCTGATAACTTGTATGAGCCAAACAATGCTTACTGCAATGTAGAAAACCCTGTCTTAGCAAACTCATACTATAATAATTATTATAACCAGTATGACCAGACACAGACACAGTGGCAACAAGGAATGTCTTATTCACAGACCCAGGGAACAAGTTCAGTGGAGCCTATTGCCCAAAATATATTCAAAACATTATCAACTATCCAGGAAAAACCCAAAAATCTTCAGAGAAATATTTGTTAGTAACATGAAATCTCTCACTCTTTATATAAATATTACTACTAATAATTCATTTGAAGAGTATGAAACATAAATGTTTCATTATTTTCAGTCAAAGATACTGTTCCTGATGTTGAGGATGAAACATTGCCAAAAGAGTTGACTGCAATGTTTCAACCATTGTTCTGCAAGTTATGTTCAGCCCAACTTAGTAGTAATGTCATGGCAAAGTTACACTACAAATCTAGAAATCATGAAAAGAAAATTAAGAAATTTCTTATTGATTACTCAGAGAGAACTGGAGAACCTCTGCATAAAAGAGCAAAAATAGCTGCCACCCCAAAAACTGAGGTACCCACATAGTGCAGCCAGTCTTTGGTCAATTATCATTTTATTTGATTTCCAGGAAGAGCTTAACCCTAGATGGTTTCATTGTGATGTTTGTGATTTATCTTTAACAGGGAAACAACATGCTGAATCACATTACATGGGAAGGAATCATCATAAGTAAGAATATCTTGAGTATAAATGAATTCTATGAAAAAAATAATAAGCATGGTATTAGGGGGGAACAGACTTTAGATGGACACTTTATTGAATCAATAAACTGATTTCAGAGCAGTAATGGGACAGAAAGCACCAGCTGGCAGAGGGTTTTTTAATGCTGAAGGAAAGTGGGTTAGGCAAGCGTGAGTATCTGTAATATTACATTATTATTATTATCTTCATAAAAACTACATTCATTTGGGTCTAAGCCTTTCTGAAGAACATGTGTAGGTTTTATACAGTTCTCAAAATGGACTTAATGAAAAAAAAAAAAGAATACATCTGACATACTAAATAATGACCACCCAAAAATGTACTGCAAATGAAATAATTTTTGGTATGGTCAAATGCTGCTGAATAGAAAGGTTTTAATAATTTTGAACAGCACATTACACCTCCATCCAAGAGGCATTACATATATTACCAGAGTACCTAACATTAAAATATACAGAAAAAGAGAAACCATATATCATAACATTTTCTAGATTGGTTCAGATACCCATAACCATGAATATTTCGAAAATCACAAGAATTTTATAGTTTATATATTTTTTTAGATAAATATTCATCAACACACTATTGTTATTTTATTTTCTACTTCCCATTAGTTTGACTATCCATAAAACTTTTTTCATAGTTCTTCAAACTACTAGTTATTACAATAGCTGACCCGGCAAATATTGTTTTGCTATTTACATTTATTTCTAGAAAATATTTTTTCAGTTCATTAATCAACACACTCATAGTATTTTGTTTATTACTTTATAGTTTGACTATCCATAAAATCATGTTTCATGGTTTTTCAAACTACTATATATTTTCTACTTCTTATTAGTTCCATAATCTACCTCTTAAGTTCTTTAAACTATACTATCAATTTTCTACTTCTTTTCAGTTTTTCCTCGAGTTTGGCTATCCATTAAAGCGTGTTTTATAATACTTTTTCAAACTACTATTAATTACAAAGCTCGTTCGCCATATTGGTTCCGCCATTTTTCATTTCCTAATTTTGACTATGGAATCATAATCTCCGACCTCAAAAACCCCCAGATACAAATTTTGAATGGAATCTGATCATAATTAAAAAACCCGACCGCCATATTTATGGGATCCGCCATTTTGAATTTACTAATTTTGACGAATAAATCCTAATCTCCGCCATCTTGGAGCAGCCATATTTTTAAATTGATGGCGGTCAAATAATTTTTTGTTTTTGTATAAATGACGATAACTCCGTTGTTATCAACACAAAACTATCACTGCAACATATCATCTGTAAGAGAAAAAAAATTATTTGTGACTAAGTCATAGCCAGCTATGACCTACATTTGAAAAACTAAAGTTGGTGCTGATATCTCAAATTCTAGAAGAGTTGGTATGAATTTCATATTTTTTTCGAAATCACTTTGAAAAACTGTCATGAGAATGTGAAATTCATTTTTGAATATTTTCATAAATAAAGAAGTTATGGAGGAGACATGAAAATGATCAAAATCTGTTTTTTGCGTATAAAATAAAAACGAATAGATTTTATCAAAATATTTTTTCACATTATAGTTGACCTTTAACAAACTCCACATTTGGTGTCATTTAACCAACCTCGTATCTCTCACCGTTAAAAAGATACCCATGGTGAGCATGGTGAGTGGGAGGCACTGTATAAGGCACAGATCCGACCTGTCCTGGAATACTGTTCTGAATACTGAATATGCGACGTTCTCAACATTAAAGAATGTCTGATATATATATATATATATATGACATGCTCTCCCCTTTCCGATTAAAAAAACTAAAGATTGACGTACCCCTATTTTCGAACCACCCTGTATATGAAAAAAAAAATCAGTAAACTTCGATCGAGATTGAGGAAGTACGTCCAGGCTTCAATTGGATCTTTAATTTTCATTAAAGAACTTACCTTGGTTGGTTTGAAATTAATCGAATTGGATTTTTCTTTGTTCACCCTGTTGTAGAGCCCAAAACGTGAAATTATAATTAGATGATATTGTACCATCATTCAGGCATGTTATTCCATGAATAAATAGTCGTTTTGTCAATTCTCGGAGATGTTGAAAATTCTGAGCAGAAAGCTTCACCTTTCATCTTTGACACCCTGTATCTCGAATTGTAGTCACCAGATTTCTTTGTACCCATGGATACTTTTGCTCAGGGAGTCGAAATCTACATCATACCAAAAATTCAGGGAATTCAACCGAACGTCATTTTCCATTAGGAAAGTTCTTTGCGGGGTCCTTTGTGTTTTTGAGACAAAAATACGTAAGTACCAGAAAAAAATCCGCACATTTGAGATAACGATAGTGATTTTCCTAACAAGTGCAGAAAGCGATTCTTTCCCGCACGCGACTGCCGTTTACACGAACGACGCGAAGCGGAGTTCGGGCAAGCAGTCGAGTGCGGGAAAGACACTTTCCGCATGAGTTAGGAACAATATTTTTTCTACAAGCGTAAAAAATTGATTGATTTGTTCAATTAATTATTTTTTAATATAGGAACAACTAACTAGATAAATATACCGGGTGACACAGGTTATCGGGCCACCCCTCTTAACTTCTGCATTCGTCAACGGATTTTTCTGAAATTCGGTACAGTTATATAAGCAACGTTTTCGGATTTGATCATATTACAATCCAATATGGCGGACTTCCTGTTTTTCTGGAAATGCCAGCAATTTTGTTTTTTCAAATGGAACACCCTGTATATTTTTACATATTCAAGTTCAACAGATCAAAACAAGTGCAATCTTGATGTCAAATGTCATTTATTCCACAGCCTGCCTAGTTGGAAAATTATTCTAACTGCAAGGAAATTCATAAACTAGTTGTTGATTTTTGAATGTATACCATTTGTTACTGCACCGAAAAACAAAAATGATATTTCATTTTGGTCCTTAATGTATGTTTTAGAGAAACGGGTAGGTGGCCCATAGGGGTTCCATTAGAAAAAAAATAATTTTTGATCAAAAAGTGATGTGGCTGAATTGATTCCTGGATAAGTGACACAAAAAATAATTTTTCAGAAAAAATTATGGTCTTCTGTTATGTGTGACTCATTGTGAATAGTCTTGACCACATCTCATTTATCCACGAGGTAAAATGAAAAAACAATTTCAATTTAATTTTTTTCGAAAAAATGACATTTGAAATAAAGATTGCACTTGTTTCGAACTGTTGAACTTGAATATGTAAAAATATACAGGGTGTTTCATTTGAAAAAACAAAGTTGCTGGCATTTCCAGAAATACCGGAAGTCCGCCATATTGGATTGTAATGTGATCAAATCCGAAATAATTGCTTATATAACTGTACCGAATTTCAGAAAAATCCGATGACGAAAGCAGAAGTTACAGGGGTGGCCCGATACCCTGTGTCACCCGGTATTACCTATCTTACTGATTATTAGTAATCGCTATTGTGAACTTACAGTTTGACGCATTATACAGGGTGTAAATTTGAAAACTTCCAATGCGAATATCTCGCGAAATAAAAAAGTTAGAAGAACGCCGCTTGGCAAAAATGCTGAAGAGTTAAGGGAAACTAGAACCACCATATTTCAGTGAAGGGATGAGTCACCCTGTCAGCGCAACACACCCCCAACTTTGAAATGTCAAATGGCACTACCTCTTTTGTGAAACCTCAAATGAACGCTCTCAGTCAGTAGTATTCACCTGTACAAGACTTTTTTTCCACCCACTACAGGGTGTACGAAAAACATTAATTCGAGGGTCTAAATTTGAAAACTTTCAATGCGAATATCTCGCTAAATAAAACAGTTAGGAAAACGCCGTTTGGCACAAATGCTACAGAGTTAGGGGGAACTAGAACCACCATACTTCAGTAAAGGGATGAGTCACCCCGTCGGCGCGACACACTCCATCTTTGAAATGTCAAATGGCACTACCTCTTTTGTGATACTTCAAATGAACGGTCTCAGTCAGTAGTATTCACCTGTACAAGACTTATTTTCCATCCACTACAGGGTGAACGGAAAACATAAAGTCGAATAAAATAAAATGCAGAATGCCGATATATTCCAAGAGATGTGTTCCAAAATGTTAGAATGGGATTTGAACATCGATTATACTATTGCTTACAACAGAATGGAATGCATTTTGAACATCTGATCAAATAAAATATCCTTTTAACACAATTCATTTTATTTTATTCGACTTTATATTCTTCGTACACCCTGTAGTGGGTGGAAAAAAAGTCTTGTACAGGTGAATACTACTGACTGAGACTGTTCATTTGAGGCATCACAAAAAAGGTAGTGCCACTTGACATTTCAAAGTTGGGGTGTGTCGCGCCGACGGGGTGACTCATCCCTTGACCGAAATATGGTGGTTCTAGTTCCCCTTAACTCTTTAGCATTTTTGCCAAACGGCGTTTTTCTAACTTTTTTCTTTCGCGAGATATTCGCATTGGAAGTTTTCAAATTTACACCCTGTATATAGGTTCATTGCGGAAGCCAGCAGGCCCATAAGGTGTTTGGACTCTAGGTTTCAGACACTTCTAGGAAATGAGCCAAAAATACTTCTTCTTTATTCGGTACCATTCAATAAAACGCGTGTATAGCTTCTCATATCTTTCTTAGACTTCGTTGGCAATAACGCATCTGTATCGCATTCCTATAGCTGGAAGGTTTTTGATCACATTGTGGCAATTCCACTGAATCAAAAATGACAGTAACGCTGAAAAAAGTTCCCGCACTAGTGTGGCAAAAATTTTCTCGCAATGTTGCGGGAAAATGACACTTCCCAAACTAAATTGCGTGCGGGTATAGGGTGAATCACGCCGTTACCACCGATAAAACAAGGCCTGCATGCTCCGTGGGTGACGTCACTTAGTCAGGCCTAACCAGCGGCTCGAAACGACAAGCGCTTATAGCGCTATAAGGCGACCGCGTATTTCGATTTTAGTTTTAGATCATTATTGAGCCGATTTTGCTTTTTTTTAAGGGCTTCCGGTTGAAAGAGGATGCCAACCGTCAACTGAGCCCTTCTTCGCATCCCATTCGATTTTATTATGGAAAAACGAACCTATCTTTAAGAATTACTATTACCTAAAAAAAAAAGCCAGTGAGTGTCTTCAATTTCCTGTTGTTGGATTTTTTTACCCAATTGGTCGTTAGACTTGAAACAGTAATTTTTAAGTAGAGTGTTTGTAGTACATATTAATATAATAGGTGCAATTTGATCATTGGAATGAATTCTGCATTCATTGCCACGAGGCAAATGACCGTTTTCAGAAAGAAATTTGAGAATGTATTGAGTCAGAAATCAAAGAGTCCAATGCATTCGAAATATGTTTCAAAACCCTCTTTTTCTGATTATCAAGACATTTTCCCGAATTATGTATCTCGTTTTTATCTATTTCAATTAGTAATTCCTTGATTTGATTGATATTATTAGAGATAAAAGGTGTTTTCAGATTGGCTTTTAGAGATGTTTGTATCGCTAGGTCATACAAAAATGATTCCACATTCAAAACAAAATCAATCACAACCGAATATGTAATTACGGGCCCTGGAGAATAAGACAATTTGAATAATGTGACTTTCTGCAAATCGATAATTTTGAACCACTTTTCGGGCAACTGAAAAGACTCTAATACAACTAGAAATTCTTGAAATTCTGTGTAGCAAAATGATTTTTGGTAATTTTCGAATTCAGTTTTACTTTTGGTAAGTGCTTGTGCCAAATTTTTAGTCTCTAGTATCTCGAGTTTTTCATCACGACTTGTGCGTAATTTTACATCTTTCGATGAATAAGATGGACAGTTGGGAAATTGAGTGGGAATAACATCTCGTTTGAGCCTAGGAATTTTCAAATCTATTGTTACAGTTTTGCCAGTTTTTGAATCGGTTGCAGTAGATGAAGTAATAATATCATCTTCAGTAAAATGTAATTCACATACTTTACTGTACTTAGATGGAGTCGTAAAATCCTTGCGGTGAATTGCATGTACCCACTTTTTCGATAGTTCCGTGTCCAACGGGAAACTAAAAGCATGAACTTTTGGACCACCCAAAAGGGAATACAACACTTGTAAGGCATTGTTATTTCGCCTATCACAACACGAAATATTTCACAAAACAGTAATTTCTCCGCCAATTATTTTGATGAATAAACAACAAGAGAATTCGAGCACACACGCGATTTACCTACGCCACCGTTCTTAAACAAAAACAAACTGACGATCGATCGACGCGAATGCCTTGGAAGATGGCCTGAGTATGCGACGTCACGAGCTGTTTACGTCAGAGTCTGCTGGCCTTGTTTTATCGGTGGTAACGATCACGCACGCTTGTAGAAAAAAATAAATATTTCCAGCGTCCCGAAGAAGGTCATCCTGGCCAACGGCCAGGACACCTTCGGCATGGACTTCAAGAAGGCGGCTGCAGGACCGGCGGCCTCTGCGCCCGACCGATCCGACGCGCACGCGCCGCAGTCGCAGTTCTTCTGCGACCTGTGCGCGGCCAGCTGCACCACCAAGGAGCAGCTGGAGATCCACCGCAATGGCAACCGGCACCAGAAGAAGCTGAAGCAGCTGGGGATGGCGCCCAAAGTGCCGGCGGCGGTTGCCACTGCCAAGCCAGGTGAATATTCCAGATTACTCACCAAAAAAAAATTATACAAAAAAATATGCTTATGATGATTATTTATTAAATTCAAATAAGAAAAGAAGGGATTCTTAGAAATTTATAAACTATGGAAGGAATCTTTCTCGTAAAGAAAACGTTCAGAGTTCTATCAAAGTAGATAAATTCAATTGTTTCTTCTCGAGTGTACCCAAAGCAATAATCAAAACTTTACCAAACTATGACCTTGATCTCGACAAATTATTTCGAAAAATTCCAACGACACTTGATTCCTTCTTTCTTGAGCCTATAGTAAGCCAGGATGTAATTGCTGCAACTTTATCCTTAAAGAACTCACTGTCCATGGACATATTTCAGACAAACATTAAACTATTAAAACACTCCATTGATCTACTGGTAACGCCTCTAATTGATCTTTATAATATGTGCATAGTTGGAGGAGTATTCCCAGATATCTTCAAATACAGTAACGTTGTTCCAATACATAAATCTGGCGATTTGAACGTTCCTGGAAATTTCGCACCATCTTTGTGATTCCGTTCCTCAGAAAAATTCTTGAAATTATCTTAAAAAATCGATTATCAGTCTACTTTCATGAATTCGAAATTTTACATAAGAACCAGTATGAATTTCGTAAAAACCGATCCACTATTCAGGCAATTTCTACGGTGATGAACTACATTGTTGAAGGCTTTGAGGACGGTCGCCGAACTTCTATAAGCTTGTGCGATCTCAGCAAAGCCTTTGACTCTATTGATAGAGAAATTACGACGCTATGGCATCAGGGAAAAAGCATTGAAATTGTTGATTACCTATTTGGAAAATTGGAAACAATGTGTTAGCCTAAATGGGAAAACCTCCGATCTTGAAGATATAAATCATGGTGTGCCCTAAGGCTCTGTCTTGGGGCCACTTTTATTTATCATATATATATATATATATATCAACGATTTTCTCTATAACATGGAACCCGAAACATGTATTTCATTCGCAGGCGATGCAACGCTAATAAACTCCAATCCCACCAATACTTGCCCCATAAATTCTATTCTAGCTTCAGAAAAGAAGGCCGAATACTGGCTTTCTGCAAACGAGTTGAAACTCAATGATAACAAAACAAATCGCATTACCTTTTCATCAAAAGCCCATCATGGAGACACTGTCAAACTTCTAGGAGTTAATCTTGACGATTCACTAAACTGGTCAAAACACATTCGAATACTTTGTTCTAAACTTTCCAGTTCGATTTTCATCATGAGACAACTTAGAGGAGTGATTAATATAGAAGTTCTTATAACTATGTATTATTCATTATTTCATTCTAATTTATCGTATGGAATAATATTATGGGGGAATTCTGTGGATTGATTCAAAGCCTTCAAACTACAAAAGAGAATAGTAAGAGTTATGGCAAATGCTGGATATAGAGACCACTGTCGGCCTCTTTACCAATAATATGGTATTATGTCATTACCATCGCTTTACATAATAATATATCATCAAGTGCTGGAAATTCATAACAATAAGAATAAACTACAACTCAACTCCCATTTTCATGACTATAATACTCGAGGTTCAGGCCAAGTTAGCCCCCCCCCCCCCCCCGATAGCGATGTTACTAAATATACTGTACGCTAGCACATACCACGCCCACCGTTATATCTCATTTTCGAAGTACTTTACTTAGGCAAAACTCAGAGACTATCTATCCTCAACGAACTAACCTATCCCTGATAGCAACATTTTTGAGGAAGGAAAACCGAATGGAGTGTATAAACACATTGATTAATAATATATTTCAAAAGTTGAGTTCTTCAACAAAATTGAATAAAATGAGACTGTTTATCCTATACGCACTGACCTATTTGACTTCAAATATTTTATGAAAAAGGAAAACCAGAATGAAGTAAAAAAACATTGGTGAAAAAAAAAGTTGCAAAAAAAAGTTCAAGTTCACAGCGATTCGAACCATGGACCTTCAGACTGAAAGTCGACAGCGCTAACCAGTAGACCATTTGGGTGTATGAATTTAATGCGTACAAGAGATTGACAACGAGATCTTCAGTCGAATTCGTGTCAAAATCATAAAAAGTGTATTCATGCGTTGGAGCACAGTATATTTTAGTGTGTGCTGACTCCGAGTATATCGGTAATGTTTGGAGATATGACGTATTATGGTGGGCGTGGTTTGTGCTAGCGTGCAGTATATTTAGTAAAATCGCCCCCCCCGATACAGGCTGACAAGATCTTCAAGAAATCCGCTCAACGTAAATTTATATAATCATCTACCTACCCATGTTACGAACATGGAGGCTAATGAATTCAAAAAATGGGTGAGACAATTTCTGACAAAATCACGTTTTTATTCGGTATCAGAGTATATAGACACCCCTCCGTCATATGATCATCGTCACTGACCACAAAATATTCCTGAAAACTTTGTTCTGGAACTAGTCTGTGTATTATTTGTATAGTATTGTTTTTTTTTTCATCAGTATTTTCATTGTTATTTTTTGTTGTTGTTTGTTTCTTATTTTACTTAATGTCTCATACTTCATGAATAACTCAGTAATCAACTTTTTTTTCATCTGACTTGCTGCAAAATGTTTAAACATTAATGTGGTCGAATAAATTACTTACTTACTTACTATACTACTAGCTGTCCTGCCCGGGTTGGGCCGTGGAGTCACTATCTCTCCACGGTGGCGGAGTGCCCGTTAGAATGATGGAAAATAATGAAAAAAATCTTTAGCCACGCCCAGAATCGGTCGATAGGCCAATTAGCATATCCCGCGCTGCCTCTAAGACTACTCCAAATCCATTGTTTTTTCAGCTTCAACCACAGACAATTTATCCGTGTACCGAACCCCGTCAGGTGGCTACTACTGTCCCACATGCAACTTGGCGTTGAATTCCGAATCGCAGTTCTTGCTCCACGTGAAAAGCAAGGCGCACATGAAAAAGGCCGCTTCGCAGAAGCAGGACAAGTAAGCGTCTGAAATGTCTAGTCGAGCAAAATATTTGTCGCATTAATTCGTTCTATGTGGTAGTTTTAATTGAAAATGCATTCAACTAACATTCAGATGAACATAATGAAACGTTGATTATTCGACACAGTGGCGGCTCATGGTAAACAATTTTGGGTACAATATTACCTTTTTCTGCAACCGACACAAAAGTCGTCCATTTTGATACCAAAATTAGCTCTTAAATTGACGTTTCTATTACTGTCACAAAAATAGGTATGTTGCTAGGCAACATATTTAGTTCCTAGGAGCTAAAGTTGAATTTTAGTTCCTAGGAACTAAAGTTGAACTCTAGCTCCTAGGAACTAAAAAGGATCTACTGGACGTCATAAAGAATAAACAACATTGTGACGGTTGGTTATTTGGGTTGAGACGCATACCTGATTTGTTTCCGATTTCAGCAGATTTGGCATTTCATACCCATGCTGGAGGTATAAATACACCCTATTATAGTTTAGTATTGAAATTATAAACATCTCAGTTAAGTATTTTTGTTTTGATCAGGGAAGCCTTCAAGATTCAAATACTTGCGTGATCTGTATTTCATTCGTTATTCTCGGGATGGATAACTTGTTTTTGTATAATCACGGCAAGCAATAGTTTTTATGTCTCAAACAAAGATATTGTTTAGCTTCATTTGATTATCAAGTCGAACACAGTGTAGTATGGAGAGGAATAAATAATCACTATTATCATTGTTGGTATGCTCACTAACCTAACATTTTCCACAATTGTTCCTATAGCTGGCACTGGCGCGGTTTTTGGCATAAGAGCACCTGGTCCATACACAAGTATGTCACTCTGTGGTTGTATTAATATTGAAACTACAATTCGAACATCCTAGAAAACCCAACCTGCTATTAATGCAGGTAGAATATTCTCACCACATGGATTATTTGTCAATATTTGTTGCATTGCATATATTAGGCACCGCATTGGTGGTTACTTCACATGTTTATATTGAGTCAATTGTTTCGGTTGCAGAAAAAATAGCATGTTTCATTCGGATCAAAAGTGACTTTGTTCGACTCGCAAATTTTGCTTTCGCTCGGCTTCGCTAAACGCTCCGCCTCGCAAATGCAAAATTCGCTTGTCAAACAAAGTGTCACTTTTGATCCTAATAAAACAATCTACTATTTCCAACAACTGTCAGAAAAACTACACTTTTTTAATATTTGTGAGCCTAAAGTGTATAATTTTTCAATATGAAAATACTGTTTCATTATTTTACGGAAGTTTGAAAAGAGTACACTTTTTTTCACGGTTGTCGCTTGGCGATGGAATGAATGCTTGCGTGAAAGGAGCCTATACATTTCGTTGTTGATAAGCTGTTTAGTTTGATGAACAAGTGCGAACACAAATGGCGCAAAACCGAAATGTGTTGCTGCAAAATGGTCGTTTTCGCGAGCCACACACCACACACTTCGATTTTGTGTCATTTTTATTCAAACATACTCCTTTACGGGATTCAGCAAGGCAGCAAGCGAACGAATCAAGGCGACTGACATTTCATGTATGATTTGATCAGCATCGCTGACCTCGAGCGGGATGAGCAATTTATTAAAATTAGGCGAAGGTGGCTCTGGCTATTTTGTTCTCAGAAACCAGGTGTTATCAATAAAATGACATGAAATGAGTGATAGTGATCGCGAAAAAATATCATTTAATCATTTACATCATAAGTTGAGTGAGGTTGTCCTCTTTTTGACAGTTGTAGGAAAACTATTGTATGTAACTAATATTACACGGTCTTTTTTGTTTGCGAATTATGTCTTTAAAAGTGTCTATTTCGGATATGAGCTTATTTTTCAATAGATAACATGGAAAGAGCTGTTATACGATCCTTGATCATTGAATTTTTGAGAAACGTTTTGTTTTAGGGTTGAGAAACATCTTTCGGTCTCTAATCTTGTCATGGGAGTTGTTTCCACAATTTCTAATAATGCTCTTGTCTCCTTCAAGGTGTAGCCTGAATTGTTTGCTATGACAAATATTAAAAGGCGTAGCGTGCCAATTAGTGTCCTACATTTTATAAATGACAGACAGTGCAGTTTGTAATCGTTCTTTATTCGAAAAAAAAAAAGTGATGCAACTACTAGATCGAATTTGAATTCTAATCGATCTTTTGCACAATTATTGAAGGGGCAAGTGGAAGAAGTAGCTATGTTACAAATATGAGTGTGAGAAAAATAAGTTTTAGTAAAGTAAGCTGGCATTTTTTATTGAAAGCTAGTTTAATAATTTGATTTATTCAATTGTGAGAAATAGTTTTTGTTTGTTTTTTTATGATTTACCGCATTTTGCTATCATATCATTTTTTGATATACATATTATGGATTCATGTGTACATAACCCCTCATTCCATTTCCTGACATGTAGATAATGGGCACATAGCTCCTTCTTCCATTGCATCAATGATGGCAGTGAGATATGGTGTAAAAACTGATTTTACTCGACCTCTCGAGAACAGCGAGAGCAATGGTTTCGTCGATCTTCTAATAGATGGCGACATTGCACAATTATGACATCGGTCAATTTTATAAATTGCCCCAGATTTTTCGAATTGTTACATAATGTTCCGCGTACCTAAAATGCCATCTTATTTCCACTCGTCACAGTAGCAATTGCAGCATCACCATCTAGCAGAAAAATGTAGAATCAACGTCTCGCTCGATGTGACGTAGAGAAATCATAGTAGGCGGTCGAGTGATTTTTCTTAAGTTTTCAATACGTAATAATGGCCGACTACGCACACCATCTACTTATTTCCATTATTATTGCATGTTTAGTGTAACATAGCCCATTCTGCCACTGTATATCTACTCAGATATGAAGAATAGAAACAAATCCTGACAGGGCAAGTTACATATGCACGTAACACCTTCTTCCATGACATAACCGAATATTTTCAGAAAATGTTACTTGACTCCTTCCACTTGCCCCTTCAATTTATAACTAAAACATAAATCCGTTGGTCAAAACTGTCGCATAAGGTTTGTTCTCGCTCGGAAAACAAACAGTCAGAAACCATCAGAAGCATGCGCAGTTTCACAGAACTATTGGGGTTTTTCATGTTCCGTGGAACTGCGCATGCTTCCGATGGTTTCGGACTTTATTTTTGGAATGAGAACAAACCTATAGACGCTTGCGTTCACTTTCTGGTGGCTCAGCAATATGAGCCATTAATTGCTTATTTGAACAGCCCAATGAGCTGGACTAAATGCAGCGAACGGTCCGCTTGAAATTACGGGTTTGTTTTAGACATAGACATGGGGGTAGAGGAGTGTTGCAGGGGTGTTCGAAAGAGCTCTTGGAGCTCGATCGTGTGGTCCAGATAAATAATAATTCAACTTTACATGCGACCCGTATCCGTCCACACTTCGCTTGCAGTTTTTCTATCAGTATGTATTATTATTTCAACGTGGATGCGAAATATATTTACAAAATTAAAGTGTTTTGTATATTTGATTGGCGTTTTGGCAATAGACTCTAAATTTTTTTGGAAGCTCTGCTCTGCAGCGCTTACGCACCAGCCGCCACTGATTTGACATGTCGCTAATCATGAGGGAAGAATTGAAATGTAATATCTGTTTGTTAATTTCATGCAGTTTCTATTTCAAGACAGCAGAATATTTTCATTGCTGAGTCACTGTTCAATGAAATTGCACTTATTTATTCCTCAATGATTAAAAAGTTTTTTTTTATAATATGATGATTTTAATTTTTTTAATCAATAGCTTGAAGAACATGTTTAAAAATACAGGTTGATTGGAAAGACCTCATTGACTTTTCAGGAAAAACTTGAAATTTCTTTTTTGTCTGAAGCCCCCGGCGATTTTTTTTTTATAATTTTGTACACATCTCTTGCAATTATTCCAATGGCGTGTTCAGGGTTCTCATCGAATTTTCATGAAGAAATATGCACATATATTTATAGTTACAGTTCGCGATTTCCTACGACATTGCATCAATTTTCATTGCGCGCCACCTAGTGTTATTTTGGTGGTAAAATGGTGATTTTCGGTATTTCATGCATTATTTATGCATCATTAGATACAAATTAAATGTTACTATTTTCATGGTTGCATCTACCCAACTCAAAACTCGATAAGAAGCTAAACACAGATTTTTCAACAGAAATACATTGAATGCCGGTCATTCCCTGTAAAATAACCTGCATATAATTATTACCGGAAATATCAATTGCAGCAATCAAATGCAGACATGATACAATGAAAAATTGGAAACTGTAAACCGGTTCTTAGATGATAAGAGTTTATATTTCAGTTCATTGATGAATTTTTCATTTTTGATTTTTTGATTTTTGCCATATATTTGCAATTAAGTCTTAACAGCGTGAGATCTGTCTTAGTTGAAATTATTGTTGTTTTTTCGATCATTCATCTCATTACAATACATGTTAATGATTGGTTGAAATATCTGCATTGAGAATCGTTAACATTTCGGCTGTAGATTGGCTACTGAATACACCTACGTGGCCGTATTCTCGATCTTGTATTTCGCTTCCCCATTGGTAGTTTGATCAAATATAAAACACAATGACATGGATGTCATAATATTTTCATATTCAGATATAAATAGCACCCCACACACTAAACTTCAGACAAAATGGCGATGGGCACTGAATTTCAATTTGTATTGAAGAATTTCAGACCAACTTTTGTATGATCCGCATTTCAAAGAAACATTCAATATATCAACCTGACCTATCACAACAAAACTTGACACTAGCGTCTAGCGACAGAACGCATCAGATATTGCGAGCGATTCAGGGCACTGACGAGACGAGAAACAATATTTGGTGCGTCATGTCTCTAGATGCTTGTCAACTACTTGATAGCAATCGATGTATCGTTAGTTGCATAACCGACTGCAAATGAAAATATGACATGAAATTATTGTTTCATTCATGAAATAATGATTGGAATAATCTCAACAAATACAACTCGTTTCATTGATGATTATCGAAGAATCCATACTTTTTCAAAACAAATTATGTTGCTTTCAGGCAACCACACTATGCTATGTGCTCGTATGGTTGCCAAACAAAATAATTTGTTTCTCAAAATCAAAGGGATGGTTAGGTTTGAGTTTCTTCATTGCAATGTGGAACTTAAACATTAACACAAGAATAAGTCAAATCAAAACCACATCCAATGTGTATGCAAATCAGGTAAATGGATAAATCTATTGAACTAGTTTTTCCTAAAATTGGGTCAATAAATAAGTGGTGTGGTAAAAACATAATGTCCATAAAACAACTCTCATTGAATGTTCGGCAACATTGCATATTGTACATTCATTTCTTTTTTTATGTAATAACCCACATATATAAATAGGTAATAAGTGGACATTTTTTGGCAATAAGAAAATCGGATTATATAGTTTATTGAACATAACCATATTTTTTGTGAATTTAAAGCATAGTTACATTTATTTACAATTCAATAGTAATAAATAAATAATGATATTGATGAAAAATAAGGGTGAATTGGCAATGAAAATATATACATTATTGTCTATAAAATAATACATTATAATATAATATATATTATAATCATGCATTTCATTTGATTTTCAAAAAGCTACCTTCTTTGACATTACACAGTCTCAATAATATGAATGTCTTCAATATATTGTGTGTGATAAAATGTAGTTGAATATAACCTATTATACTGAGGAAAAATGATTTCGAGGTTTTATAATGAATTCAAAATATCAAGATTTTGCTATTATTCATTACTCTATAATATGGGAGCTATTTTAATATTAATTTGATTCGAATTCGTAGGTTTTTAATGTTCTACTTATCACCACCCTGTTTATAACTACTATAGAACAAACCAAACAATAAAATCATGTGATGAAAAATATCACTTCTATATCCCCAATTCCTCAGACGGAGAAAAATCTGAGAATCCTTGCAACAAATTCAGCCAAAATATGAAATTTATCGCCAGACATGCAGACTAATTTGTTACTGAATAGCAAATATCATAAGTGGCAGTTTAACAGAACAAAACTTGGTGAGAAATACCAAAAATATATATCTACAAAAACAAAATAGTTCATAGGTTTTCACAATATCAAGAGTCCATCTCTGAGCTACAAAGAGTCGGTGGAAAAGGTAATGAAATTTGGTCAATTTACTATCTTATCAGCTAATAAATTATTTTTTGCAACAAGTTGTCTACGCATTATTGTTTAGATTTTGATTCGAAGATTGCTTTCATGTCCTTAATGCAGTACGTGGGCGAGGTTTTCTCCTTCCTGAAAAATAAACAATATATTCCGTAAAATACTAGTTCTAAATTAATACTTTGTTACTCAAACAGTTAAAATTATACTTTATTCACCGTATTGATAATCGTTAAAAAATACCCAACTGTGCATTTCTCACTGTGATAATACTGTAACAATATAATAGTCAGTAACTTGCAATGGTCACAAATAGAGAGAAACTCAAAGTAATTACCACACTAGTTCATAAAATGAACGAAAATGGTAGATAACGAGAGAAAAACAGCTACTTTCCTGGCTATATGCCACGATTGGATTACATCCTCCCGAAATTTAAGCAACAATTCGTATAGACGAATAAAATCGCAAGTGTTTCCTTCCTAAAAGGCGCACCTAAGTGGTTCAGGAACGCGTGACTACCTGCAAACTAGAGTTCCTAAATACTCTTAACACTGCTGTTTTGACGTTTTTTGTATATTAGAGTGCGGACACTAGACAAGCAGTAAGAATCAAACATAACCACAAACGATTTTGAAGCAAATCATATGTTTTGCGAGACAAGGACAAGAATATGTTTTTCGCTTAGATAAAGGATCCTCGCATCTTCCATCCTCCACAAGTCCTGGGAAGAGTACATCCATATATCTTTCTTTCTCTGTCTTTTTTGTATGAGAGGGCATAGCATCTCCTCGAGTGGGTATAAGGGTACGATAAATTGATTAGAATATTATTTCTTCTCGAAATATTGAATGATAAGGCTGAAGGACCTCAATGAAGGTCGATATCAAGTTGGTAGGTACATAATATACATCAATGAAATACATACAGGGTAACTCACGGTCGATGGTACGTTAGACGTTTATGGAGAACGGGACATAGGATCATTCTGAAATTTTGGTTACTCAAGTAGTTGCTCTTGGTCTATCGATCTAAAATAGGTTCAGCTCTGCAGCGTTGCCGCTTCTATCGAAAAGTAGCAACAACTTTGTTATTTTAAATGGAACACCCTGTATTTTATTGCATTTTCAGATTCTCTCTGAAGAGCTGATTTCATCGATGTATCACACTTGGGGTCTAGCGGAAATACTTACAGAGATATAGGGTGTGAAAAATCGACATTTTTCAACTTTAGGAATTTTTTTTGTCGAGACTATTCATTATTGGTCAAAACTGCTCACATGTCCCTATCTCAACTTTTGATCAACTATCTACTGACATTTAATTGAAACAAATACAGGGTCGTGCAGAATTCAGAATCTTGATCACCCGGTAAATTTTTTGCCATATCTTCGTAGTCGTTTGAAAAAATCCCATCAAACCCGGCATTGTTGAATTTGTAATAGTGAACTCTACTTGAAGATGGAATAATATACTGGGTGTCCCTATTCAAATAATAAAGTTGCAATTCGGTGTGACCCTGTATACCTACGATTTATTCAATAGCATAATTCAAGTGAGCATCATCAAATATACTGAGTGACCAAATTTCAAGTCATTCGATCGCGCGGTTGATTTTTCACAGAGGGGGACATTTTAGCTGGGACACGGTGTATATGGTCAAGATCACTGGAATGCTGAAGTACTGTGTGAAGACGTTATTTCAGCATTCCACAAAGTGGCACCCATTCACCTTACAGTGAATTCTGTAAGAAAACGATGTCAAATTTGCTTAGGCCAGAACGGACGACAATTTGAACATCTTCTATATTTCTCAATGTCATCTACTAATTTCCTAATTATTAAGTTAATTATTATTTGTCTCATTTCTGTATCTTAAATAGTTTGAATGACTTGATAACAATGATATCAAATCGAATAATTCCTCTTTTTCTTTTTTTCCAATCAGATATTCATTCAACAAGAAAAAATATTGAATTGAATTTTCATTGATATTTATTTTCCTAATTTGGTTAATATATACAGAGGGTCATTTTCAACTTATATTCTTCCTCTTGATAGCATTTTCCAGAAATCTTGGTGATTCCATAGATACTGGCGAGCAGTGTTATTACTGAAGTTGTTTCCCCAAGGTCTTCGAGTGTATCATTGACATCTCTCTCACAGTTGCGAATTTATGAATCCAACCTCAATGATTATTGAGGATGATACGGAGATGTAACCATGAAAAATGTGACACGCTGAATTATATTGCTGCGAATATTTCTGAAGTTGTGGAAGAAGCATATACGTATTAATAATCAATACGGATAATCTCTATCTGTTTCCATAGCGAAACATGAAGCCGATTTTTGAAGACAAATGACTATCCATAAGGAAAAGTTTCGAAACGATCAGACACATACTGCTTTGATAGAAAGGCTAGTAAACGTCATTGTCCACCGAAACGCATGTCTTTGATGACTACCATAATAGCGCATGGCGCATGCGTATCATGCCACCAAATCCTTATGGATATTCATTTGTTTCATATTTTTGGCTTCATCCTGGCACCCGTTATGATCCGTATTATTTATTAATACGTATATGGGAAGAAGATGGTGGAGTTATACATATACAGGGTGTTAACAAATAAGTGTCACAACAGAAAACTGTAGATTCCTCATGAAAAAGAAACATTTATTTCCCTTTCGAAATTTTTCTCCGGGCTTCCGTTTTCCAGATACAGGGCGTCCAAATAATACAACAAAATCTGTTTTTTGCTACTATCTTAGGAACCGTTAGAGCCACGGAGTTTAGCTTTCGTACACACTTCATCATCAATAATGACTACTTTTAGGGCTCTTGCTCAATTTCCTTGGACATGTCAGTGGAGGAGAATTCAACGCCTTGTAAGGGTTCAACCCCCCAAACATTTATGCCACTGGAAAAATTGTAATTTTCAAAGTACATTCTGAAGAGCCAATATCTTTCAAACAAAAAACGTCCTCTTGTCTCAATGCTCTAAAGTGAATAGTTTCTGCGAAAAATGGCTCTTCATGAATAAGAACATACAAAATCCTGATGGTATCTCCTAAAATCGTCTAAAAATCCACTGGAAATAAACACCTCAGAACTGTCTGAGGATATGTTCAATCAAATGTCAAGTTCTTGAGTATGCTGGTCTGGATGCTGGTTTTCAAATAGTCAAGTTTATTAGGTGTTGTAAAGTGTGTTGAATTAAACTGAACATTTTTAATTTTTTTACGCCCTGTATCTTGAAAACGGAAGCCTGGAGGAAAATTTTGAAGAGGAAAGAAATGTTCCTCTTATTATGAGGAATCTACAGTTTTCCGTTGTGACACTTATTTGTTAACACCCTGTATACAGGGTGGGCCACCAGTAACGCCTCGGTCTCTAGAAGGCTAACCACTTATCTTCTTGGAATTCTTCCTCTCTAGGAAGTTGCATGTCAACATAGGCTACCATTTGAAATTATTTTGAAACATACAGGATGTCCCCAAAAATCACAAAACACTGAAGTCGAACTTTTTTCAACCGAACACCCTATATATTATTTCATTTCGAGATTCTCCCTGGTGAGCTGATTTCAACAATCCATCATACTTGGGGTCTAGCAGTTATAATTACTGAGATATAGGGTGTGAGAAATCGAGATTTTCCAAGTTCAAGAATTTTTTGTGTCTAAACCATTCATAATTGGTCAAAACGACTCACATGTCCCTATCTCAACTTTTAATCAATTATCTACTGACATTTAATTGAAACAAATACAGGGTGGTGCAGAATTCAGAATCTTGATCACCCGCTATATGTCCCAATTAAATATCAGTAGATAGTTAATCAAAAGTTGAGATAGGGACATGTAAACCGTTTTGACCAATTATGGATAGTTTCGACAAAACAAAAACCTAAAGTTGAAAAATTACGATTTTTCACACCCTATATTTCAGTAATTATAACTGCTAGACCCCAAGTATGATGGTTCGTTGAAATCAGCTCATCAGGGAGAATCTCAAAATGAAATAATATATAGGGTGTTCGATAGAAAAAAGTTTAACTTCAGTGTTTTATGGTTTTTGGGGACACCCTGTATGTTTCGAAATAATTTTAAATGGTAGCCTATGTTGACATGCAACTTCCTATTGAGGAAGAATTCCAAGAAGATAAGTGGTTAGCCTTCTAGAGACCGAGGCGTTACTGGTGGCCCACCCTGTATATTTGAAATTGGACCGTCTGGGACTATCTAACTGTGTCAAAATATACGGGGTGTTCCATAAGAAAAATATAATTGGATGCCGTATATTTTCTATCTCACCCTGTATAAAATTTTTAATGGTGCCAATGTATTGTTCGCATCATACTATATGAATAAACTTTCGAAAATTATCAATACTCCTCGCCATAAAGCACTCAGAAAATAAAAACGAAATCGGCTATTTCTCACTTTCACCTGTATCTCTGAAACGAATGAAGATATCAAAATTCCGAATGCGCCATTTTAGATTTCTTCAAAATCGAACCCGTAACATGTATATCGGTTTTTCGATAACTCTTTTAGTTATTGAGATAGCCCGTGAAAACGCCCAATTTCGCCCACCCTGTACACGAAATAAAAAATCCTTCATTTCATTGTAGAAGACACTTACCGCGGACTTCTGCTTTCTAAACTGATCCTCCTCAACCTTTCCGCCTCCGTTTCTCGGTCCCTCGTATCGAAAGTGTGCCGCCTCCTTTCCTCCTTCGAAAAATCACCGTCCCTCCTCTTGTTCCTAATAAAATCCAAATCCCGCAAATCGTCCATCCCCTCCTTATCCTCTATCCTAACGAACCCCGCCGACTTGTCTTGCCTGGACGACGGTCTGTTCTTGTTGACGATGAGGCCGCTAGGTGGCGCCATCTTACTGTTCTGCTCGAAGATGGCGGCACGCGACTTCAAGCTGTCTCTCATTGGCTTCGGTTGGTTTTTGCTCGACTCGAGGTCTTCTTTGGAGGTTAGTTTCGGCTTCGACGATTCGTCCTTCTTCAGGGATTCGTCTGGTTTGTGGGGAGATTCGTCTGGTTTGTGAGACAAATCGTCTGGTTTGTGGGGGAAATCGTCTTGTTTCTGGGGGGATTCGTCTTCGCTTCGAGAGCTACGGCGATGGATTCGACTGGTTTCGATCGGTTTGGGTTCTTCGATCAGTTCGTCTTTTTGTTTGAATATTCTGAGGCGCGTAAGAAGGACTTCCTTGTTTTCTTTGAAGGATTCCGACCTGTGCGGAAACATGTTCGTGAAAGTATATGTCTGCTCGGCTATACCGGGTGTTTGATTGACTGACAATATTATACCATCGTGATTTGATATACCGGGTGACACAGGAGACATGTAACAACCTGTAGTTTTTCAATTTGAAGAGATGGAAATTTGAAATTCACAAGGGTTATATAATCGATGATGGTGCTCTCCTTAAACCCAATGACAATTTTCTTCAACCACCTGATCCGAAGTAGACCCATCTTTTTTTTTCAAATGGCACCCTGTATATTTCTGTAGCCTATCTTATTCGCCTTGAAATTCTCTATTCAACTATTTATCACAATTTGATAATCGTTTATTAATTGGCTGTTGAATTGCATTTCATTGAAATACATTAAGTTGGTTGTGGTCCGTATACAATGACATTTCGATGCTTGATAGGCTTAGAAATCCAAAGATCATTACTCAGACGATATTATCAGAATATTTTCCATACCCTTATCGGTCCCAGAAGATTGCCAATAATTTCATTGAGTTTAAAAAATCACTCGAAAATAACTCACAGAATCTCAGTTTTTTTTCATTTGGCTACTTGTGAAGAAACTATTTGTCTTTCATTTTTGCCATGTAGCCACAATATGATCATCCATTTGGATACATGAAACTGAAATTGTTGTAATAATATTGATGTATCGTCCTAATATCGTGAGTTATTTTCGGATGATTTTTTTAAACTCAATGAAATTATTGGTAATCTTCTGGGACCGATTAGGGTATGGAAAATATTCTGATGATATCGTCTAAAGTAGGGTACAGATGACAGCTTACAACTTACTGCAGAAAGATGAATAATAAAGCGCGGACTTTTCACATTCAGTATTCTAGGGTTATACTAGACAAATATCAACTTTTTTCTATAAAATGTTCTAAATGTTTGAACATTTCTCGCTTATTGACCTTGAAACGAACTTTCTGTTATAACGCCAGTGTTAATTGTGACCAATCAGAATCCGAAGCGCTATAAGCTGAGATGGAAAAGCTGTCATCTGTACCGAGCATTAGTAATGATCTTTGGATTTCTAAGCCTATCAAGCATGGAAATGTCTTTGCATTTTGAATCAAACAAGATAGGCTATATATATACAGGGTGCCATTTGAAAAAAAAAGTTGTGTCTATTTCCGATCAAACAGGTGGTTGAAGAAAATTGTCATTGGGTTTAAGGGAAGCGCCATCATCGATAATATAACCCGAGGGGTAGACAACTCCAGCGAAATGTGTACACCATAATCAATACTCAATTAATCAACTGTACTCAACCTATAATCAAATGTAATCGAATACTCAAAATTGAATGTACACCATCTCAAATGTAATCAACAAGTCTCAAATGAGTCCGTTTCAAATGTAATCAAATTGTCTCAAAAGGAATCGAATCGTCTCAAAAGTAATAAAATCGTCTCAGATGTAATCAAATCGTCTCAGATGTAATCAAATAGACTCAATTGTAATGAAAAACATCTCAAATGTAATAAAAATGCCTCAAAAAGTCTCAAATCCCTCAAAATGTCTCAAATAGACTGACATACTCAACGTAATCAAATACTCAAGTCTCAAGAAGTCTGGAAATTACTCAAATGTAATCAACAGGTACTTACTTATCCAGTGTACACCAGTCTCAACGAGTTGTCTACCCCTCGATATAACCTTTGTGAATTTCAAATTTTCATCTCTTCAAATAAAAAAACTACAGGCTGTAACATGTCTCCTGTGTCACCCGGTATATGCGAGAACAGTAATTTCAGTGATTATTTTATGAAGATTCTGACAGCTACATCTTTCAGAAGTTAACTTTGTTTCATTGTAATACTATTGTATCTACGAAATGGTGACCCCGACGTTAACGATATTAGAAGATCTTACTGATTCAGAAGTAGTTGAAGTTCTTTCAACGTATTCATCGGCAAAACATTGATGGACATACCCAGCAGAACATTGTGGAAGAATTGGTGGAGAAAAATATCCAAATAATTTCCATGAATATGATTTCAAAATTATTCTGGAAAATTTCAATAGCCAATCCTAAAGAGCTGAGTCCTCAGTGCTTCTGACTTTGAGCAAGAAAATTGATAAACTCGAAGAATTATCTGTTTTTTTTTTTTATTGAGGAAACTGAAAGAAACGATAGAAAATATGAGGAATATGAAAATACAAAAATTCATGATTGATTCACATATTACTCAAGAATAAAATGTGACTGAAAAGCAAGCAAGAATAGTTGATGTACCACACTTTTGGTTTACTATCATTTTCTATTTTTCATAACTGTTTGTGTTTGCGGTGTCACGTCACCTCAGACAAATTACACTTTTGATTTGGTTTTTAGTGTAATATATTTTTCCTACTTTGTTCAATTTCGAGTTTGTTAGTCCTTAGTTTGATTTCTATCTGTGTTTGATTTCGGTATTCCATTTTCCACTTCTACAAAAGGTGGAGGTGTGAGAATTGTTCAACACCCCTATCTCAACAGTGACGTGAATTTGAGGAAACATGCAATGGCTTAGAACAATATCGGCTAAGAGATTTTTCTTGAACCACATAGATATGAGTAATTTAATTATAATGATTCGACATTCCAAAATGAAGATATTCGAGATAAGCAAGGATGATGTAATCAGTTATCAATACTTCAGGAAGAATATGTCATGAGTAAAGTAAAGAATGAAAGCAGTTATTGGATATAAGCAGTACCTACCTTTCTACTCTTGCTTGCTTCGTTAACAGCACTGATATGTTCCTACTCCTAGTCAAGTTCAAATAGCATCAATAAATGAAGCTATTTTATCATTGCATAAACAATGTTTTCCTCATGCATCCTGTTTTCATTAAACTATATGTTTGAGCACAAACAATGTTCATACTCGAAAAGTTTCAACATGAGAAATGTTTATTACAAACTTGACAGAAAAGAGGATCTTGGCAGGAATACAAAATTTCTAGGGTTAGGATAACAAATGAATATCTTAGTTCGTAATGGAGAGATCACTGAGTTTCTGAAAATATCGTCGACAATGTCTCAACCAATGGGGAAGTTCCCAATATTGAGTACTATATCTCACTATGAGGTTTGTGAAAATTTTATATAAATATTTTTTTCTTTATTTCGTAAGATCAAATTTCACTTCAGAAAAAATTAAATAGAAAAGGGACTTGGCTCCTTCACCATTACTACATTCACACAGAGTCAAAATACGATTCACCGGATCTGGTGGATTTGATACCGCAAGGAACCAGAAAACCAAGAAGCCTAAAAGAAGAAGAAGAAAATACGATTCCCTGTGTAAGTACAACGTTGCCGGCATCATCAATATGTCTAAATTTCCGGAAATTGTTATTTGAATACATTATAGGTTCTATTCTTGCCCCTCACACCTATGAAACTCATCCCAAACTCACCTATATTTATCCTGCAATATTTTCCGCCTCTCTTCTTTGTACTTTTCTATCCTCTCCCGCTTCTTCTGCTCCTCCTCCTCGCTGAGATTCCCCTTGATGTTCTCCGCGCTGTGCGCCAAATGTATCGATCTCAGCTGCCCGTCGTCCCGAGGCACAACCTGTAGCACTCCCCCAAATTAATTTCTTCTGCAGCCGTCTCGAAATAGTTATTTAACCAACTACACCTTTTTCAATTGTAATTCAGAAAGTGTAACTTTTAATTCAGATTAGTAAAATGTAAGTCAGAAAGTGTAATTTGTAATTCAGAATGATTAATTGTGAATTGTAATTCAGAATTCATAACATGAAATTTAGATTAGTGAAATGTAATTTAGAAAGTGTAACTTGTAATTCAGAATAGTCAATTGTAATTCATAAAGCGTAATTTGTAATTCAGGAAGTATCACTTGTAATTCATAAATATTATGGACTTGAATAAGGGTAGGTTATATAATATGTAGAGTTGAATGAGAAATTACATGTGGAAATTACGTATGATACGCCAATGTCCTCAATATAACCTAAAAAACAACAAATGTCAAAGAAATCTAGTGTTTATGGGTTGCGTGCAAAAACTGTCAGATGACCGACGCTGGAGGCAAAACAATGACACTTTTCTCATTTGTTTACAAGTGATCGAAATAGTTTTTCACAATTATTTTGGCATACGAATCGTATTTTTCACATTATGCTGTTGTGAAATGCACAAAAACTGCAGCGGAAGACGAAGTAATCCGGTTGGTACAATATGATTTAAAAGTAAGTACCTACTATAGTCACTCACATATAGTTTTCATTTTTGAAATTTGGTAATTTCTCTGATTTCTCATCGGAATTCCTTCTGCGATAGGAGCTAATAGAAATACATCTGAAATTTCTAAAATAATGCCAGAAAATTGGATTCATGCAATCAATCGGGAGGACTGGTCTGACATGCTGACGATCGTGTGTGTTGTAGACATGTTCAATCTATTAGCAGTATTAGCTTGTATTGCAGAAGTGACAGAAGGCAGAAGGAATTTCAATAAGGAATGACAACATTTCATAATGATAACTATGTGAGATTACTATTTACCTGGAAAATCATATTCCCTAGTCTCTTGCTGCATTTTTTGTGCATTGTACAACAGCACAATGCGAAGGCATGCTCGAATTAATGAATGGCGCAAAAAACACGATTCGTATGCCAAAATATTGTGAAAAACTATTTCAATCCTTTGATTCCTCTGTAACCAAGTAAAAAAGTGAGGTTGTGTTTCAATAATTCAAAGAAGAATGAGGTTGTGTTTCAATATTTTGCCTCCAGGGTCGGTCATCGTGCACGCGACCTATCCCCAGAAATGAATAGAGATGGAACTATATAACTGTTTCACGAACACTTTAGAGTGAGAGGAGGCGAGGATCTGTCCGTACCCTGTTAAGATGACAAATACGTCAATTTACATCAAGGGACCCTAGTGTAAACAATCAAGGATACCACAAAATATTATTATTGTCCGAGAGAGTTTCACAAACCTTGGGCGGGTTCAGCGTTTTCGGCAGCGAATTCGTCTTGTAGCCGATGCTCTCCTCGAACGACGTCCTTGTCCTGTCCAAACTCCCGAACTCCTTTTCGAATTCCTCCTCGTCCAGCGATCGAGTTTTCAGACGGTGCTTCTGGTTCCTGGCACGCAAACAGGGAGGCAGGCTGTCTTTCTCGTAGAACTTCTTCAGCCTGAGGCCGTTGTTGTTGTTGGTACAGTTTCCGTTCGCGCTGGAAAGGGAGTTTTCAGCTTCTGCGGGTGACGGTGATGCTTCTTCGGTTACAGTTAGTGTTTGTGAGTTGGGACCTGTAGAGGGGTCGGTTCCGTCCACCCTGTTTATATCTACGGCTGGTGATGTCGTGCATTCAGTCTTGTCTCTGTCGATATCGACGTTTTCGTAGATTGTCGTCACTACGACATTGTCATCTTCAATGTTTTCGTAAATATGGGGATTCTCTATTTCCAAAGAATCGTAATTATCTTCTATAGTTACATTTTTGGTTTGCGCTTCTTGTATCGTTTCGATTGCTTCCTTTTGACATAAAAAAAATAATATACAATGTAAAAACTATTATTAGCGGTCGTCAATGTTATTAAATGACGTTGCGATGGCATTTTTTTTTTTCTATCTAGTTTAACTATATCAGGGACTTTCAAAATGTTTGGATTTTTGTAAAACATTGTTGTGTTTGTCCTTATATGGAAAATTAAATGAAGTTTTAACTATTTTATTCTGGGCTATTTGTAATCTATAGATATCTAATTGCCTTGCTTGTCCCCAAAAAGCAGTTAAGTATGTCATATGCGAATACATATGCGAATACACATGCGAATAGTTAATTAGATATTTAGTTTTTTTGTTGAGCACCATAGCACTATGTTTCAAGTCATAGCATATATAGTTCAGTTTTTTGCATAGTTTAGAGATATGTTTTTCAAATGATAACTTATTGTCCTGAATTAAAACTAGATATTTGGCACTTTCAACTTCGTTTAGTTTCTCACTGTTTATGCTCAATTGCGATGGCATTTAAAACACGTCATCTTATGACCTTGACGATCGCGCATATAACCAGAATACTAGTTTCGATTGCATTATACGAGATTAGTAAGAAATATGTAAAAGTAAATTGACATTGATCACAGACATTAATTCGATAATAGAGAGTTGAAGTGCTGCCATGGACGTTACCGTTAACGTAGACATTGACAACTACGCATGCGCTGTTATAAATTCTTCACGTTCGTGTTGGTAGTGGATACGTTATCTCACGTACTTTCACGTATACCTTAAACATCAACGTACGTTAACCAAACTATACTAGAAATATGCGGATGAGTCAAAATCATCAAATTCGGGGTCCCAAGTTGTTCTGCATCAAGGAATCCTCTAATTTTAACAGGGATAAATGTTCGGGTCTAAACAGACAACCAAAAATGACGAATACCAACCGGAAACAAAATGTATTATTACGTTACGATGACAGTGACGACTTCAACTCAATGTAAAGACAATACGTAACGTAATTTTTCGTACGTTACTGTCTACGCGGAGGTCTACGTACAGTGATTACTTCAACTCTCTAATACTGGGTTTGACGGGGATTCCAGGAGGGTATGTTGACTATTCAGTTAAGAAAACAACACAACAATGAAGTATCTGTGAAGCAGTTCGAGTCACAAGTTTAGACAAACGAAAATTTGTATATACCGGGTGTCCACGTTGTGTGGAAATGCCCCATAACCCCATCGAAATAAGAGATAGACAAAATCTTATGGCGTATGGTCTACAAATTACAATTATTTTGATCTCTACAGGATGTTTTTTGATCAATTACGATTTCTACACATATACGTATTAATAATCAATACGGATAATCTCTATCTGTTTCCATAGCGAAACATGAAGCCGATTTTTGAAGACAAATGACTATCCATAAGGAAAAGTTTTGAAACGATCAGACACATACTGCTTTGATTGAAAGGCTCGTAGACGTCATTGTCCACCGAAAGGCATGTCTTTGATGACTACTATAATAGCGCATGGCGCATGCGTATCATGCCACCAAATCCTTATGGATATTCATTTGTTTCATATTTTTGGCTTCATCCTGGCACCCGTTATGATCCGTATTGTTTATTAATATGTACATGTTTCTACACAACCATGTCTTATTTATGCATTTCTTTTGCGGCGTTTTCAAGTCAATTAGAATCATTTTGAAAAATTATAATACACAGATGTAGATTCCAATCTGCCTGCTCATCTTCGTTTTCAAAATTATGCATGAACTTCGATGATACTTCGACTATCGGTTCAATGAAGTCATAATTGAGAGTTATCTTACAAGGTTATTCATTATGAACTGCCAATGTTAATTAACGAATGATCATAAATTTTATATTTCCAATCCCTGCATTTTTGAGTAGAACTGCATTATGTCACATGACAAGATCATTACATTGGACAGCCCGAAGTATGGCAACCTTGTTCGCCATTTTGGGAGTCAGTAAGCAGACACACGAAGAAGAAATGAAATGTTTGATTTGCTGTTCGAAGTTCATGTTTTCATAAGAACCCGGGAGGATTCTTTTCATTTTTCAACATCAAAATATATACATTAGGGTCCCTTGATGGAAATTGACGTTAAAGTCATCCTAACAGGGTACGGACAGATCCTCGTCTCCTCTCACTCTAAAGTGTTTGTGAAACAGTTATATAGTTCCATCCTTATTCAATTCTAGGGAAAAACACTAGATTTTTGACATTCGTTGTTTTTTAGGTTATATTGAGGTCACTGGCGTATCATACGTAATTTCCATATGGAATTCCCGATTCAACTATACCAAGATATAGATGAACAGTCCTCTAGATTTAGAGTTTACTACTCCAGCATAATCTTTGCGAGGTAGGGAACATATAAATTGTACTAAAAGCTTAATATATTTCACTAAGAGATACTGTTCTTAGACTGTATACTAGGGTTGACTGAATTGACTGAATGAATTCTGATTTCAAGCTGAGCAGAAGTTTATCTATCAGCTTAATGAGCTGAGCCTTATGATTGAGAAATGATGGAAACCGAAACTACTGAGCTTATTCATGTGTGCTCATTATATTTTTGGAAATCCTGCTCGGTGAAGAATTTATGGAGTGACTAATATCACGTATATCATGTATAAAACTTTGTCTAGGACGAAAATTAGGCTGATAAAAAATAATACGTAAAATATGCAGGAAAATGAAGAATAGAATATACTTTACCCCCATATGTTATACATATGATTTTTCCGTCCCCCTCAAATTAAAAGTCATTTTCGAACAATTGATTGATAAAAGTAACAAAGATGTAGGTATACGTAGTATAACTCATAGTCACGTTATTTTCACTCTTGCATCCTATATATTTTCTATTTGTGGTAGAGTAATAATCATATAAACTAATGTCTTCCGCCATATCGAATCCGCCATCCTACCCCGGAAACCCCCAGATACCAATTTTGAATAGAATCGAATCTCCATTACCAATTTTGATTTTTGAATAGAATCGGATCATAATTACAAAATTCGTTCGCCATATAGGATCCGCTATCTTGAATTTCCCAATTTTGACAAAAAATCATAAAGTTCGACCCCGAAAACTCCCAGATACCAATCTTAAATAGAATCAGATCATAATTAGAAATTTCTTTCGCTATACGGGCTGATTCACGGTGGCAGCGCTGAGAATATTTCAGGTCGATAGAACACAACTAATTATTCAAGGCACCAACTTTTCAGAATAATCCTGAGTTGCGTTTTCCAGAAACGTCTAATGTGCCATCCACCGTGAATCAGCCTGTATATTGGATTGACGAAACACTCATTATCTCCAACCCCAGAAAACGCCAGATATCTTCCAATTTTGAATAGAATCGGATCATAATTACAAAACTCGTTCGCCATATGATCTTCAACAAGTAAACACCCTGTACATACCTATTATTGAAATTTTGAATGATTTTCTGTAGCGCCCATGGATGTGACGTGACAGCAATGTCAGTGATGCCAGTAGACAAAACTAAAGTCTCTAGATCATTAAAAAAGAATGCAGCTATGATCTGTCCGTACCCTGTTAAGATGACTTTAACGTCAATTTTCATCAAGGGACCCTAATATACATAATGATACCAGACACACGAAGAAGAATTGAAATGTTTGATTTGCTGTTCGAAGTTCATGTTTTCATAAGAACCCGGGAGGATTCTTTTCATTTTTCAACATCAAAATATATACATAATGATACCTTCGAAAAAGCATACTGGGTGAAATCACGTCCGTAAATCTGTCACTACCTGCCAGTCTATATCCTTGTCGTGGTTTAATCCTCCCCCTTTCATGTGAAGGCATTTTCAGCTTCTAGCAACACTGACAGAAACCATAAGAATAGAGGTTCACTAGTTTGTCTTAGGAACACTCCAAAAACGGCCCAAATAAATGTGGGAGGAAAAAATATGCGCTTGGCGGAAAATCGACGGGGGTGCGAGCATTCTCGAGGTAAAGAACAACACTTTCATATACCTCCTGTATAGGAAATAAGACACTGAAGTTCATTGGGCACAATTTTGAAGAAGATAATGTTTCTTTCGCGGTTTTCATTTTGAACTTTACTAGATATCCAGTGTTGAATTCGGAATTATTCATTTTCAAAGTTCAACAATTTCAGTCGAGTTGTTATCTCATACCATTCACTAATGTGATCAACCAGAAGTATCGCAGCATAAAACCACTTACTTGATCACAGTCATGATTCACTTCCTCATCATCACCTCGCACCATCACATCTTCGTACACATTCTCTCCGTCACCGTTGCCATCATGCAACGTAGCTACGCCGTTCTCCAATTCGAGCATGGCGTTCACCTCATGGATGGACCTCCTGAAGTACTTCACCTGCTGATAGACGGCCGCATCGGTCAGACACTCCGTCTCCTCCGATTTCCGTTTGTCGTTGTTCATCAGTCGACCGTCCACCGGACTGAAATCGATGAGATTCATCAAAGACAAAATAACAAAAGACAGGCACCGCGATTCGTTGAAAAATCAGCGAAAAAAATGCCCCTTCAGTCATAAACGCCAAACACAGACAAATGAATAAAATATCGAATGGTGGGGATAACTTTGTAGAATTATTGTCAGATAGATAACTGATATTCTCGATATTCCGGGTTCCTTCCCTCATTGTAGTAGAGTGCCAAACGAACCGTAAGTCGCTTAGATCAAAAGTTGGTGGGAAATCGGAGGTAAAAAGCTGTGACATGGCTAGAATTGTTACCTACCATCTCCAGATCATGGATCCACTTGTCGTCAAAAAATCGTCCTGTGCGTTTGGGGGGTAGGGGGTAATTTATAAAAAAATATGGATTTTTTTTTTATTCGTGGAAAATATTGATGGGTTTCAGAACTTCCACCCTGTCGAATCTTGATTTCGTGTAACAAGTTGAACAAATTATAGAAAATTTTGAAATTCACCAATTACATTACGATATATGAGAAAATCATATTTCAAACGGCTATAACTCGAAACTTGTAAATTTTCGTTAAATTGCTTTTCATATACCTCGCATTATCTCAGTAACTACAACGTTTATCAAAAAAATACTTGAAATAATGTCGATGCGCCTATGTTTCAAGATGCGAATGGTTCTTCGATTTCGAGAATCGAAGCATCAATAAGGAAGATATTGGAAAAATCATAATACAATGCAGGTAGTACGAAGGACGGCGACTCGCCGCTTTCATACCCCGATTCTCCCCGCAACGCCCGCAGCCGTCCTAGTACGATCACCGTAAATATGAATTACTGAGTGTTACAGAATAGTACGATCTTGGAATTCACGGGAGAAATGGAATTGATCGCTATTTTCCAAGTTAACAGAAATTTATTTTAACTTGCTGTTTGATTGGAAGTGCCCTCCATTTATTTTATGAATGATTCTATCCCGAAAGTACATTTCTTATCCATATCAGAGTGAAATGTCAACCATCTCATTTATAAACAAATTGACAAATATTGAAACAAAACATGATGCATATAATATTGAAATAAAAATAAGATATCCTTGTGGAAACTTGAAAAAAACATTATTTGATACCTATCGAATTGCGAAGTTGTAAATACACGTAAATACGATACAGTGTCCACAAGAACACAAAGCTACGATAATTTTTTTCGATCATGTCTCTTGATGAATCATTATTCCCAAATCAACGTGTTTCGGTGTGAGTTTCTTGAATTTCGAATTAGCGAGTATTATACATTGACATGAGATACTCAACACCTTTGAATCATTTGAATCAACTTTATCGCGTGTATAAGGCAACTAATTTTAAAAAAGTTTTTTTGGTATCATATCCTTGTAAGCCTTGACATCCATATTTTTGAGTTGTTTATAATCTGGAATATCTCTCATATCTTGATAAATATCTCAAAAAGTTTGTGTTTCTGATGGGTCATATCTGATGCATACAAAGTCAGGGGAGTTATCTTCTGTAATTTCACTTTGTTCTTTATATGTGTATGAATCAGATGAGTTTTTGTCACTTGGAATCACAAATTACGACTCATTAGAACGTTTTGATTTATTTGATAATTTCTATTTCCTTGTCGTAGTGCTTGCTTTCTGATTTCTTCGATAAATTCATTTTACTTGATTTTTCGAGATTTTCCCTCCTCGTTTCTCTGGACGTTTCGGAAACGAATCTGCTTCTGTTCTCAACATAAAAATGCAAAACATTTTTCTTTGGAAGTTGCATTTTCATGTTGAGAACGGGAGCAGATTCGTTGCCGAAACGTCCAAAGGTAAACGAGGAGAGAAAATCCCAAAAAATCAAGTAAAATGAATTTTTCACCTTCTCGATTAACCTACAGACAGTAATTTTCGATTAAGCCACCAAGTTCGGCATATTTTTGATATAAACAGTTGAAAGTGTACCCTTTTTTTATTAGAAAATCTGCACCATCTATTAATTTTATCAGATTATCAAATTCTTTGTCATGTGTGGTATGACAACTTTATTCTCACTCAGTGATCCTCTATAATGTTTCCAATTCGATACAAAGCATTGGTTATGATGCTTGACTTCCATGGCAATAAACAATGTTGGTAGTCAATACTAGGTCAAAACTTGACTTATTTGAACGTTTTTGGTAGAAAATTCTTTTAGACACATCAAAAATACCTTCACATCAATTTCACTATAGAAAGCGTTTTATTCCTGACATTATTGTCTCCAGTTTTCAATATTCCTGTGCCAAAAGATCGATTGACCTTTATTTTCATTGAAAATATCATCAATTCCCTGAAGTTCCATATCGATTTGCCTCGCATAGTGACTTGACTCTTATTTGAACGTTTTTGGTAGAAAATTCTTTCAGACACATCAAAAATACCTTCACATCAATTTCACTATAGAAAGCGTTTCATTCCTGACATTATTGTCTCCAGTTTTCAATATTACTGTGCCAGAAGATCGATTGACCTTTATTTTCATTGAAAATATCATCAATTCCCTGAAGTTTCATATCGATTTGCCTCGCATAGTTTTTTCCGAGGTTTTTTCTTATATTCATAATATACAACTTTCAAATGTTTTTATCGATAATTCTGTACAACAAAGGAGTTGACCATCTTTTCCACAAATGAAACATTTTCTCGATGATTCTGTACTCTGCTGGAAAGGAATCCTCAACTTCAAGACATATTCAAGATCAGTCTCTGAATTGCTAGTACTTTCCATCTTTTATCTAGAGAAACATATATTTTATGATGAATTTACAATAATAGATTTCGTTAGCTACTCAATACTTATTTAATTATTGAAACAGAACACACAGTACCAAATATCGAATAATTAATTCACAATAAGTCACCATTAGATGCAATGGTCAACGCCTCAATGTTGATGTGTATAACGGAGTCGTTAATCTATGGTATAACGAAAGCGTATGGAACCATGATAGCCGCGGGTATTGCGGGGAGAATAGGGGTACGAATGCGGCGAAACGCGTTCGTCCGTGGTACCTGCATTGCATTATGATTTTCTCAATATCTTCCTTATTTATGCTTCGATTTTCAAAATCGAAGAACCATTCGCATCTTGAAACATAGGCGCATCGACATTATTTGAAGTATTTTTTTGATAAACGTTGTAGTTACTGAGATAATGCGAGGTATATGAAAAACAATTTAACGAGAATTTACAAGTTTTGAGTTATAGGCGTTTGAAATATGATTCTCTCATATATCGTAATGTAATTAGTAAATTTCAAAATTTTCTATAATTTGTTCTACTTGTCACACGAAATCAAGATTCAACAGGGTGGAAGTTCTGAAACCCATACATATTTTCCGAGAATAAAAAAAAAATCCAGATTTTTTTATAAATTACCCCCTACCCCCCAAACGCACAGGACGATTTTTTGACGACAAGTGGATCCATGATCTGGAGATGGTAGGTAACAATTCTAGCCATGTCACAGCTTTTTACCTCCGATTTCCCACGGGGTGAACGATAGGATTCGATTGGCACTCTACTATTGAAAGGTAGTTGAATTATTCTATTGAAATGACAATTCAATTCATGTATGAAAAATCCCACAAGCCGCGTGATTTTGTCATTAAGACAGCGAAAAAAGTTTACCCTAACTTTTCCAGCGACAATAACGTAACCTAACTTCTGAAAGCATGACAACCAGCCATAAACACATGTTTGATGAATTAAATTGTCGTATCGAATTACATTCTAGCTTTTTCTTAGTCGAAGTAAATCTGGCATTGATAATTCGAATGTTGTTGCCATTAGGTAATTCAACTCAAAAAACGGCAGTTTCTTTCGTTTAATTGCCAGGCAACAAAATTATTATTTATACGTGTCAAGTTTACTTCGACAAAAAAAAAGGTCTCGTGTAATTTATAAGTGAAAAAAAAATAGTCCACTTGCCTATTCACACCATCGCCATGCCAACTCTCGCCATCTGTCGTCAAATTCTCCAAGCTCAAGCCCTCGCTGGTGTTCCTCGTCTCCGTCAAAGCGTCGCAGGAGAAGCAGTCGTACACTTGAGTGGGACTAACATTGGGACTGTCGCTGTTCTTCGACGGACTAGCCGGGAAGCTCAGCGACGTTTGGCTGGTCGCCAAATCGTCAGTCGAGCCTTCGACCACCTCGCTCAGGCTGAGGTCGGTCGGGGTGAGGCGCTCGGAATTCTCGATGTAGTGGTAGGGGGCCGAGCTGACGCTAGGCGTGTACTGGATGTTCGAGTTCGAGGACTGGTTCGAGCTGAACGTTTTCTGGTCGTTTAGGCTGCCCAGAGACTGTTCGCTGGTAGAGGCAAGAACACAGATGAGTAACTGTGCTAGGACAGTTCCCCGAGATATGTTGATCACTTTTAACATGTTAATCTCCAAAAGAAGAAAGGTTGAAAATACAAAAAATAGTCGTTCTCAAGATCATCCGCTGAAGTCTTTTTTGAATTCTTCAGCAGGGAGATTCTATTTCACGAATAGTCGAATCGGCCTACTTCATTCGATATTTGGTATTCTGTTTCTCGAATGAATCGTGTAAACTCGACTCGATTCCTCGATAGCTCAAGAGGAGTCGAGTCGATGCGTTTTGTCAATCTATCCTTATCTATCATCGAATGTTTCTTTTCATCTTCATCCCAATTTGAGGTTAGATCATCTTGTTTATGTAAAAGCCCAGCTTTGAAAGTGTGTAATCAACTTATTTCTTCATAAATTATATAGAATCAATTTTCGATGTCGTTCAAACTCAGAGATGCCCACTGGGAAATGTTAATAACACTTTTAGAGCAGCACAGAACATGGCCACGGCCACAGGATGATTTTCAGAGTTTAATGGTCGTGACATCAATAAAATATTGTGAATCAGGCTAAGCCAAGTAAATTCATTGGGGCTAGGCGAGTGAACTCCTGAGAAATGACTTAAGGTAGCATCTTTGCTATGATCCAGTTGCATAAAACCTCAATGCACAATATTTGAGATTCTGTATACGTATATTCCCTTCATATTTTTACCTATCCACTAATAAGTGATACAATCATTGAGACCCCAATGATTGTATCAGAAGACGAACCAACCTCATGTTCAATTTGATAGCTCAATAAATCATGTTTCAGGTAATGAAAAAGGATTAGGTAGGGTATACCTACTTCTGTTTCATAGTTCTTGTCGACGAATTAGATCTGAATTTCTTTGTCTATCCATTAGCTGTTGAAATACCATCTCGAACAAATTAGAATTATTGTTATATTTGTCTTGGGATTGAAAAAATTGAAATTCATAAAAGCAATATAATCACCATAACTTCAAATTTGTGATGGCTTTGGGGTTATAGCCTGGGTGCTCGTTTCATTGGATCAAAATCTCATCCCATTTCGCCGAAAAACCGACGATTTTCGAAGTCGAATTCGATCGCGACTTGATCGAGAAATATAATAGGAAAGGAGTTCATCATCGTATCGTACGACAATCGACGATCGTCAAACAGAATTCCCCCGCAGATCACGACTCTAGAGGGCTTGAGAACGAGCATTTTGTGTATTTTGAACCTTAAATTTCGTTATGGAGATTAACATTGGAAAAATCATCACATATAATATGCATATAACTGAAATACAGGGTGATTCAAAAGTACTTTGACAAACTTCGAGAGGTGATTCCTCATAATATTCCAATATGAATTGTCCAAATAAGTATATATCCGGAAACGCTTCATTTCCAAGATACAGGGTGTTAAAGATCTACATCTGTGAAAAATATGGTGTCCTTTCAAAAAGTGTATAACATTTTAGCTAGTCTGCTTCTCTGTGCCAAATTTGGTGTCTTTATCAAAAAGTGCATAATAGTTAAGCTAGTCTGCTGTACTAACGCAATTTCCCAACAGAAAGATTTAGTATTCAGCCGACTACGAACGATGCCGATGGTCGATGCCGAAAAGATGTCCCGTCGTGAACACGAAAAGGCCGTTTGATTTCTAGGTAAATCCCCCGTGCAATGAATATCATTAACTGACATTTTCCGTTCGGTTTTCATCGCTAATTGTTAATGTGGCAACTATGTTAAGCAGCTGGTGCTAACACAATGTTTCCAAGTTAAAATCCCTCATTCTCTTCAATGTTCTCATTTATCAATATTATTGGCAAGAAGACAGTGATGCTTGCACCAAAATCACAAGAAAACAGAACCAAGGAAGCAATTTAGTATTGATTGATTCAAAATTTGTTTTTTTTGCAGAAATAAAAAAAATCGAGAAATGAATATCCGACTGATCAAAGCTTTCTGTCCAAATATGAAAACTACTCGCGTTTGAATTAGCTCGTTTCTTCTTGGGATTTTGAATAATTTTTTATACGATGAACTGAAGGGAAAAATCTCAAAAAAACAATTCATCAACACATACAGTGTTGCCAGCTGAAAGGAAATGACTAAATGACCAACCGCCCGAATATGGATATGTCTAGTGTTACGATCGTCGGACGTTATAATGTTTTTTGGAACCAACTCAAAAGCCGTCCATTTATGTTTCAACAAAATCAGCACTCGAAGTTGATGAATGAACTTTTTGTGTTTAATGAACCATGCACCTGAACAATGTACTGAATATGAAATTTAATGATAATGAAATTCTTATAGAGAGATTGCCATTTCTCTCCCAACTTTATTGATTCAATCTTCTGTTTCAACAACACGTCGTCATGATAACAACAAATGAAATCCTATCCTATATAGGGTAATACCACTAGCAACTACCATTATACAGGATCATACAGGTAAAGTACTGGACATACATGGTGTCTTAACTACTTGACCTAGATATAACATAAAGGGTGATGTACAAAGTACCAAACAAATAGAAATTCGATCAATTGATTTTATTTCGTGGGAAAATAAATATACTGGTGCATCTACTTATATTGCAAAATATGAAATAGACAAGAGTTTATCTTACTTCAATATTCTCAATATAATTCATGAGGAAAACCCACAAAAACTCATGAAACCACTATGTTTACAATAAACTAACACAAATCATATTTGGATCATTCGGACAACACAAAATATCATTATTAATACCATCATTCAACTTACATCTCTCACAGCAGTCATTGGAAGTAATAGATGATAATAAATGATCCACAAATAAATCACAAACAATTCCTTGAAAGTACAAATTTTCAGTAATGAATAATTCGCAGAGATCAGCTGATCACAACAAATCGCTTCTAGAAATGTCAAATAAATCTGGCATCGGTGTACAGTTTTGCTTATTTAAATCGATAACGCGGTTCGTCCATTTCGAAAGTTACTAGTATTTTTCGATGTGCAGTTTTGGCTCGACATTGTTACCAAGTATTGCGCAACTATCAACCCAGCGTGAAAGCCCTTCTATAATGGACTGGAAAGGCTCATTAAAAAAAAATCCTCTGTGCCTTTTCTCATCGTGATAAACGGCATAGTAGTTTTCTTACCTATTGCAGATCGCTCCCGAGCTCATGTTCGCCTTGATCGTGGAGTCTTTGCTGGAGGCCAGGTCTTCCAAGGCGCTCAAGCTTTTCGGTCGTTCCCCGGATTGGGATTGGTGGCGGTCTTCGCCGGGCGACAAGGTGGGTTGGCTGGCTTCTTGGATCGGTAGAGAAGCGGTGGAGGTCGGTATGCTGACCTTCAATAAGAAGCAAACACTCAGTCATTTCCACAAATGTTCAATACATAAGCGTAGGTATTGATGGAATAGCACTAAACTGGATCATGAATTATTTGAGCAATAGAAAGCAAAGGTTGAAACTAGATGAAGTATATTCAGATAAAATGCAAAATGATATTGGTGTACCCCAAGGGTCTATTGGGACCATTGTTATTCCTAATATATTTAAATGATATCGTAACCATAGCAGACGAATGTAAAATTCACTTATTTGCCGACGACACCCTACTGTACTTTAGTAGTGATGATGTGCATGAGTGTGTTGATACTATGAACGCTGGTCTTGAAAGGGTGAATAGATATTGCTGTGCAAATCTGCTGAAGGTGAACGTAAATAAAACAAAATGGATGTTATTAGGAAAACATAAAGATCATAATAATGAAAATCTACTTCTAAGATTGAATGACAGTGATATAGAAAAGGTGAACAAATTCGTGTACTTGGGTGTTACCATTGACAATGAATTGAAATTCAAGGAATATGCTAATCAGGTCATCAAAACAGTAGCTTACAAAGTCAATTATTTAAGAAGATGTTCCCCATATCTAAGCCAGTGGTCTAAACTATTAGTATACAACTCCATAATCCTTCCACATTTAAATTACTGCTCCACCATTCTGTTTTTTCTCAACCAGAATGAAATAAACAGACTACAAAAGATGCAGAATCGTGCTATGCGAATAATCTTACAATGTTCAAGGATAACACCGATAGCAAATATGTTGCAAACCCTACAATGGCTACCAGTGAGAAAACTCTTCGAGTATCAAACACTAATTTTCATTTTTAAAATCAAAATTGCATATTCACCTGTATATCTACAGAATAAATTATCATATGTGGCTGAAATACATGAGTATAATACAAGAAACAGAAACAATATAAAAGTTGAAAAATATAAAAAAAATAGTACACCTAATTCCTTATTTTATAGAGGAGTAGATTGTTTTAATGACCTCCCACAAGAAATTAAAGAGAGTGGTTCGATAAATACATTCAAAAGACGATTGAAGGATTATTTAATGAAAAATTAGTATATAATTATTATTTTTTTAGTAGTTTTTATTTACACGTATGTATTTTTTATTCAGACTGATTGTATTTTTTCATGTTAATCTAAGTTTATTTATATGTGAATGTATTTCCTATTGTGAATGAATTAGTTTTTCAACTAAATAAAGAGATATATATATATATATATACAATGAAGAACAATGGTAGATGACGGGAGAAAAACAACAACTTTCCTGGCTAATCCCACGCAGAACATTGAATTACATCCTGCACATGTTTTTTTCCTTAATGTCGATTCTTTTTAGATTTTGACCAGGTTAATGCTTGACATCTACAGACCGGTTTCGGGCTTTTGGCCCTAATCAGTGTGGGGTAGTCTCAAGTCAGTAATTGTAGGACCGCCAACTTAGCGAAACATGACCCAACAAAAATAAAATCGGCATTATGTGCATTATTTTTGTTCTCGATTTTGAATCTTGATGCATCATGTATATTTTTCAATATATTCGGTAATGCATTGTATAAAATTATTCCATTCTAAAAAACAGATTGTTCGTCAATGTTCGACTTTAAAGTATTTGCTATTCCTGGTTAAATGAATGAAACAACACATTTTGAGTTTATATAATGAAATCGGATTCAGAAAATGAACAAATTCACTGGTGATTCCAGATAATGTAGATGAAAAATGCACTAAATTGATTGGTTTTCTAATTTCATCAGCGGTTTTAGGCGTGAAGAATGTTAATTCCTCCAAATAGATATTAAATATTGCAAATTTCAATAAATGAGGATCTATGAATGAGGCAAAAGTGAATACACTTTAATTATTTTTTCTACTCACATAACTAAAATGGCATTTAGCGTACAGATATGTACCACGCTAAATGATCGATTAATCACGGATTGTCGATATGTGATTTAATCAAAATATTAAACACGTTACCATGGCAACACGATTTCTTAAACACATTAACATGGCAACGCAGTTCATTAAACACAGCTTCAGTAATTTGAGACATGTCTGGCCTGTCAATTGTATTAACTGTCAACTGTTATTTTCAAATTTTGTATCAGAATTATTCAAACAATATTCATTTTATCAGAGTTCTCCATTAAAAATATATGCGGAATGTAGACGAAAGTGAAATCGAAGAGAATGTTCTGGTACTTGCATATCTCCAAGGAGTGTGAAAATGAAGCATCCATCTTTGAGAACAATTCATTTATTCTGCGCTAAGCATGACAATAAACGTGAAACAAAGGTTAGTAAGTAATGGACTGGACACATCTACAACCAATATCACTTATACGTGTCTCGCTGGTTGCATGCAGTTGCATGTATTATGTTCTCAATTACCATTCCTTTCGGATTATTTTGTAGGTTAGCAGGAATTGCAGGTATGTTAATGAAATTTTCAGAGTTCGTAGAAAAATCATAGTATGTAACGCGTTTATAAACTCTTCTAGACACTCGTTTATTAAACACTCGCTCCGCTCTGCTCCGCTCGTGCTTAAACTACTCGTTACTAAAAGGACGTTTATAACACTTGTTACATAATATACTATTAAAAGAATGATATTTTGGATTTCAAACAAAATGCCTATGTTTAGTCCACAATAATTTTTTATCAATATAGACCTACAAAGGTATGAAGGTGGATTTATGCACACCGTTTTTTTCATTAATCTGTTGCTTTAATTAACTGTCATTAAATTCATTTTTATTCAAGGACTGATACCTTTATGCATCACCTTCTTTTAACTTTGAACCCTTCTCCATGATCAAAACATAGTGCTCAGCATACTAAGCCCGATGAAAATATTTGTGTTCTAACCTCCACTGCTCACGTTATTACATAATAAGAGTAATTATTTATTCATATTCGGCTTGTTCGCGTTCAGAATATAAACAGTTCGAAACCATCAGAAGCATGCGCAATTTCACAAAACTGTACGCATTTTTTAAGTTCCGTGGAACTGCGCATGCTTCTGATGATTTCGAACTGTTTATTTTTGGAACAAACCTATTGTTTTCAAAGTCTAATTGGAACAAGCAACTGATATTTTCTGAATGTTCGATCACATTATGGAAAAATAAGAAGAAGAAATTGTCTGACTTCTGACAGAATCGCGCCTACGCAAGTCACACTTTTACTTGCATTTGTCGTTAAGAGATAAAAGTTAGTAATCTTTTAGCGAAAAGTTAATGAAAGATTAAATTCAATTTAGGTGCATGAATGAATGAACGGAAATGCCAAGTTTCAACTCATTAGTATGGAATCGTTAGTTATTGTGAATCTACAGATTAATGAAAAAGCGGCGTGCATACATCCGCCTTTATGCGAAACATTACATAATCTCTGACCTTTTCCGGGTTGAGGATGACGTTCTCGTAGATGTTCGTCACTGGGGTTTTGACAGGCGAGGTGGCGTTGCTTTGGGTGGGGGATCTGTAGGTGATGCTAATTGTCATTAGTACGTTCTCGTAGTTGGGAGAGTCCTGTTTGCTGTCGATCTTTTCCAAGCGGGTTTCTGAGGGAAATGGTGGAAATTCATTTTATAAAACTAATTATTATTCTCATCACGAGGGTTGGAATTCGAGTTGAAGAACGAAAAAAATTGTATCGATCTGTTTCCATAATGAAGAGAATATGCTTTATGCTTTATTGCATAGAGATAATATGCTTTATTGTCAAAATAATAACCTTAAAAAAATTAAAATCAAGACTAGAACTAGAGTAAATCGCTATTATAACACCACAACATTTTGAAATCTATTTTAAATTTTAGACATTCTCATAAACTATTTAGTTTATAAGAGACACATTACTACATATTCAAATATTCCTTTTAGAAATGATTTTATGGTTGAAATACATCATTGAAAAACTCTTGTAAACTATAATAGGGTTTATCCGAAAACAGTGTTTTTTAGTCTCTGTTTGCATTTTTCATTGGATCCAACTTCTTTGATATCTCTTGGCAAATCATTGAACATCTTACAGCCTACATAAATTATTGAATCTCTAACTAGAGCCGAAGATGGAATTGGTAACTTGATGTTACCAGCTTATCGGGTGGCATGGTTTGCAAGGGTAGTGTCAAATTTTCCAAGATGTTTTTTAATTAAACAGGCCGTTTCCATGACAAAGATCGCATAAACTGTTAAAATTTTGTATTTAATGAAAAGGGGTCTGCAGGTGTCACGAATTTTTGCTTTGCACATATATTTTACTTGCAATATGAAAACTGAGTTAATGAGATGATCATTACACACCGCCCAAAATGGAATTCCATACCTTAAATGAGATTCAACTAAAGAGTGATAAACAACCTTAGAAGAAGAGAATCCTAGTTCATTTGATGTGACTCTCGCCGCATAACATCCAGAAGACCATTTTTTGTTCAATACTGTATCTTAACATTAACATAGGTTTGTTCACGTTCCAAATTGTACTGCACAGAATCAGGTGAGTATCAAATTCAATCAGAAATAAGTCTGGAATAGTTTTGAAACCAGATAAACAAAAACGCGTTTTCCCGTTTTCTGATCTTTCTCGAAACACAAATATTTAGGTTATGGTTATGTTGATGTTAACATGAAAGACTACTGAAATTTAGGACCTGAACTTTCTCCACTTGAATATTCCCACACTTAAACTTATTAAAATAATACATTAATGGGAAAGTTTGCAATTTGCAATATTTATTTCATTACTGAATGGGGATGAAATACAAACTAACGTAACCTCAACTTGGTGCATTTTGATTTTGCAAATCTTATATATTTTAAATAGTGAAACATACTTTGAATGAATATCTGTTGAAAAGCTTCCTCAAATCACAAGAGTACACAAAACAGTTTTCTTTGCTCAAATCACTATAAATAAATCGAAAAAAACACACAAGCAAATGAACCATTTCAAAATAATGTACTTTCATATATTTCCACAACCGGCCACTTTGGCGCCTATATATAATTTTTCACTTTTGTAACATTACAAAATGATAATCATAACTTTTCTGTAATCTTTTTCTCAGATGACAGTTTATAAATCGAATCTATTTTCTTGGAAAGTGGCAGATTATATATTGCAACAGCGCATAATACTGAGCCCGCCCACACCACACAAAATACTGACAGACACACCGAGAGCTGATCTGATTTTGTGGCTATATATGTTATTGTTCACCAGTTTTACCTGTATCGATGTTTGATCTCCAGCTATTCCTTAGCCTTTGTGAACAGTTTTTAGTTGTTTTGTTAAGTGATCATCGCTATTTTTCATGATATAAACATCAACAACGCCGTCAAGTTGCCTTCCTCTTCTGTTTTTTCATTCGATAACTATATTCTCGTGTGTAATCCTCCTCAGCTATATTCAGAATGTCTGTCACAGTTTTCCGACCCGAAAATTACAAATTGCTTCATTTAGAAAATAAAAAAGATCCTAGACTTTATCGATCGCCATTCTGTACAGCGGGGACATTAAACTGGAGAGTTCCGAACTCATTTTATAAAAAAAGAACTGAAGGAATCAGATTAGCATTTTTGTAGCCGAATTGGCAATTTCCAAAATAAGTACGGAGGATGAGAACTCTCTATACCTGTGGGAGATGGTGTTGTTGTTGTATTGGTGCTGCTCTCCCCCAGCTGTTTATACCCAGGAGAACCGGGGGTAGGAGTTGTCAGGAGGCTGTTGGCCCCCAGATATTTCTGATTTATATCCAGTTCGGTGAGAGATTTCGGGATAGCCGGTTTGGCACTAGCTTCCAGATTCAACGATTGCCTCTTATCCAGATTATCCGAGTTCCTGGGCGATTTATTCTTGGGTTGGTACGACTCGAATAGCTCACTGTTTTTTTGTACTGGGCTCTCGGGGAAAGGGTGGATCACAGCCGTGGTGGATACTACGTTGTCAGGGGTGTTACAGTCTATGTATTGGATGTCGGAGAGTTGGTCTTCGAGCCTTGTTCTCTTGCGGGACTGAGATTCGGGGGAGAGGACGACGCGCGGTTGTTTTTTCGGCGAGGGGTTGACGGAGTTGGTTGCGCTGTTGTATTCTTCGGGTCTAGCTCTGGTCAGGATTCTCCTTTGTGTCTGAATGTAAAGTAGGAGAAATTAGTTGATTATTTGGCGAGGTTAAAAATGTTGAAGAATTCAAAAGTGGGAAACCTCAATGATATTTGACATACATCCACAGAGAATTGGGGTCTGAAATCTAATGAGGTACTGGAGGCAATCAAGGCCAACCTAATTTCTAAATGAATAAATCTTATATATGGTGATCGAGAAAGACAAAATCCAGTTTTTCATTGATTTTATTCATTTTCTCTTTGAAAAAGTAGAAAGTAACACAAATTCGATTAACCAGCATATTACTAAGACCTCGAAATGAACTTCAATCTTTTCAATTGCCAAGCAGCTATATGTTTTCCTCTGTACATGTCACAAATATGAAAAACAACAGAATCCACATTAATATAGAATTTGCAACAAGAATCAGCATGGGTCTTTTTACCCACCAGAGGGTAATTAAGCTACCAACAAGTTTAAATATCTTCTCGACTCATTGAACATACAAAATTTTCTCGGAAACTTTGGGTTCATTACTTTTGATCAGTTCAATCACGTTTAACTAAAACCATGTCGCAAAATATTGGCGAAAATAATAGGCGTTTTCGGAAACTTACTCGGGTTGATCGGATCCCTAAACTGAACGTTTGGTAACCTAAACCTACCTTTGTTTGGAAACTTGAGTGTTGCTAATTCGATTACTGACTCGGGTTTATTTTTCGTGACCTTACTCAAAAGTAAAATAATTTGCATGTTGGGAAAAATTTCGATCGGTGATATGAATTTTTTTTTTAATCTCCTTACTTTGATTTGGTTATTCATAGATAAGAGAATTATGGTAGGTAGGACGTTTGTGCTTTTGATATAAATATTTGTTACCATATCAAATAAGTGCTTGAATATGATGTGAACATTTTCGTCTATCAAATCCACGAAACCACAGAAGAAAGATTGAATTCTGTGTTCCTAACCTGACACGTTCGTAAACGTTGGAAACGAGTATGTGATCCGAGTTTCTTTGTCACGTGACCTCTCTGGATTGAGTTAACAAGAGTAAGTTTTCGAAATCACCTAATGTTATCCAGGAAAATGAAATTATTTATTGAAACGATTATACTCTATGGAGCTGTCAATGAGGGCTAACATTATGTATTGTCCACCAGATCGCGCTACTCAGTCGTGAGTTCAGAGTTGGTAGAAGTGATAGGTTCACTTTTTTTGTGTCATTTGGCCTCTTCCTAATATATCTTCTCTGTTAATATAAAAATTGCGCGTAAAGTTCCACAATGAGAGTAAAAAACACAAGTCTGCTCAAGTCTTACAATAACACGAGTTTTTCTGTTTGTTTACATAGGCCACCTAATTGTTTCAGAATGTTTTCAGTAGTAATACTATAAGTGCTTCAAAATATTCGTGTCATTCATCGATAACTTGTTGCATAATTACAAAAAGTGTCAGTTTGACAGTTGAAATACTCCGACTGCGAAGTCTTCAGAACTTTGACCTCATGTTCTAGTAACGCCAACTGGTGAGACTGAAAATATTAGCCCGCATTGTCCTCTTTCTACTGTTGTCATGACTGCATGTAGGCTTTCTTCCTTCCATGTAACGAGAAATTTTGATCGAATTCATCAAGAAAAGGATTAATACATTGGTTAGGTAGACCCCCGACACATTGAATTGGGCCTCATTAGCCCCATGACATGTTTCTACAAAACGACTGAAATAATGACTGAATGAGATAAATACTTTTTTAAACCAGATAAATCAACTCCGGCACGGAAAACGCTATTTGACGACGACGTGAGTCATTTTGACATCGATGAAGAAGGATGTACCTTTTTTTATCGCTGATAAAATGCCTGTTCCTTTGATCTAGTAGCTATTTGCGTCTGATGTCACTCCAATTTCTGTCGTGTCAAGTTGATACTACAATAATCTATTCCTCTAAAGAATTTAACGATATAGTTGATGATATAAAAAGTGACTTGAAAATGATATCATCTTGGCTACAAATTCATAAGCTGACCCTTAACTATGACAAATCTACGTATATGTATATTTCAAAAAGAAAAACTGATATGTCGAAAACAACAATATTTTTCAACCAGAAAGCCATAAAATATTTAGATATTACAAAATTCTTAGGTCTTTATATTGATGAACAATTATCGTGGACTAAACATATAGATCACCTGAGAAAAAAGCTCAATCCAATTACTGGCATTTTATACAAAATTCGAAATTTCATTCCTCTTAGATATTTGAAGAATATATATTTCTGTCTGATTTACTCAAAATTACAATATTTAATATCAATTTGGGGAAGCACAAGTATATCACATTTGAAACCATTAATGAAATTACAAAATAAAACAATTAAGTGCATTTACAATTTACATTACCTGGAACCAACTATTAATCTTTACAAACCAAAAAATCTGTTGAATTTATCATCTTTATATAAAATGAAAATTTGTTCTTTCATCCATTTTGTGAGAAAAAAAATAAAAATATCCAACTTGAACTTTACTGAAGTAAATACAATTCATACTCATGCAACGAGACAGTTGAATTCATTAATAGCAAACCCATATAACTCCATCATTGGCAAACAATCAGTATTCTACAACGGAATCATTTTATATAATTCATTACCTTATGATTTGAAACATATTGATGATGAAACAAGATTCAAAGTCAATATGAAAAAATATATACTCATGACACAATAAACGGAGCAATTTATTCTCATTTGAATACTTGGAATGGTTTTATTTTAATTATTATGTTATATTGACATAACTTGTTAATTAGTTTTTTTTTTTTTTATTGTTTTATATATATATATATATATATCATATGTTTATGTATCCCTATTATAAACAAATATGTTTCTTGGGGTAATAAAGAACAACAACAACAACAATTAACAAGATGAGCCGTTTTAGGAAAATTTCGTCTAAGGAAACCACGAATAGAGAAAATCAATTCCGAAAACTACCCGTTACACGGAATCATCAGTGAAAGTTATCATTATTGTTATTTATTTGTATATTGTCCTTGATTTATCTTGCCGAAAAACACTCGAACTTTTTTTTGATTGGATAAATTTCCTTACTAACTCAAACATTGTCCATCAGTTATTTCTCTCGAAAAACTGACATGAAAAAATTGCGAGACCGTAGGTCGATCAAATTTCTGATCAGCAAATGTTTTTCTTTACCAAGAGAAATTTATCCAATAAAAAAAGCTCTTGTTTTTACTGTTGAATAGGTCGCGTGCACCATGACCGACCCTGGAGGTAAAATATTGAAATATAACATCACACTTCTGTGAAACATGAGACACAACTTCACATTTTTCATTTGTTTACAGAGGAATCAAAGGTTAGAAATAGTTTTTCACAATATTTTGGCATACGAATTGTGTTTTTTGTGCAATTAATTAATTCAAGCATGCCTTCTCATTGTGCTGTTGTACAAGGCACAAAAAATGAAGCGAGAGACGAAGGAATATGATTTTTTAGGTGAAATTTTGTCATTTCTTATTGAAATTTCGTATGCCATTTCTGCAGTAGAAGGTAATACTGCTAAAGGACTGATAATGTCTACAACACACACGATCATATTTCGTCAGCATTCCAGACCAGTCCTCCCGTTTGATTGCATGAATCCAATCTTCTTGCATTATGTTAGAAATTTCACGAGTATTTCTATCAGTTCCTATTGCAAAAGGAATTCCGATGAGAAATCAGAGAAATTAACAAATTTCAAAAATGAAAACTATATGTGAGTGACTATAGTAGGTACTTACTTTTAAATCATAATGTACCAACCTGATTCCTTCGTCTCTCGCTGTATTTTTTGTGCATTGTACAACAGCACAATGTGATGGCATGCGCGAATTAATGAATAGCCGAAAAACACGATTCGTATGCCGAAATAATTGAGAAAAACCATTTCAATCATTTGTAAACAAATAAGAAAAGTGAGGTTGTGTTTGAATGTTTCACCTCCAGGGTTCGTCATCTGACAGTTCTTGCACGCAACCCATAAATACTGCGATTCTGATATACCATACCTAACGTTCATAAATGAGCTACTTTATGTCAAAAAAATAATGAGTCAACAAAGGTCACCGCCATGAGTGGAATGAAATCATAAAATCTGGTGGCTGAACTACTCACAGCAAAGCACCGTTCACTTTTGACAACTGGCAAGATTTCGGCGCGAGTGGTCGTACAGTGGTTTCGCGAAAGACAAATCTGCATCAAACCCTTTTTTGCGTAAACTTCCCAATGTGAGCCATATTGCACCTCAGTTGCCTCAGGTACCTCATTCGAGATTTCTTCGGCGAACAATGTTAGAAATTGAAATCTCCGGAATGTTAACATTTTTTTCAACAATATAAACGTTATATAAAATATTTCAGTACCTGATATTATAGAATAATTTACCTCTTTTTGAATCCTTGGTGAGCTAACCAAGCTCTCGTCTTCAGAGAATATCCTCATTTCCGATTCTTCCAAGTCGAAGTTCAACTGTATCTCGCTCAAGTCCAATAGAGAACCTTCGGAATTATTTTGCGAGCTTTGTAACACGTCGAAATACGAATCGTGTGAAACAGACCTAAAACGGAGCGTGCAATATAGTTATTTACCTAACAAGTAGTACTTTTCCGCAAGAGTTAGGTACAATGTTTTTCCTACGAGTGTTTTTGTCCATATTATTTATGAAAAAAAAAAGGTTTTTAATAAAAAAAATTTTATGCTAATGCTATAAAATAAGACAGAACAGTCACATAGATCATTTAGTTAGCCCTGAATATCCGTATTTTCAACAATACAAAAATCGTGCGGGAAAGTAACTTTTCAGCACTAGTTGGGTAAGGTAACTTCTTCGCACGATTTTATCGGACAATTTCAGTCAAATAGGAAGGAACAGAATAGCAAATGGATGAAAAAAATTTAATAAATTACGTTACCATAGCAACGCTAGCATTTACTGTTCGTTTATCAAGGGTTGCGCGTCGCATCAGTTTGATAATTGTGAATGTCAAAGAATTGAATGTATGATATTCCAGTAAGTATGTGAAGATTTAGAAATATTTGCGAGGCAGAAATTGTAAAGGATATGGAAAAATTACCATCAGATTATATAAAAAGAAGTAATTCTTCAATTTGGAACCAATTTAGCGAACTTTGAAAACAAAGAAACTTGGAAACTGAACTGTCAGTGAAAAATGTGGCAGGAATATTGAAACACTGTGGCTTCACTATGAAGAAACAGAATGGGAAAGATTATAAAGAATAAGAGGTGAAAACACATAACCCAAAAAACCTAGAAGGCCAATATCGTTCTATTCAAGTGTTCCCTAACGTGGCTCGAACAGCAAATGTGAACATGCGCAGAGACGCGACCCTGCCAGGGGCGGCTTCAGAATCATTTCATAAGCAGGTTTTTGTGGCTTCCTTAAGAGAGCAAAACATTGTGAAAAAATGCATATGATACTAATTATGATGGATTCCTTTATGTTATTAGGAGTAATTTTTCGATGTATTTTATATCAATTATAGTTTTTATTGGATAGAAAAGGGCGAGCTAATATACAGGGTGGTTCTGGATATATCGCACACCCAGAACAACACTGTATTATGTCGGAAAATCTCGAAATCGACTTTTTTCTATCGATGAATAGCCAAATATTCGCCGCACATACCACGAAGACAGGCTCATTTATATCTACAAAAATGTTCAACAGATGGTGCGTAATGGTGATGACATGTTACCAGAATCGTACCAGGAACACCAGACATTGTCTAGTTGCAACTTGTTCGTCTTAGGAAACAAACGCAAATCCTCCATGCAACAGTGAATTATTTTGTGATAATGCTGTGTAGTCTAATCGACTAAGAAGATTTCTCTGAATTATTTAGTTTTAATTCAGTGTTGTTGACGGCGGTATGTTAATTTTTTTGTATTATTCCAAAATGTTTCAGTATTGTTCGTGAAACGCGAAAATCAGTGAGATAATGCACTATTGATGGTAGATATAAATTATGTCTTAATTTTGTTGAAAATTCATAATCAATTACTTTTTCTATTAGCAATTGTTACTTACACTACGAATCAAAAGAAAATTGTATACAATCCATATTGTTCTTCATTTACAGGAAGATAAATAATGTTTTTGAGAAGATGCACTATCAATGAATTGATTGAATTCGTGATTATTATTTGAGGTCGTGATTTCCTGTTACTCAAAAAGTCATTGGGAGCAACCACAAAAGGAACCAGACCTTCTATTCATTACAGGGCAGCGTGGAAAAATATAATTATGTCGGAAATACAATCATTGCAGCATCAACCGTTGACACGTCAGCAGTGATGACAGCATCAGCCGATAAAGCATCAGATAGGGAGGTACCCGTTCATGTTTTATCTGATCATAGCGATGAAGAAGATTTTATAGATAATTCGGATACAGATTCTACTCATTTTGTGCCTGATGAACGAATATTTTGGCCTCTTGTATTCCCTAGCAGAGTATTCTCTTTTTTCTCCTCGTGCTCCTCGTCAGACTACAGCTTATCATCATAAAGCTTCGGCAGTTCCAGTAGTTGATCTGATAATGAAACCAATAGACAAAACATGGAGTTTTCTGCTTTATCAACGCGTTTTTTATCTACTGAACTATAGAATTCTGATACGTATTGGATTCTCCACAAGCAATGTTCAGAACATCAGCAATAACTTTGACATAACATGAGATAACGGTTTTTCGTCGATTCTGGAAAATACCCTATTTTGACTTGGTGCAATGTTGTTTTGGGCGTGCGATATTATGGTTCATCAAAAAATTAGTCGGCATGCATATTATTTTTATAAGTGAGATACCTACATCCCTCTCAAGTCCAGTTTTAATGAACGTTTTTTTGCTATAATTCTTAGGACAAAAAACAACACTTGGTGCAAATACTCATGAAATAGTTACTCGTTGTTTGACGCAACTAAGTTTTGTCAAAATTGTCCAGTGGAGTAGATACATGGGAGTTGTTTCACGCTTGCCGCCCTATTTACTAAACCACTGAAGAATGTTTTCAGAATTGAGGTATTTTCCCAAATTTATTGAAAGTAAAATCGTACGGAAAAGTACAACTTTTAAAACGAAAAATCGTGCAGAAGGTACTTTTTCGCACGCTCGTAGGAAAAATGAAAACCGAGCTTCGTGAATCCTAGTACCTATTATGGCCTGGAGGCTTAGTCAATGAATATAATGGTCCGAGAACGTCTTCCGAACTTGCTGGTTCCGAATGGCCGGATGTCAAACTCTCCGCCGATTTGACGGAACGCAATTTCCGCTTCATGTCCGTCAGGTCAGATTCGGTTACAGATTTCTCCTAAAACGAACGATTAGCACATGTTTGCTGACAACGCGTTCAACTCACGTTTATTGTTATGGGAGTGGAAGATTTTCTGTTTTTCATCAGGTTTCCCTGGGAAGAGTTTCTGGATTTGGAGAAGAATAATCGCCATCCCAGTGGAGACCTCTTTGTATGGCCCCTTTTCCTTGTACCTGTAATTTCTATTCATCAGATACTCTCAGCTCGGGACGGTTTTTAAAATTCATCTTCAACTGCCTTACAAGATATTTTCAATTTTGAAATCGTTCTTTATTGTCAACAATGTTTGCCAATGAAGGTTGTTATTTAAATATGTGGCCGTGCTTTGAGCAGAGTTTTTATGAGTGATTCTAAAACAAGAAGTTTACATAAACGTAGCTCCGGAAGTACATGGTTTTCAAGATTTTCCCACTCTTACAAATAGCACTATGATATTTCAACAAAATTAGATGGATACGAGATAAAGCCTCAATGTATCTGACAATGAACAGCATTGACCATATATCTACTTTACACCCTGTGTATATCTAATTGCATATTGCTGCACACAAAATTATTAAATGCCGAAAAGTACATGTGCATTGTTTGATTTCATCAGGAAATACACGATGTCAAAAATGATTCAAATCATGAGTACACCGCTTTATGTCAAGGCCGTGTAAAAATATAATAAACACTTTTTCGAAAATTCGTGTACCTGGTGGCAAATCAATGATTGTATGATACTTCTTAGGCAAACTGTCAGGTCCTCCGCCAACTTCGATGTAATTGCATTCTTCCACTTTGTGCGGCAAATGTTTGCTTCTAGCCTCTTCTAGAGTTATCAGTTTTGTAGGCGTCGAAATGGCCAGGCTATTGGGCCTGCACTTCTTCATCAACAGGCTCTCGTTCGCAGAGGGATGGTCCAAGTTGGGGAGGTGGTCGCAGAATATGAGGTCGGCATAGCAGATCAGGAACTCGGTCACTACTGCCTGAAATTATTTGAATTATCGAATGGCCCTTCTGACATAAAACTAATTGAAATCGATAATCGCGATGGCACAAGCATAGCCGGCTCTATAACAAGCCGCAGTGAGATAAATGCAACACCGCATCGCCGTGATCCGGAAGGTCTACTCTCGACTGGCTACCACGGCGACATAGGCAAACACTGGTACTTAACATCAATTTCTGTCTTTGAAATGAATAATTGAACTTTAATGGAAACAAAATAGCAAGAGATAATGGGTCAGGTCACAGTTCAGTATTCAGTTCATTTTACATCAAAAATTCAGGTTATTGCTTGAAGAAATATTCAAGTTGGAAGATAGTATCGTTTGTTAGGTGAAATTGAAAAAATCCTACAGTTCCTCCCAGTTCATACACAGAATGAGAAGTGGTGTATAACATAAAAGACAATTATTGTAGCAGACAAATATCTATTTTTTTAAATTTGTACTTATTTCAATCGATCGATCAGATTTTCAAGATTTCTAGAATGAAGTAAGCTTTTTTCACAAGATACTATGAGGGCTTTTTTCAGATATATCAAACTTTTCTCTATTAAGTCATCAAATGAGCTAATTTTATCTTAGCTGTTTCTGTATATTGCTAGAATATTATTACATATTTTAAGTTCTGAAGTTGTGACCACCTACTCAATTTCATATCATAGGGAAAAATCCATTTTGAATCATTGAATCCCAACTTTATCACCTAGTAAAACTTGGACCTGCATCTCATTCAATACTACAACTTGGGAAGTTGACTTCCATACATCTGACTTTGAACCTAATTGATAAAAATGAATTTTTCTTTCTGTCTTAAGTACTTTTCAATCGCAACAACTATCAATTTTCAATTTTTATGCATATTCTCCAACTACCTGCCTCGTAAGTGAGAATTAGGTCGGATTTTTCAAAATCACCTATTTTTTATTTGGACAGCTTAACATTTCTGACGTCTTTCATCAGGATTTGTTCTTATTGAGATACACACTGCGGAATGTTGGGATGGGGACCAGTTTTCACGAGGTATCGAAGATATCAACTTTTTCCCAGTTCTTCCTCTTTAGGAAATATAAAAATCGAAACATATTCCTTTTCCGATGCGTAATTTGAATTACTGTCACACAGCATCTCCTTATGAGAAAGTTTGGTATAACTTACTTCGCTCACTTCAAATAATCGGATTGATGAATCAATAAATGTTGTCCAAGCATTGTCGTTCTAAATGAAGACCTAGTAGGGGAGAGGTAAAATAGTGTCGGTACAATAACATTACATTGGAGTTTTCAAAACGTCACCTCGACAAGTTACAATTTTGATGTGATTGTCAAATTTCAAGTTGCTCGTAAGGGGGCAACCAGATGACGGATAAGAACAATTAATTGTAATAAAGATCATTTGATAAATCAAGATTTAAGAGCCATCACCATCACTAGTTCCAAACTGTTTGATTTACTCGACACCAGTTCATTGAGGCAGAACAACTCTATAAACCGTCTAAACCGAAGTTTGTTGTGATTGAGCTGAAATTCAGTGTTTTTGATAATCTTCTGGTTTCTGCTCAACTTTGAATGGATAAGAGGATCTGATGATGAGAATAATTCAATTTGTATGTTTCATTCCTTCAATTATTTCAATATTCACTAAATTACTACATGGAATGTAGGAAAATGATCAATTTTTGAAATGAGAAAAAATAACTTTGAGATATGCAATGAAATATAAAGGTGTTCCATTTACAAAAAAGCACTTCCACACCCCCCCATATGGAATAAAGAAATAATACCCAAAAGAGAAGAGCATCTCAGCATCTGATTCAAGAATTCGTTTCCAAAGTATCCAATATTTTGATTAGTTTTCAAGATATTGAGTGCTGGAAACGTGAAATCTATAGGCAATCACCCTGTACATTCCATATTGCAAAGATATTCATATCTTGCAATACAAAACAAAATATGATGATCTCATACACTTCAAATAGTTATTGAACCAACTAGTGCATTAATGAGGGCGCTTAACGATCGAGATATTTTAACGTGCGAGCAAAGCGAGAGAATTAATGTTCGAGATCATTAATCATCTTATTAATATACGAGTTGGTTACAACATTTTTAATAGAGAATCGCGAAGTAGCTCCGGTTACAGTAAATGAACTGCGTATAGCCCATAGTGGAAGGAGAAGATGGTGTGCTCAACAGAAAGCTCAAACTCGTCTTGTTCTGCGCATGACGTCAGCTGGGATATAACTGTCATTGTTATTATTTGTTTTCGTGATTGATGTCTCGAACTTCAGATATTATATAAGTACTAAAATTGAATGAAATAATTTCGAAATGCCTACTTGTTTCGTTTCTGGTTATGGAAATTCCAACTAACATACAAAAGGCACAGATATTGAATTTTTCTGCTTTTCCAAGAATGGAGACCTAATGAAACGATGGGAGCTTGCTTCCGACAGAATATAAACTCAAATTATGGTACCTCCCTTTTATTCCTTATATCGTCATTCCAAAGTATTCATCTATCATATTATCATCACATTCATATTACAGCACGTATTTCTCAAAACATTTCCATGCAAAATGTTCCCAAACAAGTGCGAAAGTACGGTTCTTGAATTACACTCCTCCAAAAAATTACAAATATTTGAAACAAGATGCCATTCCTACAGAACATCTTCCGAATATCAAGTCAGAAATAATTGAAGATGAATTCAAACTTTTAATTTCTCACAAAATATAAATTGTAGCAAAGATTTGAATAACAAAACGGCAAAAATTGCAAATCCTGTTGTCGATGTTAGGTGTTAGGTCGATGTCGGAGCAGAAGCAACGTCAACGTCGTTAACTGCTGAATTTTAATCTGTCAGAATCGACACAGTAGTGGATCATTCAGATGGGATTGGCAATGCATGATTCTTATGTATTTGCGATTGCGAATTACCTCAAGATCACAATTTCCAGAATCATTGAAATAGTAAAATCGAAGAAATAGGTACCTGTTTATATAAATTGAATTATTTCTAAACAGATCGAGAAACTTATAGAAATTTCAATGAACATGATTGAATTCATTGCGCACGCCCATGGCAACGGTATCTGTCTGTGACTAGCAGCTGATATTGGTATCCCAGATGACGTCACATAATATGCGCGTAGGCACACCATCTTCTCCTTCCACTATGGTATAGCCCATGGCATAATATTCCTCGGGATGCCTTATTAATAATATATGTTTATTAATACAAAAAATTCCTAATATAAAAGTAAGATGAAAAAGATAACAAATGACAAAGTATATGAGTAGTATAAGTAGTAATTTCGATCATTTTGATCTATATTGTATTAAATAAACAACCAAACCCATAAAACCTCAGCAGGTTGTCATGGGATGTATGGAAAAAAAGAGTCTACTAGCATATGCCCTGAGCCATAATTATATATTATGTACGTTCCTACATTTCTATGATACTAGCTACAATGTCAATGTCTAGCTCCAGTAAGTATACTTTAAATTTTTTCTTGATATTGTCAGTATGAACCGACGTAGAGCTAGAGGTCGCAATACAAAATATTGAGCTTATTTCTTGTAGACAGTACGTTTTTTAGGTTGATTAAGTTACAGTTGAAATTTAATTTTGAAGTGGAATTGGAGTTTGCATGAGTACATTTTCTTTTTTTCAAGTTCAAGTTCATTCTGCTTTTAAAAATGATCCAGTGCACTGCAAGACATGAACCAAAAACCTTTCAATTTACCCTGTATAATGACTAATCCGCCAGCATTTAACAAAAAACAGGATATACAAGTTGAAATTAGTCATTTTATCTACAGTTTGTTGAGAAAATTATTAAAATCGAATCAAAAATAAAAAAGTTATGAAACTTCAAATTTGACCGAATATTAACTTGTTGCGTTTTTTTGCATCCGAGTGTAGTTTGGACGGAAACATAAGATTACTAACCTGTACCCCTACCCCTTGAAGAGCAGCTACACCTCCGACTTCGAGAGCCTCGCACCTCAACAAATTCGGGGCCCAAACGATGGCGACATTTCTGGTAGTCATGCCTGTTCTCTGGCCGTGTTTAGCAACTCGGGCCAAGTGTCTCATGAGGCATTCTAATGTCCTATGAAAATAAGAAAATGTTAAATATTCATATTGTAAGAGTTCGGAGACTTCCTTTCGCAGACTAGACTCCCGCAGTGTTTTTGGAAAGGCAGCATCACCCAGGTTTGTTTCGTGAGATATGTAAGCAGTGGCGGCTCCTCAGAGGAGGTGACTGAGGCTGAGCCTCCTCAAGAATTTCCATAATATATTGACTAGTTCAATATACTTGTATAAAATATTACATCGAAATAGCCATTTTATCCGTTTTATTTCCTGATATCAAGTAGGAATTGAGAATTTGGCAACAATGCTCTTATACTTAGAAGTATTCAGAATCGAATACAAATATGCGACTTGGCGACATCCAACGGAAAGCAGCCTCTGACCAATGAAATTGGTCAGAATCGCGATTCGCGAGAGAACACGTGTGACTGAGATGTTTATAAGTTTATGGAATTTGCAGTGATGTGCTTTTGTTTAGCCCAACTTGACGGCAATAAACAGTTGAAAATCGTAATATAAGGTTCTTGTTACATCTTATTCACATCTTATTTTAATAGATGTCGTTGAACGAATTCTCTTTAAAATGCATTTTTTATCGCTTGGAGCGCACGAAAGGGAATCCCTATAATGTTCAAAGAACATCGTGCGTTCCTAGGGAGGATAGGGACAGGAGGTAGGTATTGGAATTTTTTTTGAACTTTTGGAGATTATATGTTGTTGGGAATACTTCCACATGCAATGAATTCCAGAGCCTAGCCGTTCTATGGATGAAGGAGTCTTGATAAAGTGCTGTTCGACATCTTTCGAGGTTGACAACGAGAGGAGGTGCTGCTAGAAACTCAATTAACAGAATTTTATTAAACATCAACAAAAATAAATCTACTAACACCATTTCTGTTTTTTTGTCGTAAGTATAAGTGATTGTTGTTATTTGGTCCGATGGCAATTAAAAATATAGTAGAAATATGACGATATCAACGCCTCTTACGGATTTTCCATAAACAAGAACCTTATAAGGGTCGTCAGTTTTCTCGTAGAATTTCACATTCACAATTCCCATTCAGCCTCTCCTGTTGAAAGGAGCACGAGCCGCCACTGGATGAAAAAAGTTTGCCGAAAGATCTCAATAGGTTATGAAAATACTAGGAATGTCTTAGGTCAGAAAATAAATATCGGCAGGTTGCCCGAAAGTAGTAGTAGTTGTTTTTCGAGTTTATATTAGATAGATAAGTAATTATTGCGATTCTGTATCGTGTATTGTAGATTGAAGTGTTTGCGTTTGAATAGACTGTAAGTTTTTACGGAGTGTTAGTGAAAAATCGAACCCGGGCGTTTATCGTAACCAATTTCATTCAAATTACTTGGAACGTTGCATAGCAACAAACTTTTTCTGTCTAGGCAGAGAAAGAACACCTTTCCTGCTTCTTGAGTGTGATAGAAAATGCACTTTCTATGTCGCTTGGAAAGAAATAGTATTTTCTTTATTTCCGTTTCTCTTCTCACCTGTAATGCGGAGGCGGTAATTTTTGCACTGCTTCCCTCATTTTGAGCAGCCTCTCGTGATCTGTTTCCGAATTTCTGATCGCCGTGCTGCATCCCTGAACGGCGTTAACAAAATTTTGGTAGAGCTGGTATGTACACAAAGGGTTGGGTAGCTCCCTGAAACAAACGTGTCACAAATACTTATGGAATTCCTAATTCTCATCAGTCTAAGCCGTCTAATCATAGATTGGGATTCTTATATATACATACATATCCTGCTTACTTTCAAATTGAATGTCAAGGACATACTTCCGAATTTTCTATGTAGGCATGTATTGCAATCAATCACGTTCTTTTCTCTCTACAATCAATGGCAAAAAAATTGCTCACCAAAAAAAATCAGATTTCATAATCCTTCCTCCTCCTCCTCCGATTTTTGTGAAATTTCGATCAAATCGTAGAATCATGTTTCGGAACATTAGCCTAAATAATAGTTTCCGTGAAAAGTTGATGACTTGATCATTATACAAGGAACAACCAAAGTTAGAAAGAAAGAAAATAGCGTAACAATATTCATTGACTTCTTTCTACAAATGCCCTAATATTTTCTTTGGAAATGCACCCCTTACTTCTTCAAATGGCGCCACCAAATCAGAAATTTCATGTTCAAACAGCATAAGATTTGAGACCACTACTCTGATAGTATTGGTTGAAAAAAAAAATACTACATGCGGTGTTCCTTAAGTTTGTTTCTTTCATAGATATCTTATTATTATGAATGCAATTATAATTGCAATACCATGACATTCTGATCTGCCAAACTTGGTAAGCTTACTCAAACATTATTTTATCATGAGTGAAAGATGATAATCAGTGGCACATTGATAGTTGCATTCCAGATATCGTTAAATAATCTATTCTCAGCATTGGCAATATTTAGAAACCAAAACTGTAATATCCAACAAGCACCTTGATATCAAATTACAAATTTAATCAATTCATTACCTGAAAATAATCACTGCATTGCATAATCGGGATATTTTTTAGCTTAAGAACACATTCAGAGGCTTACAATTGACGTGTAGAGATAAACTTAAACTATAAAGATAAAAGCCAGACTGCTGTCCTAGTATTCGTGCAAATTAATTTGTTGATCTCGTTTTTCTTCTTGGTAGACTTAAAACTTAAGTGACCTTGATAGTTTCGGGAATATATTAAATTTTGTACGAAATGCAAAATACTATGAAAATGTACATTTTGTGGGTAATCTTCTTGGGAATTGTAGTCAGAAATTCGTATTCAATTAGAGGTAAGTTAGATAATATTTATTCTACCTTGTTTTTGTATTATAGTTCTGAATAAATTCATTTTTAGCCAAGCAATCTATTTTTGAGGAATCTCCTGCAACGAATCGATGAATACAAACCCTATGTGTGATATGCTGTTGAATTCTATTTTCCATGAAGATTTCAATAATTGAATAATATATAGGGTGTATAGTTTATACAGTCAGTTGGAAAAACACATCACTGCAAGCCGTCGGTCCCTTTGAAAGAAAGAAAAAACTGTCGCGGACGTCATTACTCAAAAGTTTAATTCAAAATCGACCTGATTCAGCAGATTTCTCAGAAATGTATAATTTGGTTAAAAATCAATTTATTCAGTACTTTACGAAAGCAATGTATAGTAAATGCAGGCAATTGACTATGCATTTGAAAACAGTTGATATCTTTATCATTACTTGGGACTACAGGAATATTTCTATTTGATCTATTGAATTCAGTTAGAGCCTGACCATCGTGTGAATCATCAAGCCCCTCCTCATTACCACTGACGTTAGGAGAAGGTAAACCATACTTGTTATCATGACTGTTTATATTTGGTATAAACTGAGCCCTATTTTGGGATGGTCGTAGGTGTGTATTTATGACCTTGGAGCTTCAGTTTTTCAACTATCTTTCCTGGTCTCCATATATTTACCTCTCAGACCACTATATCTTCATTTCCACTTAAATCTTTTCTCTCCTTAGTTGCTCTGTCATAATACTGTTTGTACAGTTTTCTCTGTTCTTCTAATTTTCCCCCTTTCCAACTCATTATCCGTATCCACAGGAATAAGTAACTTGGTTGCAATGGGAAACCTTGATCTCACTACCCTATTCATTAGAAGATGAGCTGGTGACTTATCTGTCCCAGTTACTGGTGTGTTTCTGTATTCCAGTAAGGCTAGATAAATATCATCACAATTGCGAAGCATTTTCTTTGCTATTTGCACTGCCCTTTCCGCTAACCCATTTGAAGGAGGGTTTCTTGGACTCGACGTTGCAAATTTGAAATTCCAGTCTTTGCTGAAGTCATAGCACTCCTTCAAAACCTTTATAATTTCATTGGATGTCTTACCGGCTAGTTTAATAACAGCCATTCAAGTTTTGGGTCACCCTATATATTTGGGCAGTCCTATATTTTTTTGATGAATAATACAATAATCATTCATATTTCATCAAATAAAAGTAGTTTAAAAACTTTGGGACAGAGGATATTGAAGTAGGTACCGGGTGATTCACCATAAATGTCCCTCCTTCTACCTCAGTTATTTTTCGCTACGAACCGCTTAACATTACAATTTTGCCAGCAGTTTCTACATAATCGTGAAAAATGTGTGAAAAAACATTTTTTCCGTCGACCTCGTATTAACAACTTAGTTTAATGTATATGAAATCGTTTATTAATGACCCCTATTAATGAACGATTTGTCTATTAATGTACGATTGTTTTATAGGCAACCGAACATACACCGCGTGCATTCATTGTTTTTGTTTATGCTATAACTCACGGAATCTGCATTTAAATCGAAAATATGGATTTCATTGAAGATTTTCTGTTAACGGGTTCACCTTTCCAAGTTTCTGACACGATTTTAATCCCTGTTTTCTAACACAAGGAATTTATTTTCTATGTTGATCATTTCGGCAAATTGTCAAATGTCACTAATGTCAGTGACAAGGCTACTGGGTGATTCTTAGCAGTTTCCAGATGAATGATGAATTCGCGAACCAAGTTTTCTTCATTGCAGGAGAAATGAGAAATAAAGTCGACGGAAAAATTTTGTAACCAACTTGTATATTAAAAGGCGATTAATGATCTCGAACATTAACGCGCTCGCTTCGCTCGCACGTTAAAATATCTCGATCATTAATCGCCCTCATTAATAAACTAGTTGGTTAAATAACTATTTCAACACCTTGTATCTTGAAAACGGATGCCGTTACATTTTTTTTACTGAGCAAACCCAACTTATTTTGCAGTGTTCTACCATAGACTACAGAAGATAAACTATAAGACAGTTCACTCGTTCATTTTTCGACTTCTAAGAGATCTCGCCGCAACCTAGCCGACCGCTGGATTCTGCCGGCTAACGACTGCCGGGGCCTTTGAAATCGCAATCTAATTAGCTGTCAACCGACCGCAACCGTTTGGCGGTGCAATGATTTATAGAAAAGCAAAAAATGCAATGTTGGGCTGTACCGACAAACGGATTTCACTAAGTGAACTATCTTCTAGAATTCAGTAATCTTTGGTTCTACCTATCATAGCAAGGGGGACAGGTTTTGTTGAAACACCCTGTATAAAACTGACTGTTGAATGAAATACAGGGTCTCCCATTTAGAAAAATCAAGTAGTACCCTGTAGATCCGAGCACCCTGTATATTCTGATATAGCAAAAAATAATTATGAAAACTCTTTTCTGATGATTTTTCAAATTTTGAAATCAGTTCAAAAACAACTGGGCTAGAGGGGGGGTACCCGGTACCTGTGTTTCTTAAATTAATCGTTTCAGACCACAAGTGTGATACTTTGTTGCAATTGTTTCATCGGCAGGAACAGCCAAATGTCAAAATATACAGGTGGTCCCATTAATAATTTTGAATCGTGACCGTGACCAAAAACAGAAAGCTCATCGGGTAACATCAATTACTTTAATTCACCACCCCAAAATCTCATTCTTCTAGTACTCTAGAGTTCGGAGACATTCCTTGTCTTAATCGTCGTGGGACACCCGTATTTACAGTAAAGGCAAATCGGATAATTCTCCCCAAAATGACATTGCATTAAAATTCCATTATTGGAAACCTAAAAGCAAACTTCAATCGACACTCTGTCACACCTTGATCGAAAAATACTTGAAAAGAAATATAGTTGAATTGAAAATATATCTTTCCATTTTCAAAGAATAATTTTCATTTTGTGAAAACGGGAGAGGATTCGATCTCAAAACGTCCGAAGCTAAGTAAAAATTCGATATAATGAAAATAATATCAACATTTGGAATCGAATTCGATAAACAATTTCCATGCCCACTAGATTACATCATTACAATTATTTATGTTTCAGATCAACCTGAACAAAACTCAAGTAACCAATCAGACTGTTGGACTGAAGATCAACACCTACCACACGAAACAAAATGCCATCTATACTATCGTTGCGTTTACGGAAAGAAAATTCTGAAGATCTGCCCGACAAACAAACTATTCAACACACAAATAGCCAACTGCGACGACAATTACAATGTCAACTGCGGGCTCCTCGACATTGACCTTCAAGACGAAGGTGATAATCTATTCAGCATTGACGAAATCGACTGGGAAAAAGACGGCTCAGACCCTTCATCAGAAAACGATCGAGACCTAGTCGTCACCGATATGGAACCCGAGTTCACTACCCCACCCAGCGAATGCCCCGAAGTCACAGACCCCTACGAAGATGCCCAGCTTCTACCCCACGAGAATGACTGTAATGCCTTTTATAAGTGCTTCAACGGTAAGAAATACCTCATGTCCTGTCCCGGCATACTGCAGTTCAATCCCAAGATTTTCGTTTGCGACTGGCCGATGAACGTGAAATGCAGAGCAAGGGTGCAGTCGACAGAAGAATCTTCGACACTTTCAACCCTTTGTCCGCAAACTAGATGTCAAGAAAGTACTGTGTATTTACCGCACCCCAAAGACGTCAGACATTACATCAGATGCGAAAATGGCAAGGAGGTAGCTGAGGAATGTCCTGATGGCCTGGTTTTTGATCCCAATATACATACTTGTAATTTTCCAGCTTGATTTTCATAGAAAAACAGTTGAACTAATGCAATTATCGCTAGATCAAATGTTTTGGACAGGGTTGCAGTCAACATCGAATATGACAGAACAGTCTTTTACATTTTCATCCCTTTGACCGCAAAATCAATGTCGTCAGACGTTACATCAGATTCGAAAATGGCAAAGAGAAAGCTGAAGAATATCCTAATAGTCTGGTTTTTTATCCTAATTTATATACTTGTAATTTTCCAGCTTCAATTTCATGCAAAAACTATTAAATGACTAATAGTAATATAGGAATCATTGTACCAGATTATTTTCATTAGCCACCTAGCGGGGTTTTTGAAAGCTTCCAAAGTGGTATTTCCATTGTTTTATGTTTGTGCTTATTGGTAACATCCATCAAAAGATACCGCTCAGAAGTATTCATGTTGTTGCCGTCAGTTAGGTCGACGTGGTATTTTTTATTGCGAATATGTTTATGATCACTTACCTGAAGTACATTTTCAACAATGAAGCGACAGAGTGGATATCCTGTATGATGTCTTCTGTATACAGGTTTGGAATTCTGTCTTCGTCAAAAGCATTTCTCAGCTTCTGAATGTTGGATGTTACACCAGAAAGCCTACCAAGAAAAAATCCACTATTATTCAAAGTACATAATGTTCTATTGATAATATGGGATTATTAATTTCTCTATAGAACGTCCTGGATAAAAAAATTGAGAAGTTCACAAAGACGATCCCTAAACAAATATTATTGAGGTAGCGAAAACAGAGGTTAGGATTCGGTTGAAATTCTACGTAAAATTCCATTTCTATAAATTTTTATGACATAGCCTAGTTCCAAGGTGGAATCTTTGCGAACGTCAAAGAAAATTCAATATTTGTGTATTTTCTTTGTGAACGTCAAAGAATATTCAATATTTGTTTATTTTATGATAAGCACATAAATAAATAAACGAAATTTTACGCGTGAAATAAATCTTGAGATTAGATGAGTTTAAACATTTTAGAAGACTGAGAAAAAATATTGATGATTGGAATAAAAAAATGGAAAGCGTTTAAATGAAACACTGAACTAAGTAATTCGAATTCATATTCACCTATGGACATTATAATTTACATGACATTGATGATAAATAATCACTTATGCTGTGACTATATCCAGAAATAAATGCCTGAGCTGAGCAGCATTTATCCAGTTAGTAGAAATATGTTTTATTTTTTGAAAATGAATATACCAACGCATAATGCAGATGCTGACAGCAAATGTCATTTTTGAATTTTTGCGTGTTCTTTGTCACTTAAATTGACATCGCTGATATGTTGGTCCGTGAGTTTACCGTTTTTCAAGCAACCGACCTGTAACCACAGTGGTACAGCGATAGTTGGCTTACGGACCATACCCTAAATAAATCATTATTTCTTATCAAAGAATAGAAATTGAACGTGATACGGCTTGGAAATCATATTTTTTAAACAAAAATCGTGCAAATCGGACAGGTAGTTTTGAAGATAATGGATCTCATACTTTTGGCTACTTTATGATGGTGCCTCAATTTCTGGGAGAAGTATATTTTGGTCATTCAAAAACTTTTCTAGGATAATTTTTTACGATTTTTTTCAATCTGTGTTCACTTTTTCTTCTTTTGAACAAGATCCAGGGCGGATAGAGAAAAAATCAAATGAAATTATCCAAATTGTTTCCATAATTCGATGAAGCCCGTCAATCTGAATTCAAAAAATATATATGATTCATATTCATCGAATTATGAAAAATAATAGAGCTCATTTAATTTGAAAAAGATTGCTTATAGGCACCTGTATTTTGTTGATATAGAGAAAAAGCGAGCTCAGATTGAAAAAAAAAACGTGAGAAATTATTCCAGAAAAGTTATCGAATGGCGAAAACATGTTGAGAATTATAAGAATAAAAGGAGGTGACACATTTAAATGGAACACCCTATACACACTTGTCACATGAATAACTATTTTCGCTCACCTGTATATCCCGTCGACAATCCCCTTCGACTCGATGAACTCGGCGCAGCACTTGAGCACCATGGGCACGTCGTTGCCCGAATTCAACAGATGCTCGCCCAGATCGCACCCGAACACGCGCTCCTTCAGGATACCGCTCTGCTTCAGCCGGCGCCTCGACGGCCTGTTCAAAATAAAACTCCTAAAGAACGCGATCAGTTTGCCGTGCTTCCTCAACACCGGTTTGATCGGCGCTAGAGCTAACGACCTACAAAAACAACGAGATAGCCCAGCGTTAGTAAAAACTTCAGACTAAATTACAATAGATAAACACCGCGATTCATTCATGAATTAACAAAACGAATATGCCGAATTAAATCGCGAATGGTGGGGATAACTCTGCGGAATGATTATTGATATTCAAGGAATGAAGAAGAGTAAGTTATTATCAACAATATGAAAGTGAGAATACGGGATCCTTTAGGATGCCGCTCTGCTTCAGCCGGCGCCTCGACGGCCTGTTCAAAATAAAACTCCTAAAGAACGCGATCAGTTTGCCGTGCTTCCTCAACACCGGTTTGATCGGCGCTAGAGCTAACGACCTACAAAAACAACGAGATAAAACTTCAGACTAAATTACAATAGATAAACACCGCGATTCATTCATGAATTAACAAAACGAATACGCCGAATTAAATCGCGAATGGTGGGGATAACTCTGCGGAATGATTATTGATATTCAAAGAATGTAGAAGAGTAAGTTATTATCAACAATATAAAAGTGAGAATATGGGATCCTTTAGGATGCCGCTCTGCTTCAGCCGGCGCCTCGACGGCCTGTTCAAAATAAAACTCCTAAAGAACGCGATCAGTTGTCGTGCTTCCTCAACACCGGTTTGATCGGCGCTAGAGCTAACGACCTACAAAAACAACGAGATAGCCCAGCGTTAGTAAAAACTTCAGACTGAATAAAAATAGATTGACGTCGCGATTCATTCATAAATTAACAAAAAGAATATACCGAATGAAATCACGAATGGTGGGGAAAACTCTGCGGAATGATTGCCGGATAATTGATATTCCAGGAATGAAGAAAATGTAGTGTTATTATTAACAATATAAAAGTGAGGATACGAGCTTCTCCAGGATGCCGCCCTGCTTCAGCCGGCGTCTTGACGGTCTATTCAAAATAAAACTCCTAAAGAACGCGATCAGTTTGCTTCCTCAATACCGATTTGATCGGCGCTAGAGCTAATGACCTACGAACAACAAGATAGCCCAGCATGAGTAAATAACAATAGATAAACGCCGCGATTCATTCATGAATTAACAAAAAGAATACGCCGAATAACATTGCGAATGGTGGGGATAACTCTACGTTATCATTGCCAGATAATTGATATTCAAGCAATGAAGAAAATGTAGTAAGTTATTATTAACAATATAAAAGTGAGAATACGAGCTTCTCCAGGATGCCGATCTGCTTCAGCCAGTGCCTCGACGGTCTATTAAAAATAAAACTACTAAACAACGCGACCGGTTAACGACCTACAAAAACAACGAGATAGTCCAGTGTCAGTAAAAACTTCAGACTAAATAACAATAGATAGACGTCGCCATTCATTCATAAATTACAAAAAGAATACGCCGAAAAAAAAAATCGCGAATGGTGGGGGATAACTCTGCAGTATGATTTCCAGATAATTGATATTCCAGGAATGAAAAAGATGCCCGAAGTAGGTACTTCGCGCATTGTTTTGTGCAAGGTATCATGGTAACGTAGGAAACTAAAAAAAAAAGTGTCACTTCGCAATTTGTTATCAATGCGCGAACCTTGTCATTTTTTGATGTTTGTAGAAAAAAATCCGAATTTTTCATTTTTTCTAAGAAATCGTGATTTTTTGCAACTCCGACACTCACCCCACCACGGGCGGCGGCAGCGGCATGTTTCTCGGCACCTTGTCTCCTATGATGTGGACGCAGTGTTGCGGGAAGAAGCCCACCTGGAAGCCCCTTTTGCCGCGCCACCACATGGACTCGCCCGGACTGGCCATGTCGATGACGGAGATCATGTCGCCGACTTCAAGGTTGAGTTCGTCTCGAGCCTGAAACGGAAAATACTATATTATTATACAAGTGTAATAAGACACTATTTTATAAAAAAATTAGTGCGACAATATGTCATCATATACAACGTCAGTATTATAATTTCATTTACTATTTTGCATATATTTGTACTCTTTTATTTACAAAAAATCATCAATAAACACACATGGGAGGAAATGAACCTTTGTTCCCATAATAAACTACTTACCAGATGAAGTGGGACAGCCAAAAAATTGACTAATTTTGATAAGCTATAACTCGAACATTTCTTGGCCGATGTTGAATTTTCAACCAAAGGTAGAAAGCGTCATCCTTCGGCTATGCGTCATTGGCGTCGGGTTTTTATTTTTGCGATTCGTTCTCTTTGTACAGAGTGTGAATTAAGAGCCGGAAAAATTTCAAATGTTTGACCAATGATTTGGGAAATGTGAGGGACCCTAGAATTCTGTTTCAGATGTTGGGTGAATGGTTGGTCCGATACCTCGAGACGTCTTTGAAATTTTTTGAATTAATTGCGTTGGTATGGAAAAATCTACATTTTATGAAATTTCATTTTTAATTCAAAATGTGGCCTCTTTCAGTTGAACAATAACAGCCAACATCTGAACTGCAACAAGGGATATTTCTACTGAAGATAATTAACACCAGTGCCGCGCAAAAAGGGGTTTATGATATTTAGAAACAAAAAATTAATTTTTATTGAAAGACTTCAACAGTTTTATTGACCGTTACAGTTGAAGAGGTGTCATATCCTTTTATGATATTTAGAAACGACAAAAACTTTCTATTGAAAAACATCAACAAGATTTTTTGTTGGACGGCTCGGAAAACATCAGAAGTCAGAATTACGTTCCTGAATTCATGAATAATGATACAAGAAAATTTTCACTGGGGAACAAAGAACAACACTTGATAAAATTTTTAAACATGTTTCCATATCAAACTTTTTGAATCGCCTTGATGATGGATCCTCTTCAATACGCCAATGGATTACTTGGATGCTCACCTTGGATAAGTAAAAAAACAATGATAAATAGACTGAAATTCTGATTTTCCAATTTTGCACACTTCTGAATTTGTCAACATCATGCTAATTGAATGTATGGCAACTTTTTACCTGTGACGATCAATGAAACTGTTGATTGTTGTCTTTTCTAAATATCATGAACCCTTTTTCTGCGCGCCTTTGAATTTGTCAACAACATGCTGATTAAGGATAATGACACCTCTTCAACTGTAACGATCAATAAAACTGTTGAATTTTTTGAATACAAACGAATTTTTTGTTTCTAAATATCATTAACCACTTTTTGCGCGCCACTGGTGTTAATTATCTTCAATAGAAATATTCCTTGCGCCAGGTTAGATGTTGGCTGTTATTGTTCAACTAAAAGAGACCATTTTTCAATTTAAAAATGGGATTTCATAAAATGGCTATTTTTCCATAGCAACGCAATTAATCCAAAAAATTTCAAGGACGTCTCGAGGTATTGGACCAACCATTCACCCAACATCTGAAAAAGAATTCTAGGGTCCCCCACATTTCCCAAATTATTGGTCAAACATTTGAAATTTTTCCGGCTCTTAATTCACACTCTGTACAAAGAGAACGAATCGCAAAAATAAAAACCCGACGCCAATGATGCATAGCCCAAGGATGACGCTTTCTACCTCTGGTTGAAAATCCAATATCAGCCAAGAAATTTTCGAGTTATAGCTTATCAAAATTAGACAATTTTTTGGCTGTCCCACATCATCTGGTAAGTAGTTTATATACATGATTTTATCAGAAATACGTTCAGAATATAAAGAAGCGGATGATATCATTGGAATTCAAACACGGTAACATATTGTTAAACTTGTTTTATAATAGTGATAAAGAGACTGATTACTTGGATTGCACAAATTTCATAGGTATATTGACGCCAAAGGATAAATGCATGCTGAAGCCAATTTATTTCACCTCCCACGGGAGCCAATATTTTTTTCCTCCCGTGGGAGTAAATCGACAACTTTGTTTCCTTAAATGAGGGAGCAAACGCTTACTTTCGATGCAGTGAGCAGACAATAGCTATTTATATATCAAGGGAGCAAAGGTATCCATTTCCTCCCACATGTGAAGTTTGATGCCCGACGCATATATTTGAGAGCGTCGATCTTAAAATTGTACTGCAAGCGGTCTATCTCTCGAGTCTCGATCCAAATTAATGTGTTACATGATCTAAGGTTACAAAAGTGTAGTATGCGCTCACAGAGTATGTCATGGACATTTATTGACAGTATATTTGAATCTGAACGAGAATTAATTCGACACTTCTGTCATACTGAATTTTTTAATTGTGTAGTTGCATTTTATTTAAAGTTTCGACTTTCGATTGAGTGAGTTTGGAAAATGAGGAAGTGTATTGGAGTTTGAAAAGGAAATTGTAATTTGTTTTATTGTAGTGAAGAAGAAACTGATTAGGTTCTTGGGTAGCACAGATATTATACGTATATCTCTACCAATGAAGCAAGCTGAAGCCGATTTATTTCACCTCCCACGGGAGGTAAAATTCTGTTTACTCTCGTGGGAGTAAATTGACAAGTTTGCTTCCTTAAATCGGGAGCAAACGCTTACTTTCGATGCAGTGAATAGATTAAAGGAATTACTACTGCTACTAACCTAATAATAAATAATAATAATAATAATAATCTGTATTGCCGAGGTAGCAATTGGGTGGGACCAATTCCCACCCCCCTCTCACAAGACTCCCATAGAGATGACTGCCGGTCCCAATCTTTCGACTTTACTGACAGCACCCCAAGGAGAAATGGAGGATTTGGATACGCCAAATCAGCGCGCTAGAGCCATCTCTGTTATGTAACGGCATGTTCTCCTGCTACCATTTTATGATACCAATGGTGAGACATTCTAATAAAACAAACTACTGGCTCTGCAGTGTCAGTGCCCGAGCAGAGACGCTGCTCATCTGCCGAGGCAGGCAAGATATCCTCCAATTTGACCCATAGTGGGATTCTTCTTCACCTCCTATACCGTAGTCCAGTGGTGTTTTTTGGAAACCGCTGCCCCCTGGAGTCCAACCCAATTGGTGGGGCATTAGGTCTATGTACGACCTGATGGGGCTATCCTCATCACCCCAGGTACCCATGTCAACAAGATTCCTCTTGTTACGTTTGATGCAAGAGGCTTTGGCCTGATTGCTACTCATGTTGCCCGTTGAATGAGTGATCGTTCGAGGACTTTTACACGTTCCTCTACCTCGTTTACAGGAGAGGACCCGGCTTTGCCTACGATGACTGGCGATAGGATCGCTTGGGGCTGCCCCCTCCCTGACGAACAAAGGCACAAGGTACACCAAAGTTCCAGTTTTCGCTGAGCAAGCCCAGCTACCCATGTCGACCGGAATCCTCCAGTCCCGTTTGATGGGTGTCCGTTCGCGGCCTTTCACACGTACCGCTACCATGACGAGAGTGGCGACCTCAAGCTTTTAACCAGTGGTGTCTGGAATCACCTGAGGCTACCCCCACCCCGACGCTGTGAGTGCATGGTGGGCCCACGGCCAACTGCTACTCACCTGCGAGACGTATCTCCTGACGCTGTAGGCGGCCGCCACTGCGGGCGTGTTGATGGACCGGCTCTCCTCGCTGGGCACCAACAGCCGACGCCCTCTGTTGTCCATCTGCAGCCAGTTCAGCACCGGCCCGCAGTTCACCGAGTTGTCGGCGATCAGGCTGAGGTGTGCCAGGTACAAGATCAGCTTCTCCTGAAAAAAAAAAAAAAGATGAAATCAATCAATCAACTCTATTATTCCCAAGAAAAAAGCACGTCTGTGGGGTTACTTCTTGCCCGACAAATTATTGTGAGATATACACATTATCAAGTACCATTAGGACAACACATTCATAGAGAAAAAACTCCCATCCACGTGTATAATGAAAAAGTTATGAAATTTTTTTCGAAATTCCAAAAAACGGGGCCTGTGGGGTTGATTCTTGCCCGACAAAATATTGTGAGACATACACATTATCAAGTACCATTAGAGAAACCCATTCATAAAAAAACTCCCTTCCACGTGTATATTTTGAAAAAGTCATGATTTTTTTTTAAATTCCAAAAAAGGGGGCCTGTGAGGTTGATTCTTGCCTGACAAAATATTTACACATTATCAAGTACCATTGAAGGAACACATTCATAAAAAAACTCCCATCCACGTGTATTTTGAAAGAGTTATGATTTTTTTTCGAAATTATGAAAGAGGAGGCGTGTGAAGTTAATTCTTGTTCGACAAAGTATTGTAAGATATACAGATTATTAAGGATCGTCAGAGGAATACAGTGATGGAAAAATGTTTCATCCACGGAGATATTTTGGAGGTTTTAGTAATTTCATGGTCAGCCATGAACATAAATTAATAATGAACGACCATTGGTGGTATGGCGCGCGCCTGGAATATTAGGCGAAGTCGTGGCTGGAACTCGTGGCTGGTTTCACACTGATATCAACATGTATAATCTTACAAGTAACTACAAACTTCTCAATCATAACCTCTTCAAAAAATCTGTAAAAAACTGCTGTTACTACAGTATTCAGTAGTACTTCTCGGACAGAGACATATCATATTTGATTCAAATCCAGTATAGTGACTGATTTTATGTTCAAGTGTCTCATTTTTTTCTGACTTATCCTATACATTGTGAAAATGTACTACAGGATCAATACATATTATTATTATTTGCTTGAAGATTCAACGTCTCTGAGGCCGAATTCAACCCTGCCCTGCCTGCTAGAAATTCCTGGAATTCTGGAATATAGCGGCGGGCATCTCGATACACTGAAACGACAAGGCCCTCGCAAAGTCGCAAAGTTATTCGTACTGGCAGTTTCGAAGACTAGCTGTCGCCGGAGCCGACCCATTTAACGTTGTTCGGAATAGTTTATTTTGCGAAACATTTCGAGTCGCAATTCCTTCTCCAGCTGGGAGAGAGGAGACGAAGAGAGGGAGAGCGAAACGGGAGAAGTTGACCTACTTCTGGAATCGACTCGACTCTCCTCTGCTGTCGAGAATACACTGAGACATTGAGAATGTTCGGAAATCGAGCAAAGAAACCGCGAACCATGAAGAGATGATTAGAGGTTGGCCAAGTTAACACTGGAAGAACCCTCAATTCCGATTCCAAACTGATATTTCGTATCATTAAATACAACAATATGAACTTTTGCTACACTACAGGCTAACTGACAAATATTGAAAAAAAACTTGGGGCGTTAAAAAAAGGAACTGGTGTGCGTAGGACCACACGTTGGAAGTGATATAACTTCTATGGCCGGTCTTCATTTCCAATATCTTTTGGACAATACGGAGGAAAAATTCTTTGGATTCCATCCTTCTTTGAATCACTTATCCTTCTTTGGATTCCTTCCGTCTTTGGATTATTTCCTTCTTTGGGTTCCTTCCTTCTTTGGTTTCCTTACTTCTTTGAACTCCGTCCATCTACGAGTATCCTCGTGAGTTCCGTACTTATAATAATCATAATGATATTAATGATAATAATAATGATAATGATAATGATAATGATAATGATAATGATAATGATAATGATAATGATAATGATAATGATAATGATAATGATAATAATAATGATAATGATAATATAATAATGATAATACTAATAATAATAATAATAATAATACCATTGAAGACCGGGACTTATCCAAAGAACTGACTTTTGCTTTTCTCAAGTCAGGCAGGGCAGGCTTAAATCGGAAAGAGAGGGGTTCATCATGGCATGCAAGCATGGGGTTTTTGACACTCTCGTCTACAGTAGCCGTGTCATGAAGGTCCCTGACACAAATTGCAGGGCCTGCCGCAGGGCGCCCGTGACAATTATGCACCTGCTGACTTCTTGCACGGTGTATGCAGTCTCGGCCTATATCTATAGACACAATGCGGCATTGCGAGTACTCTACTACCATTTGAGGCACTCGTACGGAATAGATGAGACCCCAGTGCTGCCCTATGCTTCGGGGGATATTGAAACTTCTCATTTCCCACCCTCAGGCAAATACCAGCTAACAAGTCTGAAGTAGTCCTCCTCAACCATCAAACCAAAGCGATGTTCGGGATCGAGTTTTCGGCGCTAGCCGAACCGAACATCGTTTTGAAGGAGGAAGAGGAACGAACTAAATATCGAGATCTTCTCTTCGAACTCCGCCGGCTCTATCCAGACCATTCTGTGGAATTGGTCATCCTGATAATCGCCTCCCTAGGACGCTGCTCTCGGAAATCCAGAAAATCCCAGCGTGCAGTGATAAGGCACATATCCTGGCTGGTGGAATGCAGAAGGCCGTCATACTTGGATCATTGCGTTTACTCAGGGCACACAGTTCTTGGTCCCAGTGATTATTCACCCCACAGGCTGTGGGGGGGGGGTCACTGCAGAACATCTCTTTCCAAAGACTCGTTCATCCAACGAACAGCGAGGCTCTGGAACACATTGCCAAGGTAGGTGTTCCCCGAGGCATATAACCTCCAGAAATTCAAGAAGAACACCAATTCATATTTCCCTTGGTTATCACGATGTTATCTGAACAATACAGGATATCCCTTTTCGTGGGAAACAGAACATAAAAAAACGACTCCGCGTGGCGTAGGACGCCGCAATCGGATTGTTTTCATATTTTTGCCTAATAAAAAAGTTTTCGTAAAAAATTAAAAAAATTATCGATAATATTTGAAGGGCTCGTGGTATTACCTTCGAAAAATTGATGATTTTGAAGCATTTAAAATAAAATGAGGAGCAAAATAAATATAACTTTCTTGAGACCATTTTGAAAAACATCACAATGACGACTATTACAGCTATGAAAGAATTATGTGATGCTATTTATTCTAGCTTGAACGATAAAGAACACCCAATTGCTCTATATTTCGATCTCAGTAGAGCTTTTGATACTGTGAATCATGATCTTCTCATTCAAAAATTAAATCGAATTGGAATTCGTGGAGTAGCCAATAGCTGGGTTGCTTCCTATTTATCTAATAGGACCCAAATTGTCACTATAGATTCATTCAAATCAGAGTCAAGTGATGTTTCCATGGGTGTACCACAAGGTTCAATACTTGGCCCGCTGTTTTTCATCATATTTGTAAATGACATGATTTTATCGTGTAGTTCGCCTCAAAACACCATTATTTATGCCGACGATACAAATCACATAATATCTCATGATAATTTAGTCGAAACCATACATCAAAGTAATGTATGAGCAGAAGAATTCTTCAAATGGTGCCTTGATAATGGATTGATCATGAATATTTCAAAAACCTATTTCATGCTTTTCCTGTGGAAAAACATCAGTTGTAATGCGAGCCCTCTTGTGAAAGTAAATCATAAATCAATAGAACAAGTCTCAAGTATAAAATTTCTTGGCGTTACAATTGATGAAAAGTTGAGTTGGAGAGATCATATTGAAAATCTGGTAAAAAATTAAGCAGTATCAATTTCATTATCAGATAGCTGAAGGGCACTGTATCTTTCGATATTCTCAGAATGGCATACCATGGACTAGTATCGTCGGCACCAAAGTTACGGTTTGATCTTCTGGGGAAATTCACCACATAGTGACAAAGTATTTATTGCACAGAAGAAAATCATAAGATGCATGATGGGTATTCGAAACAATGTATCATGTAAGGATTACTTCAAAGCACTGTCAGTTCTCACTTTACCATCTCTATATATATATATCTATTGACATTGAATATAAAGAAGAGCACGATATGTACATCAAAAGTAATGAAATTCACCATCACCATACTCGAAATAAGAATGGCCTTCGTTTACCATTTTCAAGGCTTACTGTTAGACAGAACTCTCCTATATATCAAGGAATATTATGTTTCAATCATTTCAACAATATTTTTGGTGAGATAAAAAATGTCAATACTTTCAAAACAACATTATTCAATTATTTATGTCAAAATGCATTTTATTCCATTGAGGAGTATCTAACTTCGAGATGATCGAATTATTCTATTTACATTTATGTATGTGTGAGAGATTGAATGGAAATGTATGTACAGTGTTTTGTTTTGTGAATGGGGAGAGAGAATGGAACTTGACTAGTCTGATAAGTTTATATGTAACTAAATGTGTAAACTTCAATGATGAATATCTATCTATCTATCTATCTATCTATCTATCTATCTATCTATCTATCCTCGTATCTATCTATCTATCTATCTATCTATCTATCTATCTATCTATCTATCTATCTATCTATCTATCTATCTATCTATCTATCTATCTATCTATCTATCTATCTATCTATCTATCTATCTATCTATCTATCTATCTATCTATCTATCTATCTATCTATCTATCTATCTATCTATCTATCTATCTATCTATCTATCTATCTATCTATCTATCTATCTATCTATCTATCTATCTATCTATCTATCTATCTATCTATCTATCTATATACCCCCTATAGAAATTCACCTCAAGACCGCCCTTGAAACGGGGTAACCTCAAGTGTTCATGGTGAATAGATTGTAACGTGACACCCACTTGTCAAATCCATTGTGCAGTGTTTCCTTCGGCTTTGGCATCGATCGTTCGACAGAAAAGAGCCTCCAAAGGTCGCTGCTCGATAATGCAATATTTCACGCGTTCACTTTCGTTACAAGCGTATCTACAAAGGCGCTAATGGTGGATTTATAAACTCAACTAAACTAACAATTAAATTAACAACTGAGAA